CTGATGATGGAAGCTTGGTGCTTGAGAGATATTGCCGGACAAGTGGACGCAAGTGGACTGAAGTTTTTGAGAGCAGTTGCTGGAAGCAGGCTGTCAGCCTAGAACTGGGCAGCCTTGCCTTGCCTTGTCTTCGATTCAATATCTCTCTCTGCAACATCTCACTGAATACAGCTTTGCAGGACTGCCCACAATGACAACCCATTGTGTTCCTGTCTCATTCGACCTCACAAAGGGAGTTTTTTATCTAAGCCGAGACTCCGCCCGGCAATATTGACAGCCTGTCTCGCTTCGCCCTCTCAGACAGCCACACGCTCGTCTTCACACAACAGCAGCACTCTTCGGCCCTTCATTATCGGCATATAGACGCGGACCTGCTGTCGCGCTCTGTGTTTGGGTGGCTAAAAGACCTTACCCGGTTACCGAATCCGCCTGTCTGGGGCTGGAGGAGCATCAGCCCCGTCAAACACATCCACATCCATACATACCCCGGACGCCACCCCGGAACCCTCGGAGGACGGAGGGAGGGCTCGGCGCATGGCTCGGATAGCCGCTCGGAGGGAATACACTATGTTCGGCATGAGAGGCTGGTTCCCTCACCGCCTTTACTGTCATGCTATGTTGTAGCTTGCTTGTGTTTGCCATGGTGGTTGGCTACGGAGTATAGGTATGGAATGGTGACGTTGTGGTGGCGGCTGTCACTGTTACCCAGTTGGCCGGCAATTGGCAGGGCATGTGGGCATCACATTTTCGGCAGAACCATTGCTTGCCTTGTGCCCTGCTTTTTCTTTCGCTTGAAAATCACCGACACAACGTTGTGCCATGCTACAGCAGCAGTACTAACTCCCTAGCTACCTAAACGTTGCCAAGTACAAGCCATTACAACTCCAACTGCTACTATACGGCGATTACCGATAGATAGGAACATCTTCCGCTGGCAGGGGGTTGTGAAGGGGTCGTCGACGTAATGCAGCCGGCTGCTGGGGGATTGCATCGCAAAGCTATTCAGGGGCCGCCACTCAAGGGCTAAGCCGAGGAAAGGCTCTTTGCTACCTATTATATGTGGAAACATGGGACAAGCGATGGTAAGGCGTCGATACAGGGTCCTATAAGCCGGCTATTAAGGGCAAATCAAGGAGAGAGGAGACACCTGCCTGTCTCGACGGCGCTAGGGCCTCAGCTCAGGTACGTGTCCTGCAGCCAATAAGGCCGGCAGGCGCATCGGCAACATGCAATGCAATATATCGCGGAGCTACGAGACTGCTCGCACCAGGAAAACGGGTAGGTAGTGTAGGTCTTGTATGAAGCAGAGGACATAAAGTAGGTTGCAGGCGACCGTTAGGAGCCAAGATTGTATGTGGCTCCCCCACGCGCGCCTATGTATGTATGTATGTATGGCTATGTGCTACTCGCGTCGCTCTGTATCATTCGGCCAGTCACCATCTGTCGCCGCCGCCGCCACCGCCGCCGCCGCCGCCGCACTGGCAGCCTCGCTCGGCTGCCGGCTTGCCTGGAAGGGTCAAGTGTGGCCGTCCTGAAGCGAAAGGCTCGGCAAACGCAACGCCGGATGTGGTTCGCCGAATTAACGACTCCTTGATATAGCCGCCCACTGCTCAGCACCAATGTAACCTTTGCTTTCGTCCCCTGGGATCTATGCCCACAATTATGTACCTCATCGCATCATATAACTGTAATGTATCCTCGGTAGCTCCCAACCGGTGCCCAATGCATATCAATGCTCTAAGGTTGTCGTGTTATAGCGCAACAGGCATAACGGGTTCCAACATGCAGGAGGAAATGCTCCTGGATCTCTGGTTGCGGCTGGTGATGGAAGATGCTAAGCTAGTGCACGCAAGCATTGGTGCTGCTACGTCCAAGACGCTGCTTATTGCTTGGTTGGGTGGCTTTCGGGAGAGAAGAACCGAGTTTGGGACTGGGCTTTCGGTACATGGCAGAGAGGGAATCAAGAAAGGCGGAATGTCATGGGGAGTGTGAATTTTCCGCGTCTCCTTGGGCAGCTCATTAGCTCGACCTTGTGTTACTGCTCATACACTACCCAGGTAGGTAGGTAGGTGAAGTATGTTTGGCATCATGTGCCCCTTATTTGTCATGGTAACGGTGTTGTTTCATGCAGGTCTCAATACATACTTCCGTCGGTCTCTTCATCTCGGCGTCATATCCTCAATGCACCAGTGTCATGATTCAAGTCTCATCAATTTCATATGCAAAATGAAAACTCAGTCACTTACCGTCCATGCTTCTGCAGCCATAGCTTTACAGGTAAACTTATGGCCTCCCATCAATGTATTTGTCTCAAATTATTGTGACATGAACCGTTGCGTTCAAAGCCATGGGAGAATCCACTTCGAACCTGCTGTTCTCTACGGATACAACCGACTCGGGCCGATGCCACAAGCCACCACAGTCGCAGAGTAGCATGGGATGTGTGGTTTTGTGCTTCTGCCTACTCTTCACACGTATGATCTCACTATGACAGGTCACACGGCTCGGAAAAGTGCGGCGCTGCATCTATCCATAATAAGAGGCGGGCGGCAAGTTGGTTTTACAGTTCGACATTAACAACAACTACAGCCAAGATGTCTTATGAAAGGGGCCGAAGCCGCAGCTTTCTCAATGCCGTTGTCGTTTGCCGCTCCGCGGCCGCGCGGCAAGCCGTCTGTCTGCCTTTGTGTTCCTGTAAGAAGTAGATAGATGATATTAAATAGCCAAGTCCAGAAACAGGAACTCTACCATCCTCATCACCGTCATCATTATCATCATCCTGAAGCCAGGGCATCCCTTGTCGATCGTCGACATATTCTACTTAACGTTTAGTGCAAACCAAATTTTAGCCTACCAGGCTGAACACCCACAAGCCAACGTTGAGCCGTCCTATCAGAAATGACCGAGCATAGGCGCGGCATGGGCTCGATTGGGCTTCGCTGGCTCGCTGGTCACCTGCGCGACAAGCGAGAGATAGCCGAGCGAGCGTTTCCAAACTTTGTCGAGGGGATACGTCACGCCCATCCCACGTCAATGTAGGCTTATTGTATATATCATGATTTCATCCCGCAGAATGGGCAAAGCTTGCGGCGGCAGCGGCCGCGGCGGCGTTAAAGGCAGTTGTCAATGAGAGAGACTCGGAGGGAAATAGAGATAGATGGCATCGGAATGCCTCTGCCGTGCCGTGCCGCATCCTCATATCCGTTGGGCGTTGGACTTGTTCAACGGTCTCGCTTGAGGCTCGCTTGGCAATTTGATGTTGCTGTCAAAGTTGCCTATGTGGTCTTGAGTTGACAGGCCGGCAAGGGCGGGAAACAATATGCTGCCGCTCTCGGTGTTGGGTGTTGACGTCGGCTGCTTTTCGTGCGACAGATCTTTTTGTCTAATATATTCATTACTTGCCGACGCAGATGACAGTGAACAATGGAAGAAGAGAATTCGTCATAGCGGATTGACACTTAGTAGGGCTTGCTGACATTTCTTCCGGCCCGGGATTCCTCAATCGCCTTTCAACTCTCATCACCAGCCTATCTGTCGTTAATGGAATTGCTTAAGCACAGCACCGGCAACGGCACAAGCGGTTCCCGTCAGGTTAGCTATACACATAGCCTGCCCTACTCCCTCCGGTTTCGCCCCGACCGCTCTCGGTCTATGAAAATGGAAAGGTTTCCTTACATCATATGCTAGATCCCTCGCAGTGGAGATATCGTACAAAGAGTGCGGCAGGAGTGATAGGCACTTTCAGATCCATCACCCGTGCCGTTGACAGGATTTGTGGAGAACAAGCGGCAGAGTCAGGCGGAGGTATCGGGTATTGACACCTTCTAGAGACATCACTTGGTGTTCCATGCATAGCGACACATACATACGGGCCCAGATACCACCTGACGTACGGGGCATACGGGGCCCTCAGCGATTCTTCCCCATAGAGGTAGGTCAAATCAGATGTAAGCAGGTTTTGCTACATGTAGCCTGAGGGAATTACCACACCGTCGACACACCACCACAAACATAGCCAAAGTCTCCTTTGTAACGTCATTGTGTTGTCGCTGGACGTCTTACCCTTTTTACAGTTGCCCAACTTGCCTCGGCGGTAACCCAACTGTATCCCCCAAACCGCCGTCCGACCCACCAACCAGGGACCTCAAGGGAGCGTGACATCGGAGGTAAGGAAGGGCAACGGGAAAAAGCAGATCAGAAACTGGTTGAACTCTAAAATTCAGGTTCGTGTCAGATTCTCTTGGCATTAGGGGATATTTCGTACAAGTGGATGCCAGACAGGCAAAAGGATAGGGGTCTGGAGGAATCGAGGGTAGAATGTTGTGATAAATATTTGGACGCCGTGTTTTGGAGAGATCTCTGAATAGAAAGAGGATCGAGACAGGGTAAGGAATCCTTTAACCTAGTCTCATTTACAACAAACAAAGCAAACAAAGTTCTTGTGCTCCAAATCCTCAAAGTTATCCATTACATAGCCTTTACATCATTGGATGCGCGTATGCAGACCTGCCCACCAACCCGTCAGAGGAGTATCCACGAGTAAGTGTGGTCTGATCCTGAACAACATAGGGAAATATTCCCGTGGTCGGTCCCAGTCAGAATGGGGCGCGACGGCTGGAATTTTCAGGCTCCCCTATGCCCGTATAGCATGTAAATCTGCACAGATCCACCCAAGTCGGATGTCTTTTGCAAAGAGGCATCATTTCGAAATCATATGCCAGCACGACATTTGAGAGCTTTAAGCCAGCATCATGATCAGAGCACAGTGCGCATGTTCCATCGTCGGGAGAAAACGGAGCTTCATAATCCAAACAGAGTGACATTGAGTGATTATGCCTCTTGGATGTAAAGATAAGTAGACAAATGTTTCCAAGAAAGCTGCTCGATGCAAAATATCCAACCCATTCAAACCCTATATGAACAACCATACCATGCCATGCCCAGATCTAAGCCTGCACAAAACACAATCCCATGACATGCATCCGAAACAGCACCCTCGCTTATTCCACGCTACTCTTTAACCTTCCCAAAAGCTGGGGTATTTTGGAAGTCTCCTTTCCCATCCCTTCCTGAGCCGTTACGGCCTCAGGACCACCACTCGTAGTCACACCCAACCCAATCCCATACGTAGGCTGATCTGCCGTCAAGCCCTCACTTTTGGGATTAATCTTGTCGTAGTCATCATGCTCATAAGAATAATCACCACTGCCACCGCTGCTGGTGACTATCCCCGGCTTGGAGGAAGCGTAGCTAACACTCTCCTGATGAGCCTGCTGTTGCGGGGTCGCTGTTCCAGGCTCTGCTGGGGATGACCTTACATCTGCAGTCCGAATTCTCTCTAGCCCGCGCACAAGTGACTCGACCAATGGTGCCTTGCGATCAAAGTTGTCATTTCTGGTGTGCTCACGTGGAGGAGGAGGAGGGAGGAGGGAGGAGGAGGAGGAGTCCACCTGACCGGTCGAAACGGTTCGAGATATCCAGGTGGCGGCGAGGGCAAGGGGGATGCTGGCTCCTCATCGTCGTTGTCTAGCTGTTGACGTTGCTCATAAGTTGTCGAACTCCAGATGGATCGCATCGCCTGTGCTTTCCGGTAGAGCGCCGGGAAGCGGGACTCGAACTCAGCCTCGAGCTCCTTCTGATGCTGCTCAACAGTATTCAACCTTTCCTGTTTCTTTGCAGGAACCAGCTCCACGGTTGGTACACGTTGCTGGGTGAAGTCATCGAGCCATTGCTCGTAGAGCGAGTCTCGCCTGTCTTCCTCCTCATATGTCGGACTAGACAGTTGTCTCAAGCTATCAAGATACTCCTTGCCGGCACTGGTCATCTTAGTGCCGCTAATATGCTTATCGAATGAGCTCGAAAACTCGCGGAAATGGCCTTTCAGTATGAAGCATTGTCCGAACCAGCCCTTACTCTGAAGTTTCGAGTACAGGGCTGCGGCGACGGGGCACTCCCAATCGAACTCTATAGCTCGGTCGTAGAAAACGAGGCACTTGTAATGACGCCACTTGCTGAAGCTTCGGCGACTCTGATCGTCCATGAAGGTGTCCTCAATCATCTCCAAGGAAGTGCTCTCAACAAAGCTCACGGGGGCGCGCAAGTTGATAGCGTCATGAATATGAGAGCGCTCAAACTCGGATGGAGATCTCAAATCAACAAGGAGGATGCCCTTTGTAGGATATATCTCGAGCAAAGCGTTGAGTTGACCAGGCAGTATCATCTTAGGGCCATCGCTGGGCTCAATCCGCTGAGAGGCTATCTGAAGTCTTTGGACTTTGTACATCATCAAGTCCTCTTCTCTCCGACGACGGAACCAAGCCTGGACAATTAGCGATGAATCAGCGACCCGGGGTTTAACCACTTACTTGGACATCCAACAAGCCAACTCTAAGGTTCGCTGCTAGATCCTGCAGGATTGCTATGCTCGGATTCGGATCGTCCTGGTAATAGTTCTCTAACCTGCTTGTGACATATGCAGGGAGTAAATTTTCTTCTGCGTTTTCAAAGAAAGGGACAGGCTCTTCATAGGTAAGATGGTTGTCGATGACTGGGGTGCTAGAGGCATCCTCGCGGTGTGTTGCTCCAGTTGAGACTGTGGCGGCTGCTGATAGAGACCGAGTGAGTGTTTGCGGCCGCTCGAGCAAGCTCGTGGGAGTTGTAGACGGCACATCTCGTAAACTCAAAACTCGAGTTATTGAGCGTGCAGGCGTTGGGGCGTCGGATACTTTCAATGTAGGGAGTTGTGATCGGTCGTCAGGTCTGGAAACAGGCACGGGCAACTCAGGATTGGTCGGTTGAGTCGAAGATAAAGGCTGAGCTGCTTGCAGTTTATTGGGATTAGCAGAAGCAGCAGCGTCGGTTGTGGCCACATTACTGTCGTCCACAGGCTGAGAAGTCACAGGAGACGAGGACGACTTTTGATCTTTGCAGACTGGACTGGACGCGGGTGTATCGACAGAAACCGGGACACTTTGTTTTAGTCTCTCGTCTCCTGATTTCCGGTCGTGAAGAAGGTTGTTGGACCGGATAAAGGCGATGAAAGAGCAGGCCGGGTCATCTGGCAGGAAATCCCAGACCATGACGGGAAGAGAGAAGAGTAGCAAGGTTGAATGGCTCTTAAAGACGCCCTGGACCTTGACATACTTCGCCAAGGTGGGAACTTTGGCCAACCACTCTTCCCAAGCCTGAAGGTCCAACCTTTGGTCATCTTCAAGGGCTAATGAAATCAACACATGCGGCTCATCCTCATTCGGCTCTAGGCTGCATGGAAGACGGCCATCAATCAAAGGGTAGTTCGCTAGTGGTTGTGTACCGGGAGCCGGCCTTGGAGCAGCCGAGCGATGCCGTAGGGTTAGGTCGCACGCAGAAGACGGAGGGGGCTGACGACGAGGAAGCAGCTTGCAAATCTCGATACTTGGAGCCTTGTGATTGGAAGTCAGCATGAAGTGAACCGGTGTTGCCCTCGCCTCGAAGTGCTTCCCGTTGATCAGGATAGGCCGAGGATGCTTCAGGCGAGCGAGAATTTCGGCATGAAGCATGGCGGCTGAGAATGTGCGGCCGCGCCATTCCTCGAGAACTTCGATCAAGCAGTTGGTAAAAGAATAACTGCCGGGATTCGGGGCAATAGCATCCCAGCTGGAAGCGCAAATGGTCTCAGTGATGCTCTGCCCAGTAGCATATGTGGCACTGGCTGCGCCAGCGCAGCAGTCTAGAAGGATCAGGACATCAGAAATGGAGCGTTCGAGCAGCGTCTGAATGGCGGACCACTGAAGGGACGGCGAGTCGATACGACGGTTTGCGCACCAGGTGCTATGTCTGGATTCGTCTATGCGAGCGTGGCCGCCATAGTATACGATGAACAGAGTTTCTTCAGATTCATACTGCTTGACCATATCTCCCACCTTGAGCATCAGCTCCAGATGGGAATTCTCGGAGGGAATGGAGAAGATCTCGGTCTTGAAGCAGTAATGTTCTCGAAAACATTTCTCGAGGTCTTCCAGCTCGGGTAACACCCAGAGGTCGTCAGACTCCCAGTGCAATAGCAGGGCATATACTCTGGAGTATCGTTGATCGGCACGGTCTTGGTTCGGAAAGGCCCTCGCTACTGACTATTGAAGAGTCAGGGACATGCCCCTAGAGAATAATAAGGCACAACAAGCTGCATCTAAGAGACTCACATCTTCCAAGGCCCGGGCAAAAGCATCGATGTGCTTGACATGGTAGTTCACTCGGCTAATGTCATGAGTGGCAGCCGGATAAGAGCTCTCGGAAGCCGAGCCGTACTGCAAGGCGTGAGCACTTATGTCGGGTATACTAACAGAATAGATGCCATCGTCGAGACTACATACAGCAGAGTCTGCGCTGCTCATGCTGGCGCCGTATCGTGCCGGCTGTCGGGTCCGGATGGGGATGAAGGGCGGAGTATCCTCCATAGCGAAGGAGGTTAGAGCAGCAGGAGGCCAGAGTCCAGGTTATGAAGCACAACGTGAACCTAGGACGTCGCTTGAGCCCCGGAAGTCAGCGGCCAGACAGAGCAGACCGAGGTTGCACAGGGGTATCCAACGAGGCGACAGGCGACAGCAAGAAGCCCGGGAGCCCAGGAGTGCAAGCAGAGAGGCCGGTGTACGTGGAAGGGCGCGAAGGGCGTAATGGACCCCACAGATCTGACAAACGATTAGAAAAAGGACAAAAAATGACACTTGCTGGATCTTGACTCCGATGATGCTAGGGAACGGTTGCGATAAGGAAGCATTTCAAGCATCAATTTGGAAACTGTCCGCCGTCTTCACCGGAGATCGGCAACCATCCACGTTCTCAGATCTTCCCGATCGTTACGGGACAAGTTTGCGAGCAAGGCAACAGCAAAAAAGACAAGTCAGGATGTTGTCAAAAATGGCCATCTAGACAGAAGGAGCCTCTGATGGCTCAACATTAGCTGCTGCTGCTTGCCATCCCCCCGGTCACCAAATCAGGTTTAGCGCGACATTGCTCCGGTGAGGATTTGGGGAAGGAGCATGCCGAGCGAACCAGTCGCTCACGAGCCGTTGAAAGTGGTGATCGCCAAGACCGCCAAGACCACTGGCTGCGTGTGCCCCATTGCCGGCTTGGCTTGGCTTGGCACTGCAGGGAGCGCGGGCCGACCGTTGACAGCTGGCCATCAGCCTGACAGCCTCTCAACAGCATCGTCGTAGCGACGACACCTCGATAACGATCTCATCATTTACTTTTTGAGATACACAATCACTCTCACATCATGCGCGAACGCATCACATTTGTTCAGAAGCTGGGAGACTCGCTGGAACCATCAGAGCTTAAGGTCGACAGCACCACTGTTAGCGGACCAGAAGTACATGCTGTTCGTGAAGAGAGACTTAAGTTCAGCGTCGACGAGCTGCCCTCTGAGCTCCAGACACTCCTTAGTGATTTTCAGGGGCTTGACATCAAGTGGGTGACCGATGCTTACCATGAGACTGTGAGCCCGTTGCTGTCGAGACTACCCCCTGGCTTTCATGTCGTCTTCACTCCCCGGAGACCAGATACTTCGCTGTACGTCAGACGGACCATCTCCATTGCCGTTATTTCAGGCTAACATGATGGTTCATCGCAGAGATTCACTGTGCTCGGCTCTTGTGGAGCTATTTGGTGATGATATTTACTGTTCAAATGTACGCCACGGAATCTAGACTGATTCAACAGACTTCAATCACTGACCGACTCAGGAATCCTTCACCGCGCTGTCCAAAGCCCAATCCACTGGCGTTACCACTCTTCAGTATTACCAGCCATTGAGGAGCCTATCGCATCTTACCCGCCGGGCCAGGTCCCTCCTGTGCCGCTCAGACGATACATCCTGCTCAAACAGGCTAGACAGTCTGACCTCAGCGAGTTCCCTCGACATAGCCTACGACTCTGACGCGAACGACTTCCGCGTTACAGCCACTTGGCCCTACCAGCGCCAGCATATTCACGCCACATCGCGCGAAGGACACCGCACCGAGGTTGGCATTCTCTCGACCGACAAGCCTAAAACACTTGACCCCCACGAAATTGGCATCTCAGGCCTGATCACAGTCCTACGAGAGAACAAGAAGCTCTCCCCCGTGCTTTTCTCCTTCGCCGCACGTCACCGCGATGCAGAATCGTCTTTCTCGGCCCGCTTCCTTTCCCCGACTGGATTACACCCTACTCTGCAGCTACGTCTCTCCTCCGCGAGACCACCGCGATCCCCAGAGGAGCAAGAATGCTCCCTCCACGCTTACTTGACCCTCCCGCGCACCATTTTCCCTGACCGCTACCAGCTCTCTGACCCAATCTTCCTCGCATCCAAGAACCTTTCCGCCCTCCGCTTCGCCACCAAACCTGTCGACCTCGAAGCCCCGGACTATGCCGTCCCGCAGTGGGGCTTGGCCCTGCTCCTAGATCTAGCTACTCCCACTGAATCTGCTGCTGCAGGGGAGTTCACGGCAGAGATCCCCCTCCACCTACGTTACCTCGCCCCTGCCAGCGGAGGTTACCGCTCCATCGAGATTCCCTACCCCGCTGTCTTCTGGGCATGTCGTGACCCAGCCGTCGCCGATGCCCCATTGGGACCGTTCGAGCGCAGTGGACTGGGGTACGATGCGCTGTTTGCTGACAAGCCGGGAATAGTGTTTTGGCATGTTGAGCCGAAGCCGGCTGCGGGGCAGGGAAGCAGGATGGTGAACACGGTTAGGGTGCCGGTGCTGGACATGGATAAAGCTGGGTGGGTGAACTTGGGCACGGCGGCGGTGATTGTGTTTGGGTTTGCATGGGTTGTGGGGAGGTTGGCTGGCGTTTGGTTAAGGAGAGTGGCTGCTGAGAAGGAGAGGAAAAAGAAGACGCAGTGAGGGGTGTTCGTGTTGGAAATGGAGTGGAATCAGAAAGGTCAAGTACCAGGAATTCTTTGATTTCATATCTAATCTTTGCCTTTGGGTAAAGATATACAATGTTTTATCAAGGTTCAGAAACCTCCATCTCTTAAACATATCATGCTTTCGTGGCCTTCGGTCTTGTTCAAGTTGCTGGGGACTGAGCCCGCAATCATATCTTGGCAAGCCAACTGCTATGACGTCATACCCAGGCCAAACCCAAACCCTCGTCGATAACAACAGCATTATCTGCGTCGTCACAAGAAGTCAAATCTTCATTGGCCCAGATTGAGCTTGAGCTGATCGTTCTCAGTGTAGAGTGCCAAAGATTCGTAATCGCAGTACTTGAAATTGCTTGCTTAGGATGAGATTGCCATATAGAGCGGAGCAGGCTGCCCATCTTGATTTCACTCAGAACCCGTGACTGGATTGTCGTTTGTTGAGATTGGAAGGAACCAAACCGTGGACTTCTCTCCGTCCGTGCTCTCCGCCCATGGAAACAATAACTTAAGATGAGAGATTCCAACAGCCGTCATCCCGTCTTGTAGTCCTCTGCTGGCTTCTTGTCTGGAGGTTCCCTATCTCAACCTGTCCCAACCATTGCCGTTGTTGGACATTTTTGATCATCCTTAAATAATGCATCTTATCGCCATGCCCCCTATTAATAAGAAGCCCATCTTCGTAGCCACGCACCCGCGGGCCTGCTCAACTGCCTTCGAGCGCGTCTTTATGACCCGGAAGGACCTTAAATGTGTGCATGAACCCTTCGGAGATGCCTTCTACTTCGGCCCGGAGCGTCTGAGCGAGCGGTATGCCGATGATGAAGAGGCTCGCCAAAAGAGTGGTTTTGTCGACGTCACATACCGCGACATCGTGGAGAGATTGTTGGAGGATGATGCTGAGGAGGTATGGTCTTTGTCCTGCGCACTTAGGAGAAGACCAAATACTGACTGACAGAGTTCCAACAGGGCAAACGCCTCTTCATAAAAGACATCGCACACTACCTATTCCCTCCGGACAACCACATCGCCCACATCGCGCCCTCCCTACTTGACTACCGCCCCCCAACTGACACCCCCACAGACTCTCCATCCTCCACCGACCGTCGCACACCCCTTCTCGAAAGCCCAATCCACAACCCAACCGTCATCCCGCTCTCCGTTCTGCGGCGCTTCCACTTCGCCTTCCTGATCCGTCACCCGCGTCGAGCAATCCCTTCCTACTACCGCTGCACAGTGCCGCCTTTATCTGGCCGAACAGGATTTCACCAGTTCATGCCCAGCGAGGCGGGCTACGCCGAGCTGAGGAGGCTGTTTGACTACCTCAGAACGGAGGGTGTGATTGGGGAGGATGGGGCATCTAAGTGGTTGGCCAAGCCGGCAGGGACGGATGGGAACGGGGATGAGGAAGGGAAAGATAGGGAGAGGAAAGTAGAGAGAGTGAAGATTACGGTTGTGGATGCGGATGAGCTGCTTGCTAAGCCCAAGAAGGTAGTGAAGAGGTTTTGTGAGGATGTTGGATTAAAGTTTGATGAGGCAATGCTGCAATGGGGGAATGAACAAGATGGGGAGGAAGCTGAGGAGCAGCAGCATAAGGCAGAGGAGGCCTTTGCGAAATGGGAGGGTTTCCATGACGATGCGCTGAAGAGCACTGGATTGAAGGCTAGGGCTGAAGTGGTAAGTCTGTTCCGTGACTCGGTGACGATATTGAAAATGGCACTAACCAAGATAGAAAACTCCCACCCGGGAAGAGGAGGACGAAGAATGGCGGCAAAAGTATGGAGAAAAGGGGCAGCGTATCATCAGGGAGTGTGTGGACGCTAATGTGGCCGATTATGAGTATCTCAAGTCGTTTGCCATCAAAGTATGAGAGCAAGCTAAGCTCGATGCAGCGAAGGACTTAGGAGCAGTATGTGGGTGTCGGTTGAAGCCAAGCTCTATTGCTCGCTACCATGTAGATCCTTATACATTCGAATGCAGCGTGTACAATATAATACAGTCAGAAAGGACAGCCTGCTAGCAGTCTCTTCCCATCCGACAACTCTCGCCAGCCCTTGATTGAGCCAGAACAAGTCCCAATATACACCAACACATTCCATACATCGACCTCATAGCACTACCTCTTTCTCTCGTTAGCATGGCAGCTGCTTAGGCGGTCGCGACAGCCTCTGCCTGTGACCGGGCGTCGGCCTCGGCCGACAGGTTAAGCGTCGCCATCGTCTTGGTCTTCGGGCCGGGCAGGTAATCCGGAATGCCGACGATGTGGGTGACGTTGTCGGTCCACGACTCGGCGTAGTACTTATCCTGCTCGTTGGCCCAGTATACGGTGACGGTGTGCAGCTTGGGGGCCTTATTCGCCTTCTCCTCCTCCTGCTGTTGCTGCTCTTGCTCGATAGCCTTGTTCTCGCCCGCCTGGTTAGCCTGGACAACTTTGCTGTTCTTGGACTTTTTCTTCTTCACCTTAGAATCCTCCTCCTCCTTCACCACCACGAGGTTGCCCTTGCCGTGACCGGCGCAGACATACGCCAGGTCGGCGACAAAGTTGCCGCGCATGTCGTTCAGCTCGATACCACGCAGCTTCTTGGGCAGGTTGAGCAGGCGCTCGTCCTCCCATTCGAGCTCGTGGCGCTTCTTGAGTTCACGCAGCTTCTGGTAGACGCTGCGGCCAACTTCGCCCTTGCCGGCGCCCAGCTCGACCATGGCCAGCGGCCGCCAGTAGTCCTTGCGGATCTTGGCGGGCACGAGCTTCTTGCCGGTAAAGGCAAACTGCCTCTTGGCTTTATTTATCTGCTGTAGTTAGTAATACCTGTCAGCCCTATTAAATGAGGTTCAAGGGGGGAGTCGATCTTCTTACGTCCAGCACAGGGGTCAACGAGTAAACCACCATGTTGGTCGCAATGTGATGCCACACCCAGAACCGCTCACCGTGACCGGCCGGTTGTTGTCCCCTGGGGTGCCGCTGCGGCGCCCTAGACTGCTCTTCTGTCGCCTCTTCCACCGCGCCGCTCATGAACCGCACGCCGCGCACGGCAGCTGCCGCCGCCGTGGCCTCAACTCTCCCCCCGCAGCCACACCCTCCTGTCTGTGCTGCCCTGACCAACCCCCCAAACATCTGGAATAGCGTGGGCCGCGCCCGCATCGAGTGGCTCATGGCGGTTGTGTTGGTATTGGACTGTGCCCGATTACGCGATTCGGTCGAGATAGGGTATCGGCGATGGGTTTATGGTATGGTCGGACCCGCGGATCGTTGTCGGGGTCGTCGTCCGTTTATCGTTAAAATCCCTCCTCCTCGGTAAATTACCAGCTGTCCGTCCCGTCCAGTCCAAGCCCCAAGATGTGTCCGTTTTGTATACTCCTCTCCCAACGAGCAGATCGACAAATTGATCAATCAATTGCGCCGAGCCTGCTCGCTGTACTGTCGCAAACTGCTGGGAGGGAACCGGCCGGATTCGGGAGCGAGCGTGCCGGACTGCGAGCTGAGTTATCGGGGGCTGGATCGCAAGCAGTCAACTCGGCGTCGTCTCTCGGGCTGGCGTTCAAAATGGCCGACTGCCTGCCATCGACTACCTTAACTGCTCGAACGTTCAGAACAATTTTTGGGACGGTGCCGTCTGCGACCGATGGGCCAATGGGATGCTGTGTTAACGGGAAGCGGGGCACGGCTTGACGGGAAGCGTGGACAGACAAAGAACAATGCCCCGCTTTTCTCACCCCTAGTCTTGAACAAAGACTTGCAACATCGCAGGCTCGCTTTTTACGTTCAGTTATCACAGTTCAACATCTTGCGATTCCTCCATAGCCAAGTCAAGAGACAGCAATGATACGATAAATCTCATTTTATTTCCTGGGTCTAGCAATCCCATTTTTACCCGTCCTGATGTCCAACCTAAAAGTCAGACAGCCAACCCATTAAAATACCTATATACAAGTGCAGAAGAACAAGCCCAAAGAATCCGAAACACCAACCATCATAGCTTATGACAATGCTCAATCCTGCCAATCCATTTACTCCAATGCAGTGTCATCCCATTTTCTTTTCCTATTCCCCTCCTTCAGTCAATCATTGTAAATATCCTCGTCCATCGAATCCGGAGCCACCTCGTCAACGGCGTCATCCGAGTCCATATCTACATCCACATCCTCCGGCTCGCTATCTGGGTGATTAGGCAGCACCTGCACCTTGCCATCGACCAGCTCGACGTGCGCAACCTCTCCCTCACGGATCTGCCCGCGCAGGATGAGAATAGCCAACCTGTTAAGCACCTCCTTCTCAAGCAAGCGCTGCAGCGGGCGAGCACCGTAGACAGGCGAGTAGCCCTGGGCGCCAAGCTTGTCCTTTGCCTCTTCCGAGACCTTTATGATGACATTGCGGTCGTTGTCGGTCAAGCGCTTCTGGATCTCAGCAATGCGCAAGTCGACAATCTTGCGGATCTCGCGGCGCGTCAGCCGGTTGAAGATGACAACGGACGAGATGCGGTTGAGGAACTCGGGAAGGAAGTAGTTGCGGAGCGTGTTCATGACAAGTTCGCGCGTCGTCGGGTCGATCTTGCCATCCTTGCCGTTGTTGGCCCGCGACAGGTACTCAGCACCCAGGTTTGAGGTCATGACAACAATGCAGTTCTTGGCGTCGACGACGCGGCCCTGGCCGTCGGTGATACGACCATCGTCCATCAGCTGCAGCAACACCGTGAGCACCTCCTTGGCGGCCTTCTCAACCTCGTCGAACAGCAAGATCGAGAAGGGCCGGCGCCGGAGCGCCTCGGTCAGCTGGCCACCAGCGTCATGGCCAACGTAGCCGGGCGGAGCACCAATCATGCGGCTGAGCGAGTGCCGCTCCTGGTACTCGGACATGTCGAAACGGATCATGGACTTGGGGTCGTCGAACAAGAACTCGGCAAGGGCTTTGGTCAAAAGGGTCTTGCCGGTGCCAGAGGGACCACAGAAGAGGAAGCTCGGTGGCTGATTTGGGTTGCTAAGGCCAGAGCGCTGCAGGCGAATGGCGTTCGAAACAGACTGCACCGCTTCCTTCTGGCCGACCACGATCTTAGACAGGGCCTGCTCCATGTGTAGTAGCTTTTCCTTCTCCGAGGTTTTGAGGCGCGTGACAGGAATGCCCGTCCAGCGGGCGACAATCTCGTTGATCTGATCGGGACCGACAACATCGGTGATCATAGAACCGCCGACGTCAGCACCATTGGCGTTGAGCGCCGCATCAGCAGCAGCCTTCTCGGCCTCAAGCCGCTTGATGATGGCCTCCTGCTCTGGAATGGCGTAGTACTGCAGGTCGGCCGCACGGCTGTGGTCGCCCATACGGCTCGCGTCTTCAGCTTTGACACGGAGCGCCTCGAGCTTCATCTTGGCCTCCTGAATGGCCTTGCCGCGCTGGCGCTCGCGCTCGTACTTCTCGCGAAGTGGACGGAGCTCCTCCTCGACGTTCTGGGCGTCCTGCTTCGCCTGCGCCAAACGCGCCTTGGATGCCTCGTCCTTCTCGCGAGACAGAGCGTGGATTTCGATCTTGAGCTGGCGGAGACGGCGCTCGAGGGAATCGATGATTTCGGGTTGCGACTCGCGGGCGACACGAACTGCAGCGGCGGCCTCGTCGATGAGGTCGACGGCCGAATCGGGCAGCCGGCGAGAGGTCAGGTAGCGGGCAGCCAGGTTGGCGGCGGCCACGATGGCGGCATCAGCAATGTTGACACCGTGGTGAACTTCGTACTTCTCCTTGAGACCACGGAGGATGGAAATGGTCTCGCTGATGCTTGGCTCTTTAACGAGTACCTGCTGGAAACGGCGCTCGAAGGCAGCGTCCTTCTCAATGTATTTGCGGTACTCGGCCAGGGTGGTAGCGCCAATGCAGTGAAGCTGACCCCTGGCAAGCATGGGCTTGAGCAGGTTGGCAGCGTCCATTCCACCCTCGCCCGATGACCCGGCACCCATAAGCAGGTGAATTTCGTCAACGAAGAGGATGATGGTCTCCTTCGACTCCTGGATCTCCTTCAGCACGCCCTTCATGCGCTCTTCAAACTCGCCACGGTACTTGCTGCCGGCCACCAAAGCACCGACGTCCAAAGACAACAGCTTGCAAGCAGCTAGGTTGTCGGGAACATCGGCGTTGACGATGCGCTGGGCCAGACCTTCAACAATGGTAGTCTTGCCCACACCTGGCTCGCCGATCAGCACAGGGTTGTTCTTGGTACGGCGTGACAAGATTCGAATGACACGGCGAATCTCTTCCTCACGACCAATGACAGGGTCGATCTTGCCCTCACGGGCCATGGCTGTCATGTCGATGCAGAACTTGCTCAGATTCTCGTTCTCCTGCTCTGTGTCGGCATTGCGCGAGTCCACCCGCTTGTTACCACGGATGGCTTGGATCGCGTCTTGGATGAGCTTCGGCTTCGGGATGTTGGCCTCTTTCAAGGCCTCCTGAATGGCGTGGTCCTCTGCCAGAGCGGCAATGAGGTGGTCGACGGCGATGTATGAGTCCTTCTGGACCTTCTGGAGCTCATTCGCCTTTCGAAGCACATTGCTGCAGCCGGCGGACATGGACACCTGATCTGGTGGAGGGTCCTGGCTAGGCAGACGAACGAGCTTCTTCTTCAGAGCGCGATCGAAGGCCTGGGCATCACCGTGGGCGCGCTCAACGACCTGTCGGAAGAGTGTGCTGGTGGTGCCCGGGGCAATGCTCTGGTCTTTGCTGGGGTCGGGTGTGGGATCGAGAAGGGCGACTGCCAAGTGAACAGGCTGAAGCTGAAGATGTTGGTACTGCTCTGCCAGGGCCATGGCGTCTTCCAACGCCTTCTTGGCCCTGTCCGTAAATTCCATCTTGGAGTTCATGGTGGCCGTGTGTTCAAGAGACGAATGTCCCGGGTATCTGGGTTATGTTGTGATATGGTATGTTGTGTTTAGGGGTAGTAGAGCAAATGTTGGTGCCGTTGTCTTGATGAAAGCTAATGAAACTGACTGATGAATGTGACGTCAGGCTCCAATTGATTGTCTTGGGCAGCTGTTGTTTGTTGGTGTTGGTATCAATTTTGGGTATCTGTGTCGTTGATGAGGCTGTTGATGTCTGACCAGAAAAGGAAACGCGGCTTGGCTAGCAGGCGGCAAATTGTGTTTTATATACCAGCGGCAGTCAGGCTGGAGATGGTTGGAAGATGAGAGAAGCTTCAGCCGTGAAGCTCTTGTTGGGAGGATCGCGAAGTGGGATGACGGCTCCAGCACCTGCTACCAACTGCGTGAGACTTCAGTGGGGTTACTCGCAGGCTCCTGAATCGCCCAGAGCCTCCTGGAGCCTGCCGGAGCTGTCCCGCACGATCCAGAAGCCGCTGGAACTCCAGGGTATGGAGCGATTCGTTGTTATCTTCGACCAATCAGAAAAGCACAGCCCCGCACTAATCGAAAATGGGCTAGTGTGCGCCAAGCCAGGGCAAGCTAGCAGGGTCATGGCAGGGCGCCCTGCGTCATTGTCAGCAGCTTGGAGGGGCATTCGAGGTGGGATGATTTGCCAACATCGTTTGTTGTTTGATTTCACTTTGCATGTCAGCATCGTCATCATCACCAGGTTCATCGGCTGCCAACAGCTCTGTTGTAAGTTTATGCAGTCAGAATTGCTACAGAAGCCTAAGATCTTCTTCATCAACAATACAGTCACTCGATTGACTTGAACAAGGTTCTGCTACCACAAACACTTCCGTCTGTGACCTGTGTCGCGGTTTTGCATTGTTCGGTTCAGCATTGCTTGGCCAAATGTAATCGTGACGTCGCTACAGCCAGGATACTCTGCCCTCAAGACCCTAGGCCCCGATTGCTGTCAATCATGACACGGCCGACTCGAAACCCGCAGGCATCACGCAAACACCAGCGATGTCCATTATAAGGACACAAATCCGGTGCTTGAGAACAATGGCTTCCTCCGCTCCACGGACAGTTCCCCACTTCATCGAGGCGATGAAGCTGGTTTACGGCAACTTTGACCACCTCTTCGAAGATGCCGCTCGCTCGTGGACTGCCCCGGATAAGCCTGGCGCCGGCGGCCATCGCGGCCGCTACTTGTGGACTGACGCCTTCGGCCTTGTCAACTTCATCACCCTGTCGCGCGAGACCCAGTCGTCGGTGTACCTGACACTAGCCAAACAGTTGGCAAAGACGGTCCATGATGTGCTAGGCCGTACGCGTGATGGCACGGCCCGACTACCTCGCGCAACCGACGACGAGCCGCTCAAAGGAGGCTTACGTATTGGCAAGATGTCGGAACACGGCTACGACGGCGACGGCCAGTACCACCACTACCTTACGCTATGGATGTTCGCTTTGAATCGCTTGGCACTGGCAACAGAGGAGCCGGAATGGAATCGTCTGGCCATACAGCTAGCGAAAGCCATTCATCCACACTTTGTGGTACGCCAGAACGGCGCCGCGACCCGCATGGTCTGGAAGGTCTCAACCGACTTGGATGACGTGTTGGTCCCGTCCGAGGGCCATCTTGATGCCGCGACTGGTTTTGCCGTGTACCGACTCCTGCAGCGCACTGCGGAAAAACTGCATGGCGGCCCGGCCGCTGAGGGACTGTTAACTAGCGAGATTGCAGACTATCGTCGGCTGATGGGCCGCGCGGGAGGGAGCAAACTGCAGGCTAGCCGCGATCCTTTGGATTTAGGCATGGGCCTGTGGATGGCACACTTTTTCCGCGATGAGGATTGGGCAGCTAACTTGGGTAACCAAAGCCTGGAGATGGCGCGGACCATGCTGCTGGACGAGCGTCACGGGCTGATGGCTCGGAATGCGTCGCGACGGCTGGCCTTCCGCGAGTTTGGGACATGTTTGGGGCTGGAGTGCTGGGGTGTTGATGATGACAGTTGCGCTGATCTGCGTAGGGGCGTGGATAATGTGGTTGACTTCTGGCATCGCTATCTGGAGGAGTCAACAGATGAGGATTTGCGTCCCATCTCGTTGGTTATGTATGCGGCTGCCTTGATACCAGGAGGTAAGTTGGCCTTGAAGACGGTAAAGTCAGTTGGGAGAATATGCGGGCTGATCAGCCATAGCATGGAAGGACGGATACCTTTGCAAGGAGTAAATGTGGTCCAGCTACTGGCATTTTTCTATTTTTGAACTTAAAATGGTTGCCAGTCGGAACTTGTAGGCTGTGTTTTCGAGCGCCTTTTCAGGGACCTATATTAACCCTAACCCCAAACCCCCCAGCTTAAACCAAATGCCGGGTTGTGTAATCTTACGAGGGACGTTTCATAAAGTAAATCTACAAATCTCATAAAGCTTGCCGTCGATTTATTCGACAAATACTCAAATTTTCTTGGACAGCTCTCTAAACACAGTCCTATTGCCCATGTCATGGAAACAAGCACGGTTTCATCAGCCGGATCAGCCCCACTGTTCGGGGGTCCCGGTTTTGGCTTCAGGGGAAAGGAAGGTCGGGCAGCCAACACCATCTGCCTTTCTCACACCTGCTAAGCTCAACTGTCGACCATCAAAATTTCACGGATCCGCGCCAATGCATCAATAAACAATGTTTACATATCTCCTTGGACTCATCCCAGTCCTTTTCTTCTTTGCAGACCCAATCTACAGGCTTTTTTCGCCGTCGGCAGGTCCACAAATCCGCCGGCTGCCCCGGCCAGAGCTTAACACGGACTTGCTGGCCCTCGAGGATGGTGTCAAGAACTACACCTGCCCTCCAGACCACTATAATGTCTACGTATACTCGCGGCATCCGCTAGTTTTATATATTGAGGGCTTCTTGTCACGAGACGAAAGGAAGCATTTGCTCGAGATAAGGTGTGTAGATGCCTGAATATCTCACTCCCAGGCATAGCTGGACTTACATGATCAGTGAGCCCCTCTATGCACCATCCACAGTTACGGCCGGGGATAGCACGGAACGCGTACCCGCGGTACGTGACTCCGAGGTGGCTATGATCCCCCGTACCGGTACGGTGAAGTGCATCGAAGACCGGGCACGCGCACTACAGGGCTGGCGCGATGAAGTGTGGATTGAACGGCTTCGGGTGCAGCGGTACCGCGAGGGCGGACACTACGAGCACCATTTTGACTGGTATACCCCCTTCCTTCACCTTCATTATGGCCTAGAAGCTGAGCAAAACAACTGACCGATCGCGGCGTCCGGATGTAGGGGTACGGGACGCGGTGGCTGGGGCAGAGTAAGCAGCTTCATGGTGTGGGTTTCTGGATCAGGTGTGGTCCAACAGGACGGGGCTGAGGCCGAGGAGATGCTTGAGGGAGGGGGCACTCAGTTCCCTCTTCTACCACATAGGCGGGATGAGAGATGGTGCCAGTTCATTGAATGTCCTCCTCCTGAACAGGCAGGAGATGATGACGCGGAACGGAAGGGCGTCATCTTTAGGCCGCGACCGGGAAATGCCGTGTACTGGGAGAATTTTATGTCGGATGGTTCCGGGAGGGCATTTGAGGAGACGTGGCATGCTGGACTACCGGTGAAGAAGGGAACAAAAGTGGGATTGAACATCTGGAGTTGGGGGAGGATTGAGTAAGTCGACTTTGTCACCCATAGGGCTGAGGAGTATGCTGCTGTCAATAAGACGCGGCCTTATGACGTATGACGTAGAAGGTTGCATCAGCTTCTCCAGCCCCCGCCAGCATGCTGTCTTATGACCACTGGCATTCCGGATAGTGATCGTGAAGTTCCTGCTATTTCCTGATGGTAAATTCGTAAGCCCTACTTCCCGTCCAGTGGGAATTTCGAGGAATATCGAGAACTCCCGATGTGCAGCTGTTAGGCGCTTAACATGGCCGTGCAAAATGGCGCACAGATGATCTTCTCTGGGTCTCTCCGCCGGTGTACTTCCCAGCCTCGCACTCGCTTGGCTCAGAGAAACGGGAGCCAGGTCCACGAGAACTGGAAAAAGTCCATCGTGTTGTGCGTTATCTCGTTTCCAGCGGTCCTCGATTGGGCAAGAGTGAGTCACCAACTGTTTGGGGGCTGGTCAGGGCTGGCAGGGTTTGTTCCTGCACTTTCTCGCTGATACTGAGAAACATGCGCAGGAAGGGGCTCCCATTGCCCTTTGGGGCCTTCCAGCACTATGAAAACTCCCCTTTTGGGAACAGGGCAAAGCTAGGGCGCGGGGGGCGTCCCTCAATTTTCAGGCATTTCCCCACGACATCGATTGAGGAGATTCGATGAGCGCATCGGCCGGCCGTTGCGTGGTGCGGAGGTACCGGAGTAACGGGCTTGGCTCGGTCGTCGGATCAAAATCCGTCCGCCTGAGACTTCCGAGATCCTGCGTATCCACTCCCGGGCCACCACCCGCCGCACCCGGGGCTTGGGCTCCCGCGCCATGGCTTATGCCAGGGCACAACACAGGCCGCCGCAAGCTGCCAAAGTGCCTGCAGAAAATACGAATTGGACTAACCTGGAGATTCGAAGGAGATTGCGGAGCCCGCGGGGCCTGTCACAGCCTGTCAGTCACGCTGCTATACATACATGGCTCGGGGCCCGGGCTTGTAGTCTAGTTCTGGGCCGATGTGTCTTATGATTCTCGACTCTCGTGGCCGTCTTTCGGCTGCTTCGGATTCCGTGTCGGTCTCGGCAACGCCTTAACATGTCCATGTCCTCCTCCAGCTCTCCCGAGGATGGTCGATCTGAAGCATCAGCATCGGCCGGCGCCCCGGGAGGACACGAGCCCTTGGCTTGTGTAAGCTGCCGCTCCCGGAAGCTCAAATGTGAGGCCTGAACTCTGCGTGGGTCTGGGGAGACCAAGACCCAAGATTTAAATTTTCTGAGTGCTTACTGTAATTACCACCAGGTGACCGTATCAAACCGGTTTGCTCTCGCTGTGCGAAGGCCGGTACCGAATGTGTGTATCCAGAATCCCGCAGAAAACCCGCTGTAAAGAGGCGTAATGTCAAGGAACTTGAAGAAAGGCTAGGTAAGAAGAGTCGGAGTTTTCGAGTAATGCTTTTTTTTTGGCAAGATCTTGTCAAGTGTTATTGACTCGCGAATCAGCCCAAGTAGAAGGCCTGCTCAGAAACGTTGGAGCACAAAGAGTTGGCAATTTGACTCCGCCAAGCATCTCACCAGTTGAGGCGCCGTCAGCTTCTGCTCGTGGGAATAATGCCTCCCAATCTGCAACGGGGAGGTCCCAGGGCAGGCCCCTGGAGAGGGGAGTTCGCTGGGTTCCCCCTTCTCCCAGTGATACTCCTCGGAGTGCGAATGATCCAAGAGCTGGCGAGCTGCTCTCACAGGGCCAGTTTGAATGGCTACCACCCTCCGAGATGATCGAGGACTTGTACGTGGTGACTGATTGATTGTTATATTTCTGTGATTATCTGCTGACAGCAAGGTAGGCACAACATCTATTTCGGGATACAGACCTACTTCTTGCCTATCGTACAACCACAAATCTACTTGGCAAAGTTTCACTCTCCCCCTCATATGCGTCCTCCGCTGTGCCTCCAGTATGCCATCTGGGCCTTCGCAGCACATAAGCATCCCGTTTATGGAGACCATTGGGAGGTCTTATACCGGCGCGCTCGTCAGTATCTAGAAGTGGATGAGCTAAAGGTCTGACCACGAAAGGCTGGCTTGTGAACTCCATCCTTCTGACCTATTCACAGGGAGAAGGCGAGCATTTCATCACTATCGCCCACGCACAGGCCTGGGCTCTTGTTGCCATGGATGAAGCCCGGTCCCTTTGGTTTACCAGGGCAGCCATGAGCACCGCAAGATGCGTCCGGCTGGTTGGCATGATGGGTTTACACCGGCTTGACAGCAACCTGCCTGAAGAGGAGCACCCTATAGCCCCGATGATCCCCCCTCACAAAGATTGGGTCGAGCTCGAGGAACGCCGGAGGGTCTTTTGGGGTAGCTTCTGTATCGATGCTTACGCAAGTATCAGTGCTGGCTGGCCCTCTATCATGGAAACTACTCAGGTATGGGGGTCCTTCGTTGGCTTTATGGTATGATTTGCACTGACCATTCTAAGATTACCACACATTTACCTGCATCAGAAGAAGCTTTTTTGAAGGGCACCGAAGAACCCACATCTACACTACAAGATGTGTTCCGAGGTGCTGACTACTCGATATTCGCGAGTAACATTGTGGTCTGCTATATTTTCAGCCAACTTATGAAGCATGTTCATCGTCCGATGCCAGATGATCGTCCCCAAGACGTTGAGTACGGACCCTGGTGGAAGCGACACAGAGAGCTGGATAACATGCTCTCCAGCGTGTTCATGTTCCTTCCAGAGAAGTACAGATTACCTAGAAACCTTCGTGACCCTATTGCTTTGCAGATCAATTTAAACCTACATGCTGCTGTTATCTGCCTTCACAACGCGGCTTGTGATAAGGTCGACAAGTACAAGCTCCCGGGCAACATCAAGCAGAGCAGCCGGACGCGAGTTCTGACTGCTGCCCAGGAGGTTGTTGACATCATTAAAATGACGAGCCACATGAGGGCCGCATATGTGAGTTCGCTGATATCCACACTTGTGGCCTACCTACTGATTAGAGCTTTGATGGGCAACAGCAAGGTCCTCTGATGGCTCTTTCATTGTATTGCGCCGCCTCAGCTTACATCTCGCATGCCCGAGATAATCCTCAGGACTGTGACCTCGGCAACCTTGAGATAATCATCAAATGCATGGATTCACTGAAGGCGTATCACCCGATACTTCGGGCCTATATGAATCAGATCCTGCTGGACATTGAACGCAATGGTCTGTCCAATCACCTTGACTACCTTCCACGGGGAGACGAAAGATTCCCGAGTCACATCCCAATTGTTGTTCGCGGCTCCGTCTCCAAGCACTCAAAACCCCATCCTCCGCTGCCAAGACGTTTGCCCTTTGGTTGTGAGACTCCTGTCCAGGGAATCGTTCCTCTGATGACGTGTGCATCTTTCATTGGGATGGTACACGCTGAGATTTCCGAAAATGAAAACGAAGGACCGGCCTCAAAGCGACAGCGTACATCTGACTACCCAGAGACACTTTCATCAGCAACAGCACCGAGAGTCACGAGTAGTTCCTCGGGGCCATCAAATACATGGTCAAGCGAAACAATGAAAAACACGATCTCTGGGATCTTGTCTAACTTCCCCATTGTCAGAGAGAGTTGTTCTTACACAACCAATTACACGAGGCACAACTGGATGACTACGACATTACCGGACCGTACTGGTTCCCAAGCGACAGAGACCCGCAATCCCTTGGACTTGGCCGCCGACTTTTCACAGTTATCTAGCGAAACAGCCACAGCAACTACAACCTCGTTCACCGTATCATCCACAACCGCAACTACCGCCATCAGCAACGACCTAAACATCAACCCCAACAGCAGCACCAGCACTGCCCCCGCCGTCACCGGCACCGCCCCCGCCGACCTGAACGTCTTCGACAACCTTGGGGAATGGGGCTTCACCGATCCTGAGGGTTTCTACAACATGCTGTATAGTGCAACCTTCGAAACAACAAGCCCTGCCGATTTCTCTGGGACATCCCAGCCTGACTCTATGGCGAACCTCGACCCCTGGCTGGGGATGAGCAGCTCGGGTGTGCCTTGGGCACCTGAAGCCGATCTAGGAGCCTCTCGGAATGGGGGAACTGACTAACTAGCTGACTTGTGTTTGCCGGTTGATATGACCTATTACGACTAACTGTACAATATCAAGAGATTCTATGTTTCAACTGGGACTGATGAGTCAATGTAATATGTACAGCATCTGTAAAGGCTTCAAGGCGTTGGGGGTAACGGGACTGCATAACAAGGAATTGCGGCTTGCATTAAACGATGATCGGGAGAAAAGCGCTCAACCACTCAGGAGAATGGGTGGTGTGTTATACAGTATCAAAGACTCTCCTCAAAGACAACCCCTCATCACTAACAAAACCCCATCTGATAACGGACAATAAAATTAATTGCAAGTGAGCAAATCTGATTCGATTATGGTGTTTATATAAACGGTGTGCTTTTATCTATCACTCATTACCTTCCCAGATCGAAGGCAAGGGTCACCTGCCTTCGGTCTATCAAGGGCTTTTCAAGGCCCTTCTTACATTTCCCATCAGTTTATTTTCATGACACATGACAGGTACCTAAAAAAGGTACCAGATCATAACTCATGACCAAAGAAGACAACAACGAAAAAACGTTGCGCTTAGAAAGCAAACACCTGGTCCTCAAGCTTGCTGACAGGGCGAGCTTTCTTGAAACCAAGACCCTCGGTGGCTTTCTTGAGACCGCTCACCATGGGCGGGGGACCGCAGAGCAAGATCTTGACATCGTCGGCCGGCTTAGGAAGCCATTTCTACAAAAAACTAGTTAGCAGCGGTACATTTACTGATGCGTTGTGAGAAGAGGGTTGAACTCACCTGGATCATCTCAGCCGTGACATAGCCCACACCACCAGTCCAGCCAGCAGGAGGCTTGTCCAGCACATAGTGCACGCGGAAGCCCTTGTCCTTGGCAGCGAGGGCGTCGAGGTCCTCCTTGAGAAGAATATCCTGCTCGGTGACGTTGGCGAAGATCAGGTCGACCTCGGTGCGATCGCCGTCCTTGCGGCCGCGGATGATGGCCTTGATGATTTGCAGCATGGGAGTGATGCCGGTACCACCAGCAATCATGCCGAAGGCGCGCACCATGTTGGGAGTGTACACGAAGGCACCCTTGGGGCCGCGAACACGAATCGTCTGACCAATGCTCAGAGAGGCAATGTGCTTGCTGATGTTGCCCTGAGGGTACGACTTGATCAACAGGTCGAAGCTGCCAGGCTGTTCGTCACCCGAGATGGGAGTGTACGAACGCACGATCTCCTTGGTTGTGCCGTCGGGCTGCTTGATGTCGGCGGCAATCGAGATGTGCTGGCCAATAGGTAGGCCCAGGATCGAGGTCGGGGACGGGAGCTTGAAGCGGTAGCTTGAGAGACGAGGTTAGTGGACTGAATGCTGCTGTTATGGTTCAAGAAGAGGGACTTACATGGCGACATTGTGCGAGAGAATGGTCTTCTCAATGAGCTCGAACTCCTGAAAAGCATCGGGCTTGAGGACCTTCTTGGGGGCTGCGTGCGGGATAGAGTGGGTTAATTAACTGCCGTGTAAACAAATAGAGCCCTTAGAGGCCAGCAGAGAACATACTCATCCGGTAGTACTTGATGCCGCCGAGGACGATGCCCACCAGCAGGGCATAGTGCGTCCACTCGGTCTTGATAATGGCCGTGCCGAGGACAATGAGGCCGAGCGGGATGTAGATCCCGTCGAAGTACTTGCGAGCAAGAAGGGACTCGGAGGCCATGGTGACTGCACTTGTTCCGGCGTGTATCTGCTGTTCCGGCCCTATCCCTTTGTCACAGAGCTGGTGTCTGCCTCTCGCAAGCAAAGGCGTGCGTATGTCTGCTGGCGGCGGCGTTTGGGCCTGTCAGAGGCAAAACACTGGGCGAGAAGGGTCTTCGGGGTCGGGGATGTGTCGGGGGACTCCAATTGATAAATTTGGGCCGCCGAAGAATGCGGAACGGGGGTGGGAGGGCGAGTGGGCCGATTTTTGCTGCGGGTTGCGGGTTACAAGAGGCGGGTTGGCGAGTTCTAGCGCTGAAATTCTACTGTTTTGGTGGGGAACCGAGGGGCCCCATCAACGTCGTGCAAGTATCCGTGGAGCCCACTGGGGCCAGTCAGAAGGCGTGGCAGCGTGGCAGCACCCTTTGGGCTCAACAATTTGCTGATCCCCGGCACGAGCCGAGACCAGGGCTTGACAGGGGGGTTTTAAACCTCCGAGCCACCAAGCACGGGGTCGCGGCAGTCAGTTGGACGGCAAGCTTGGAGAAGCGCAAAACGCTCTATGTCAATCGAAGATGTGAAGCCATCTCATTTGAAATCCGAGGGGGGAGCCAAGGCACCAAAAAGATCTGAGAAGACTCCAGTACTATTGACTGGAAGTTGGCTGAAGAATTCGTTTACCTTTCGCCCTCAATCAAGGCCTTATCGTTGACTTGACAGTGGTTGATGTGTCCCTTCTTGTCGGCTCGACGCTACTGTCTCTCGCTTACTTGTACAACATGCGCTATCTGGTTTGATGTCTTTCTCACCCGTCGTTCTTTCTACCCAAGGTCCCTGGTTTCGGTTGCCCAGATTTTGACCCTTCAGCCCTATCTGTACCCCGCGGCACGACTTGGCAAAAGTTGGAGCAGCATATCCGGGAAGAGCTGTGAGACAGAACCCCACGTGCAAACACATCCATCACGACCGGACGCGGATAACGGTTTCCAAATGGGTCGCGACGCGAACGCGGAGTTGCCGTTCAACCTTACTGAGACAGATAGACTGGTACTGTCGCAGACGGACGAGGATTTTGAGGCACATGACTGGGAAAATTTGCAAAAGCTCATTGGTGATTTCATACCCTGCCCCGACCCTGCCCTACTCTATGTCAGATGTTAAGCAAGGCTCTAACATACAGCCTAGGAGCCAACAAACTTGAGCTCCTCAAGCGGAAGCCGTCTGACCTCAGACGCTATATCCAGTGGAGTGCCAGCGTCAGGGTAGAATATGGAAGTGTAGCCAACTACGTCCTTGTCAACCGCCTGCCTAAATCCTGGGGTCAGCCGCCCTTCACTCCTGCCTCCAGCACACCGTTCGCGGACCCCTCCGACTACCGGGTGCTGATCAACGAGTGGCCCTATGGCCTGGCACCGGGCATCACTCATCTCGTTGTGTGGTCGCGCACCCTGATCCCCACAGATGATGGGATCGGCGACCTGACGCCCGAGAGTCGGAAACTAGTTGCAGACTTCGTGAAGCGTTATTTCGTTGAGCGGCTAGGTCCTGGTGGAGAAGATCGAGTGCTGTGGTTCAAGAACTGGGTGTCGTTGCAGAGTGTGCGGAGTGTCGATCATGTCCATGTCCTGGTGAGGGATGTTGGGCCTGAAATCATCGAGGAGTGGACGAAGGAGCAGGATTACCATAAAGAGCGGTCGATTTAATTGTCATTATAGAGTATATAGCTTGATAGGTGGCGGCTGAAGTGATGAGCGAAGTCTCTGTTGCATTTTACACCGCCCGGCGTTGTTTGCGATTGCCCGCTGCCGGCGGAGCGTTGGTTCCCAGCTGGGCCATTTGCCTGGCGGCGCCAAACATCACAATAGCCTTGTAGGCACCGAATGCGGGCACAACTGCCCAGAGAAACCATGCCCAATTGCCGAAGAAAGCTGCAAGAACGGTGCAAGCCCATGTAACCCAAACGATATCCCACATGTACTCGGTCAGACCATGGGCGTCGAGGTCTTCGCCCGCAGACTTGAGTGCTTTCGTTGTGGGATCATACTGTGGACGACCAGCCTTCTCCAGGGTAAATTGACAAACGAAGCTTGGAATTGAGAGGCAGAACCAGAGCAAGAGTGAGCGCTTCCTGAATATGAAGTGCAGGAGTAAGAAAAGACCGTTGGCGATTACTGAGCCGAGATGGAGGTTCTTGAGCGCGGCCTCGTTAGACTTGGCCCGGTCTTTGCGAGCCTTCTGGGCCATGTTAAATCAACGATCAACCGAGTTTCAGCCAGGCGTGGACGTGATAGTGCTGAGGGTGCTGAGTGCCGGAAAGCCGCTCTTGAAGCGAAAGTGAAAGTTGAGACACGCAACAAGATAAAAGCTACAGCTTGCCTCAAAGTGCATCCAGGGCATCGAGTTCTTGGCATCCCTGGGACCGTCCCCACAAACAGACCGTCGAGGTCCCCGGGCACCAACTGAGAATCAGCCTTTATGTTTCAATAAAGAGCTTACAAGATAACTAATGAAACAAACTTATTCACAGTTTACTCTTCATTACATATGGAGGAATAACATTTTCCAACGGGCGATTAACCATCTAGTCTCGTGCAGTCAGGGGCTGACCAGAGGCATCGAGATACGATTGTGTGGCTGAGGCTGTGGCGTTGTTCCACACAGCCTGTTGCTGGGCAGGCTACAGCGGCAGGGCCATGACGCGCTGGCCAATCAAGGACCCCTGAGGGGCCCACCACAACATTGCAGAGCAAGAAGCGGTTAACGCCCTGACAGCATCAGCTTCCCGCCCTTCCAGGCGACTGACACTTTACAAGCGAAAAAATCATCAGCTTCAACGGACTGGAAGCTCAGGGAAGTTTCCTGGGGTACCTACTTCCCTCATCTCCTGTCCATCAAGAGCTGGCACGTGGCTCTTTGGGCAGTCGTAACTTTGCGGGCAAGGAACACGACAAGAATTTGACGACCAACGTCAACATCACCCCTGCGGGTCCGCATTGCCTCTGTTGTTTTCCGTTTCTTCTCAGGAGACGGGGACCGGCGCTTTCTGAACGACAAACCCACACCCCGCTCAGCTGTGCGCTTTGTCGAGCCTTTTACAGTCACTGCATTCGATAGCCGTCGCGCATACGACCGAGACACCGATAATTCTGTTTCTAGTCATTTAGCAGTCGCATTGCCGTTACCTGGCTACCCATCGACCGACCCTCCCAGGGGGAACCCTTCGCGCGACTCGACACCAGCAACACCACTGCAGCCTGAGCGAGAATTCTTCCGGGTCCGTCGCCGCCGTGCCGCACGCACGCTCTGTTCAGCCGCTGCCTGAGGGCTGCATCCAGTTCTTTAGACGATCGAGCCCGCCTCATGCCGAGACAGGCTCCGACGCTTGAAGCCGCTTGCTGGTCCGGGCGATCCCATGGATTCACGTCGTCGTCGGTAGCAACAAATTATTACGTCGCACCTCACCCTAGCGCCTCTGTGCCTGCTTCGACATGGCGCCCAACAGCGCCGCAATTGCGGGCTTACTGAAGCAGACCATCCACTACCATCTCGACAACTTCTCCTATCAGAACGCTCTCTTCTTTGCTGAGCGGCTACATGCCCACGATCCCCGCGCCCCCGAATCCGTATATCTTGTTGCCCTTTGTCACTTCCGGCTGGGCGATTGTCGGTCCGCGTACGAAGTTAGCAAGCCCTTGGGATCCCGCGGAATCCATCTGGGATGTGCCTACATCTTCGCCCAATGTTGCTTGGATTTGGAGCGTTACAAGGATGGGATCAACGCACTGGAGAAGTCGCGACACTTGTGGAGGGAAAAGTCCAGCATCGGCAGGCATACTGAAACTACTCGGGTGCCCTTTTACGATGCAGCCGCCGTGAGTTGTCTGCTTGGCAAGCTCTACCGGGCATATGAGGACAAGAAGAGAGCCGTCTCTTGCTTCGAAGATGCCTTAAAGGTCAACCCATTTATGTGGGATGCCTTCAGCAGCCTTTGTGACATGGGCGTGAACGTTCGAGTGCCAAATGTCTTTAAATTCAGTGACTCCTTTGCACGCAATTTCGATCAGGCGCCTAGCTCGGCCACTGAGTCTCTCAATGGACGCATGCCAGAGCCTTTACAGAGGAAAATTGGCATACAGGGCGTCAACCATGACAGCGATCCGTTCGAAGGCCCCCGATCCACCGCGTTTCAGGACTTGCCAAGCAACAACATGCTGTATGTCGACCCTGGAGAGCATGACTCAGTGTCGAGGATACCTGGAGCACCCTCGCGGTACACATCGAGTCAAACGAGCAAATATGGTTCAGACGGGATGGAAACTCCCACTGGACCTAGTGCTCCTCTCCTGGAGACACAGGCTTCACGGGCCGCGTTCCCCGCAGAGCCACCTCAGGCACCCGCACGCCGGACACGTGCTGCACACGCCGCAGAAGCAAGCTTCCAAGAAGCACCGCCAAGGATCAACTATCGAATTGGTACGAGAAGGAGAACTCAGGCACAGGAGCAGGGGACGGACGCTTTAGAGACGGCAACGGCCATTAAGAATTCGTCATTGTCGAACACCACTGCAGCCACCGAGAGGAAACGTACGGCGTCTGGGCAACCCGTTCAGCCTCGCCCCATCAACGTTGAGGAGCCGAGGAGGAGTGCTCGGCTGAACATGGCTCCTAGAGCAACTGCAGCATCAAGAGCTAATACGACCGCCGCTGCAATAGGCCCGCCGCCAGGCCGCGAGCTGAAGAGGGCTAGGCCCCCGATACAGGGGAGGATCACGCGTCCTGGTTCCAGCGGTGCCACTGTTGGCAGGGTTGTCAGCGGGTCCCGGAAGGCTCAGGAGGAGAACAATATGGACGTTGACCAAGCTGAAGCTCCACGGATGAAGGAAGTGCCTGCTGCGCAAGCAGCTCCTCTCAAGGTCCCGGATCCGGACCCAAATAAGGTCGATGAGGCGCTGAAGTGGGTTTTGGACCTCTTGAAAAAGATGGCATCCGGATACTTGCTCGCCTCTCAATTCCAGTGTCAAGAAGCACTGGCAGTGTTCTCATCACTTCCTCGTAGCCACCAGGATACGCCGTGGGTCCTGGCGCGGATGGGAAGGATTCAGTATGAGCAAGCCAACTACGCAGAGGCCGAAAAATACTTTAGGCGTTTGCGTATTCTTGCTCCAACCCGCCACGAAGACATGGAAGTCTACTCCACCGTCCTCTGGCATCTGAGAAAAGAAACAGACCTCTCCTTCCTGGCACATGAGCTCATTGACGCCGTATGGGACTCACCACAGGCCTGGTGCGCCCTGGGAAATGCCTTCTCGTTGACTTCTGACCACGAACAGGCACTCAAGTGCTTCAAGCGTGCCATTCAGCTTCATCCCAAGTTTGCATACGCGTACACCTTGCAGGGTCACGAACATGTGGAGAACGAGGAGTATGATAAGGCTCTAATGGCATACCGGCACGCAATTGCTGCCGACAAGCGCCACTATAACGCCTATTACGGCATTGGCAAGGTTTACGAGAAGCTAGGCAACTACGAGAAGGCGCTGAATCACTATCATTCCGCCTTGGTTATTCATCCAACTCATGCCGTGTTGATATGCTGCATGGGATCGGTTTTGGCGAGGCAGAAGCAAATAGTTCAAGCGCTCCCTTACTTCGCCAAGGCGGTGGAGCTGGCTCCCCGCGCACCTGAGATTCGGCACCAGAAGGCACGGGCGTTGCTTGCGACTGGGCAATTGGAGGAAGGGCATCGGGAGTTGATGATCCTGAGGGATCTGGCCCCTGATAATGCCCAGGTCCATTTCCTGCTGGGCAAGCTCGCTAAGACACTGGGCGATAAGAAGTCGGCTGTTCGCCACTTCACCATTGCGCTGAGCTTAGATCCCAAGGTAAGTTTATTGTTTTCCCCTGCTCTTGTCCTTTGTTGGGTAGGCTGCTAACATTCGTTCCAGGCGAGCGCCGAAATCAAGGAAGAGATTGGAGCTCTTGACGACGACGATTATGTGGACGATTCCATGATGCGTTGACGACTGTGCCAAACGAATTCGAGTGGTTGAGCTTCGCTTAATCCCTATCTACTCTCTCCCCAAGTCCCCCTATGCTATCTGACGCAACGAATAACGGGGTAGTGCATTCTCACCAGCGTACCTACAGATGGGAGCTACGGAGGGGGTTTGGAGTTGCAGCTTGCAACCTAGTCGAATAAGGCAGATAAAGGAAGCAGGGAAAAGCGTTGGAGCGATGCTTCGGAGAACGGCGGCGGTTCTTTCTTTCTTTTTTTCTTTGGAAACAATGCATTTTCCAGCATTGGCAGGGCGTTCCTGGAGAGCATAACATCGAGAGCGGGCCTTGCTTCGTCATCTAGTCGGAGCCCTCGTGAGATACTGGGTTGGGAGTTTTGTGTATGAGTACTTCAGCATTGCATTGGCTGACATATGTATATTATGGAGTTGAGGAGCATCATCAGGGGCAGGAATGGGCGGGTTGGCGATGGTCTCTTGAAGGGAGAGTTGCGAGAGGTATCAAAATGGGTAATACAGGACTTTTGGGCGGGACGATCGCATTGATTGGCACCTAAGATCCCTAACGATCATGACTTGGATTCTTGGTTAACATCAGGCCCGGTCGAGAAGGTTTGAGAGAATCTTGCAATCCCAATCACCATGATCCGATACAGTATTGGACTTCCATTACATTCAACCTGGGCTCAGAGCTGCTGATAAGCATGCCACTGAGCCCTGTGACGTAAGTGTGCTGTGTAATCCGTAGGGCTCCCCCCAGTTGCACATATGTTTTAAGGTTTTCGTGATGTGATTTGAAGTTTGCTCTTAAAAGGCACACAGGCCCCAGCAGGTTCAGCAGGTAGTGCACTCCGGCATCCACACACAGCAGTGCATTAACCGAATCCCAAACCGGCACACTGGGCTGACTGAAGGGCCCGTGGCCGAGAGGCCCAGGTGTGGAAAGACGCGATCTGGCGCGCGTGATCCTGAAGTCGGCCGTGGAACCAAACACGAGCGCTCGGACCAAGTCTGATTTTCCGGCCAATCGTCGTGCCAGTTTTGCACGCAGGAACCAGAGCTCGGGCCAACTCTGGCGGGGCTAGGTAATCCCTCAAAATGCCCGGCACCACAGGAAAGCAAAACAGCGATCAAAGCGAGCCAAAAGGCCGTTTGTTTTCACACGATTTTTTTGCTCCCCAAACTGGAATTCAAAAGAGTATTTTTGCAAGAATTACCAACAATCCACAATCCGAAAATGGATTAGTGCCACACCTCCCTCAAATCAGCACCAGTGATCCTGCACCCTGCGCCTAGCATTATTTAAACCCCATTTCCCTCGCTCTCCCCATTTTTCCTAAACACTGTTCTTTCTACCAGTTCTGTGTTCCCGGCCTCCATCTACGGCATCAACTTTCCATCGGCTTTTCAGCCAAACGCATCAAAATTTATCAATTTAAAACACAAGACCTTATTCAGGACATCATCCAAAATGACTGGACGTAAGTTTTACCAGTTTTTACCTTTGTTGTCGCCGAATGCGCGGTTTGCAAGTTGTCTTATGCTCTCCATGTGGTGTTGAATGAAGTGGGGCGCGCGCCTCTGGGCGCGTCGAGCCCACGCAGCACCAACGCCTCGCGTCTAGACGCATGCACACTATGCCATACACATGGCTTCAGACATTTTGATCATCAACCATGCTGACATCTCATCAGGTGGCAAAGGTGGTAAGGGTCTCGGAAAGGGCGGTGCCAAGCGCCACCGTAAGATCTTGCGCGACAACATTCAGGGTATCACTAAGCCCGCCATCCGTCGTCTTGCTCGTCGTGGTGGTGTCAAGCGTATCTCAGCCAGTATGTTCAATTCCGATGCATTACCACCGCACCATGTTCTAACAGAAATGCAGTGATCTATGAGGAGACCCGCGGTGTCCTCAAATCCTTCCTGGAGAGCGTCATCCGTGACGCTGTCACCTACACCGAGCACGCCAAGCGCAAGACTGTCACTTCGCTCGACGTCGTATATGCTCTCAAGCGCCAAGGCCGCACCCTCTATGGCTTCGGTGGCTAAAGTATCTGGGTTTCATGAGTTGGGGACGGAGTCTGCTCGAGGCTTGCCATGGTGGTTTCCGGAAGCCTCGAGAAAGTCCCTGCGTGCGCTCACAGCTCCAAGACACGGGGGAGAATCCCCCATAAATGGGATTACTTCGCAGACTCCACGTGTACAGCGTGGCAGATGCTGGTCCCCGCAATTGGAACGGTTGAGGGCACACAGGAGACGGGTGTTTCTCTTTTTCATGGTATGGCTGGGACACATTTTTCGCGGTTGTTTCACTGGCGTTGGGCTGGGGTAACTAAGGGCATCACTGGGAATATCCTGGGCGTCTCTGGAACGAGTAGTAAATTGATGAGAACATACATAGTAAATTTCACTTGTGATTACACCGACTCTTGGCTTTTGGAGTGGCATGTCTTTGAACGCTAAACTTTCAATCCGAGATCTCAGGAATTTATCCAGAGTGTTTAGAGTCTGGACTTTAATGGTATTATGACATTACGAGATCTAAGTCCAAATGAGTTACAGGTACTTCCTCCCCGCCGCAGCAACTTTCTGCCGGAAAATAGGGCTCTTGATTTCTTGATTGGCCTTGTAAAACGGGCTCATAATAGCCTTGACATAGTTCTCGTAGACTTCATTAAAGAAGTTCTTGATAGCCTCTTCTGTTTGGGGACTGGTTGGATTAGCTGCAATTGATGTTGAGCTCCGTGAGGCTGCATTCCCGGCCGTCTGTGCCGGTGGTTGGTGTAGCAGCAGGAACTTGACGTTCCCGCCTGTGATAAAGCACGAGATGTAGTTGTTAAAAAACTTGTCGATTACTTTAAGATAGCTGATTCAATAAATAACGAGTTCAGCATGGTGTTTCTCCTGGGGGGTCGAGGGTTGCCCGCAACGAGAGTTGAAGGGAAAGGGGCTGTCACTCACAGTTGCCCCGTCGTCCACTGCAGCTCTTCGACAATGTCCAAACTGCTGTGCAGGATGAACTGGTTCAGATGCCGCGCCTGCTCGCCGAAGCGAGCCTGGCCGTCGCCGCCCTGCTTGCTCGTGCCGAATTCGTATTCGAAGAGCGGGTTGTCTTGCGTGCCAATTATAGCGAAGTAGTAGCTCATCTTGAAAGGGCGGTTTGTGATAGGCCGCTACGACGGGCGTGATGTTGCAAATTTGTTGTCTCGGGGCAAGACTGTAAAGCTATCGGTGTATGATCCGTCACAAGGCGTATCGTAGCAAGGTGCTGGAGCACTGATCGGTATCGTCGGCTTGCGCGGCGGTTGTTTGGCAGTAAGGCTGAGATTACAGAGACCATATCTTGGTGGTTGTCGCGCCGCCTCACTGGCAGCCCCCGACAGCAAGCGGCCCACCGCCCGCCCGGCCTTGTTTGGAGGTTGGGATGCGCTGCGCTAGCGGCTGCTGCAGGGCGGCGTTTCCACTGGCCGTGGGTGGGCCGCGGGGTGTTCTCTCTTGTGCCCCACTTCTTCGACAACGAGCTTTAGTGAAACATGATTGGCTACGCCGGAGCCGCGTTTTTTTGGATGTCCCGGTCCCGTAAGGTTCTCGAGACCATAGTCGTTTGTACCCATCCTCCCGGCGGACCGCGGCTGCTTTCCACACCCCTCGCCCCGTCCCCAGATACAACAATCATGTTCGGGCCGTTCAGAATCACAAGTGCCCTGAGTGGCGGTCTTCTATGGTGAGCGCTGACCCCGATAGACGCCGCGAACAGCAGCAGGGGCCGACTAGGAATCAATCGACTGACGATCTTCTTCCCCGCAATAGGAAGATACCATGGCGCCTGTCTCCGACCCAGAAGGCCCGGCAACGGAGGAGGTTACGGGCGGTCGACACGGTCGTTGAGGTGCTGAGCAATTCGCTGGCCAAGACGGGCCAGAAGTGTACGGCCGTCGAGCGGTGGAAGGCCGAGATGCCCACCGAAGCCGAAATGCTCCCTCGCGACAAGTACACTATGTTCGACCGCAAGGCTAAGCGGTACCGCAAGGGAATTCACAGTACGTCGGCTTCTCTCTTGCTTCTGCCCAATCCCCCCCTGTGTGTTGAGCATCGTGTCCCTGATGATCGTGTTGTCGACAGAGCTGCCCAAGTGGACTCGTGTCAGCCAGAGACTCAACCCTCCCGGTTTCTAAGAGAGGAGCGATGGAGCGTTGGCGTATGGTCATGTTGCTCTTGTATTATACCACTGTGCAATAGACGGCGTTATGATGGAATACAATCCGATCTTCATGGTTCTGGCCACAAGGAAGAAGAACCTGCCGAGGGAGGCAGACTTAGAACTATGTGAATAATTTCCTGGGTATGAACTATATATTGTAAATGACTACCGAAACCCATACAAGAAGACCCAAAACAATTATCTCAGCCGAGCATAGTTATCGTCAAATTCACGGGCTTCGCGTTCGCGCTCCCTCATGCGCTGCAACTGAATCTGTCGACCAAGGCCACCGCGGCCTTCGTCGTAGTCCTCACGATACTCATCCCGCACTTGGCCGCCAGACTTTCCGCGGCCGTACTGTCGGCCTTCGGTGAAGCCAGGGTCCAAATCTGTCCGGATAATGCGTTCATCGAGCTTGGTGCCGCCGATATACTTCATGCAATCGAGCGCGTCCTGGTGAGTGTAGTACTCGACAAAGCAGAAGCCACACGGTGTCTTGGTGTAGCGGTCAAGCCCCATGACAAGGCGCTTGATCTCGCCACACTTAGAGAACAACTCATACACCTGCTCTTCGGTGGTGTAGAAGGACCTAGTTGCAAGCGGCGCGGTTAGTATCGTGTCCGTCGCGTCGACCTTGAAGGGGAGCGAAGGCGACTCACAAGTTACCCACATAGAGAGTGGTCGCATTCTGGAGCTTGACGACCGGATCTTCCTCCGGGCTGCTAGAGTTATCCTCACCTTCGCGATGTTCCTTGTCAATGCGCCTGCGTTTATTGCTCTGCAACTTGGAAGGGAGCAAACTCGTGTGTTAGAGGGCAACTGTCCGTCTCAAACAAACTTTTTACATTGAAAGACACAAACTCACCCGGTTCAGAAAATAGGCGCTCGGCTGATCCAGCCGCTCAACTGTTGTCCGTGGCCCTCGCATCTTTGATGCTGATGGTAATTAAAAATTGGCGATGGCAGTTCCAGAGCAGGTGCAAGGACGATGTTGTGTAGGTTGTTTGTTACGTGCCGTCACAAGGAAGATGCCAAGAGCCAAGGCACGATTGGACCCATTTGCCAAGCCCAACTTGCAGGGGACCAGAGCGAAAAAAGCTGGGACCTTTCAGTTGCTTGAGAAACGCGCTTGTCACGTCGACCCATCGTCCAGTGGCAGCAAAGCTCCAGCCTCAAACACTCCAAACATTTCCACTTTTATCAAAGACAGGCCAGCCCACCATACGGGACCCCCTTCGGTTGTGCGCTTTGAAGAGAGCTTCCCAATTGCTTCTTTCTTCGCTCGACAACTCCGCACAGTCGCATCAATCAATCGACCAGGCGCGCAATTGCTGACGGCCACAACCGCGTCCTATAGATGCCCAAGATTAAGAGTTTCGCGCCCGCGTGGCTGAATGAGCCGGCTCCCGGCCACAAGTTGTTTGCGCCTGCCGCCGACGATGGCACTGCCACTGTCCCGCTTGCCTATGGCAAAAAAATCAAGCCCGGTCCACGCAGAACCATAGCGCGGCGAGGAACAGAAATCTTCGTCGCTTGCGGAAAGCAAATCCGCTGGGGAGATCTCGCCCAGCTCAAGGAGTCTTGGGAATCCCGCCCCTCACGCTCCAGTGTCGGACCGACTTCTACCAAAAAGGATAGCTCTGATTTTGATGATGGCGCAGCGACTGCGGGCTATCGGGTGAGTGTAGCGTGTCGCACGGTTGGGACTATCGAACATGAGGCTGACGCTTGTCAACACACAGATAATCAAGACGCCTGTGGCGGATGACATTCGCCAGCTGGTAATGTCGCCGAACCAAGACTTCCTGGCAGTCTTGACGTCCCATACTGTTCACATCTGCATCCTCCCTGATTCGTCCCACCTACACATTCAAGACACAACTCCATTCAAGCCGAAATTCTGGACCCTTGGCCCAACCACCCACGTAACGTCCCGATCAGCGGTCGTTTCGGCTGTATGGCACCCCCTTGGAGTCAATGGGCATGCGTTGGTTACCGTCACCGAGGATGCTATTGTTCGTGTTTGGGAACTCTCCACGGCGGACCGCTGGACCTTCGACGCTCCGACTCTGGCCATTGATCTAAAGAAGCTTGCAGATGCGACCTACCTTGACCAGGACTTTGGCGTTTCAACTTCAGCAACAAATAAAGGTTTCTCGCCAGATGCGTTTGACATGGAGGTCGCCGCTGCGTGCTTCCCAACCAGAGACTCTGGTGGATGGGCCCCGATGACGCTTTGGCTTGCCATGACCTCTGGCGACGTTTATGCTCTCTGTCCGCTACTTCCTCAGCGCTGGACGCCGCCTCCTACCTTGATCCCGTCTCTATCGGCTTCCATTGTTGCCAAGGTTGCTGCCGCAGAGGACAACCCGGAGTCTACTCCTGAGGAACGTCTCGTGGCTCAGCAACAGCTGGAGTGGATGTCTGAAATTGATAACCAGGAGCCTAAACTCGTAGAGGAAGCCACTGGCGAGGCCACGATAGAGGTCTACACGCGTCCGAGCCGGCCAGGGTTGGTACCTAAGCTCCAGGGTCCTTTTGATTTCGACTTGAATCCCGAAGATGAACAGGACGATGAGGTGGAGCTGAAGGATATTTACGTGATCGGCGAAAAGCCAAGGGTTGCGGACCTGATGAGAGGTGAAGAAGAGGAGCTTGAGATGATGAAAGAGGACCAACACAATGGGCTGTCCCTCAACATCATCTGCCTGCTTTCTACCAGCGGCCAGGTCAAGATCTGTCTCGATATCGACGGGGTTGAGGCCCAGTGGCTTCCTCCCCGGTCCAAGAACAAGAGATTGTTTGCGCCGCCGCCTGAGCCCCCAAGCCTCCTTACCTTCCAGACCTTTGACACACTGAAGCCGGCCGAGGTTACACCTGATGGTTGGCCTATGTTTAGCGAGGACGCCACGTCTCCGTACTCCTTCTATGTTACACACCCTGCTGGCATCACATATATTTCTCTCACCCCTTGGGTATTCCGCCTTGAAAGCGAGCTCCAGAGTGATTCTGAGGCTGGCACTGAATTCCGGATTGACCTATTAGCAAAGGGGCAGGGTTCCGAGCGGGATCGTATCTTTACACAGACCCGCACTCAAAGCCCGCTGGCTGCTGCCACATCCATCGATGACCCAGACCTTGGCTATTTCATCTTGTCGGCTACACAGACCGACCCGATTGCACTTTTCTTTGAGACACCAGAAAGACCAGTCGTACCGAAGGAGACGTCTGTTGTCATCCCCGAGCATGTCGAAGAACGGCCGCCTAGCCCCTATTGGGAGCCTCGACCTCTTTTTCATCCTGCCGAGGCCTTGGACAAACCTAGTGCTGTGCCTGCCTGGATTGACAACCTGAGGACCGGTCGGCGGCGCCCATTACTTACACAGGAACTCCGACTCTCTATGGCTACATTGGAGGTGTTCCATGACGGTCATAAGGTTGTCTCAACCGAGGTTTCGGATATCAACGACGCCGTTGCGGAACTGTTCAGGAAATGTGAAGCGCTTCAGGGAGAATTGAGAGATCAGATCAAAAAGGTGAACGAAGTGAAGAACCGGATTCATACTATTACGGGTGATGATCTCTCCGATGACCCTCCTGTGTCAGAGGACCAGCTCATCAAGCAGAGGATCCGGGTGGCAAGAGAAAGGCAAGAAGAGCTAGCCAACAGGATGGAGAGGCTGAGAAAGAAGTTCGGGAGAACGACCACTCGGGAGCTGTCGGACAAGGAAAAGGCTTGGATCGAAGAAGTGCAGAACATGGCAACCAGCATCTTGGGTCCCGAGGCCGGTCAGGGGGCGCTGGCTACGACACCTAACCTCGCAAAGCAACCATGGAAACGGCTGGAGGAGATCAAAACCCTCCGGAATGCCCTGATGGCAGAAGCCGAACAGTTGCAGAAGGTTGGTGACGATACCGAAGAGAGCACACCAGCTTCACAGATGCCGAGCCTGAAGATCCCCTCGGAGATTAGAAAGGCAAAAATGGCTCAAGTTATGAGCTTGCTTGAGCGAGAATCGGCACTCGTGGACGCTGTTAAGGCCAGAATCGAGAGGCTCAGCATTGGGTAGGTATGGGAACCCGAGAATATGGAAGGACGCATGTTGTACTGTCGACACCCATGAAGGGAAAAAGAAAAATACGAGAACAAGTGAACAAATTCCAGTGTATACATTCAGAACTATGTCCCACAACGCCTCACGTCTCAATCAGAAACCTGGCAGGATAATGACCCATTCGATCCGTTTCAACCCCATTTCATGTCACGAAAACCAGACACATGGCAGTGCATGGCCTAATACTGCAGGTTTGTTGTATTGAGGTTAGTCAAGTGTAAGTTAATATCCTGGGAGCAAATGACGCCTTCGTTATTGGGCGAGGGCACGCTCACCGACGCAATATCCGATCTCGGAACCCCCCCCCTCAGTCATTTCTGTATGGCTTTTCAGCTGGCAGTTGCTTGCTCTCCAGCGTCAACATCCTGCAGTCGCCCAAAAGGAGGGCAACCCTGAGTCCTATACATACAAAATCTCAATACCTTAGGCAGTTTATCTGAGCGTCCCCATCTCTGGTTATATTCTATATCCTGAGAGATCACAATGTATAGTAAGAAGCAAACAGCCTTTCGAACCTTTCCGATGCAACACAGATATATAAAATCGCATCTCGTCCCCTCTCCCGTAATAGGCGGACGTCAAAAGGTTTTTGATGCCTTAGCATGGGTATTGTTCCGTTGTATGAGTTTTCACCCTATAGCAATCTCTCCACCGCACCATATGTAGCCAATGCTGCTTAAGCTCTGGGCTTAGAACCAATAGCTCGGAACACCAAGGCAAACCTACATTTGTTCGTGCCAGCTCGATTGGATACACGATTACCTTGTTTACCGCTCCTCTCGTGACTAAACGTCCCAGCACCGGGGGGGAATGAAAATGATATTACCACTCTACCACGGATTGACCGATCGCTCTCCCATGGAAACTGATGGTGTTTAGTCGTGGCAAAAGTACACCGCAGGATGTACATGAGGCGAAAAACGAGGCGGAATAAGTAACTGCATCATGGACATGACTTCAACCGTTTTTACAGGGTAGTCAGCCACCCCGTGAGGTGTTTCCCTCCCACGGGATGACGATTATCCAACACCGAGCCAGAGCCTTGATGCAAGGCTGATGTATAATGCTGTCTCAAAAAGCGCAGAGGGCAACAGCATAAATATCCATCTCTCACCCCTTTAGATGATCCGGACTTTCCCCTCGGACAGTCAGTTTTCTCCTCTCGGACTTAAGGTATTCCAATGCGTGTGCCCCTGATTCTATCCGAGCTTTCACCAACTGCAACTGAAGCTACTTCATTCATTACAATGGCGCCCGTTTTCTCCTGTCCCGTTGATCTGCGCGCTCAGATTAAAGGTAGAAACATTGAAAAATATGCCTATCTGATAGCATAAGTGCCTGCTAACATCTTTGGCTGCATCTGTAGATAATTGCTTGTTTCTGCAGAACCACCTAGATGCAGACTTCTTGATTATTGTGGCCAGAGAGGCTCCTAAGCAATACAAGGCAAGTGTGGTGAAAACTGAAGGCCGCACTAGAACAAAGCTTTTTTCTGCATCAGGAGCATCCCAGGACGACGCCTTGCAGGCTCTCTTCGATGAGACCTGCGAAGCCGTCAACGACCATATCAAGACAAACGGCTATGGGGTGGCGCGGGATGCCAGGAAGCACAAATCTAAGAAGTCCCATAAAGTTTATAACGACGATAGCGACTCAGACATCACTTCATCTGCTACAACTGTCGACGGCTATGAAACCTTTTCCGATGAGGAAACGGTCTCCGTAACCTCAGTAGCCAATACTGAGGGACATGGCCGACGCAGCAAGCATCGCGGGAGATCCACTAAGAAGAGTACTACCCGGAAATCGAGGAGGCCACGCTCGCGTTCTCCGTCGTCTAGCTCCAGCTCTTCCGATTTTGAGACTGACGTTAGCTCGATTTCTCGACCGCGAGTATCTGTCGTCCCTCCTTTCAGGGCCATCACGCAACGCCCCACGGCCCATACCCCCTATGCCACGCGCTCTCCTCTGGGGAGCCAGCCCGCTCCTCAGATCGGTGTGGCTGTTCCTCCACCACTTTCCCCAGGCTCTCAACAACCTCACACTCAGCCTCTCGGCCCCCATCCTCAACGGATTATGCCGCAGTCTGCTCACATGAGGTTTCATGATGTTTGCCTCGTTATCAAGCATCATAACGGCAGCACCGAGACTGAACGCCGCACAATTAGCCAAGTTGCAGAGCTCTCTCAGAAGGCAATCGAACAAGGCGCTCTGGCCTATCTCTGGCGTCAGTCCCTCCCAGCTCAGCCGGGCAACAGCAACAACGCCGCTCATCCCACGACTGGAACCGCCACTAAAGACGTCAACAACGCGGATAACATGCCCCCACCTCACCGACGCATCCAACCTTCCGTTATTGTTAAGGTCAAATCCGTCTCCATCGACGGTAACCCTTACGATCTGTCGACTTACCGGACGAATGACTTGACCAAGATTGTGGAGATGCTTCGGGCTGAGGCGAAGGACAATTCAGCCATTCCCCGGTTCGAGGTGGATATTTGGAACAAGCCTTATCAGATTAACACACCTGCTCCCCCTGGCCAGAGGATGCCTTGGGGATACGGTGCGGTGCACCCTCCGGCTGTGGGGGTTCCTCCCTCCTCGCTGGTCCCTCCTCCTCCTCCTCCTCCGCCGCCGCCCCAGGCCCCTGTGTTGGCGTCACCGTCTTCGGTTCCTCCGCCTGTTCCTCGCGGGTTTCCGGTAATTAGTGCTCAAGCTTCTACTAATGGTGTTGTCCCTGAGGGTTCTGCACTCGGTCCTGATACTAAGATGGGCTGAATGGTGGGGACAAAGTTGGCTTCGGAAATGAAACATATTGGATGACAAGAAGAGGAACAAGATTGAAATGGCAGAATAGGTCTGGGAAAGAGGAAGTTGCTGTCACCTGGAACGGCTCAGAGCTGGGATTGTCAACATCTACCCGACTTACAAAACTTAAAATCGTTCATTTGCAAAAAACTGGCAAGGTGTAGCACAGGTATCTTCCTTTAGCTGAAGTTGGTTTTGGAGTCTTTTTTGAAGGATTAGAATGAGTTTTTGCTCGTAAGCCGTAGTACTTACTACTTAACACTCTGGACTTTAGACTTAAGTTGAAGAGATTTCAATATTGCATCCTGTATTTCGTCTAGGTATCGTTAACAGCGACTGAAGCATTCAGTAACCTGTCATACTTGTCTCGACAAAAAGTCAACAGAAGCTTGCATGGCAGTAAATCTACTTCCAACTCCATCATAGACCTACACCACGAGACCCAGTACTTCGTGCGCAAGCACAAATAGAAGATAGGTTACCGAAGTAGGAAGTTCGGTCAAAAAACGCAGCAGGCTGTCATCAGAGCGCCCTCCCCCCATCGTGCCTCCCCCACCTCCGCGGGCAATCAAGAGCCTGGCGTTGTTATGGCTGCGTAGGCTATTACTAAACAATAATATCAAACTCCAGTAAGAGATATTTCGCAGTCAGAAGCGCCATAATGAAGAGCTCCCCACACCCTCGCGAAGATAACCCACGCTTTCTCCCTTCGGTGAACCCGTCGCCATGCCCAAGGAGATCACTTGATTCCCCTGTCGGAGATGCTATTCCGAGTGTTTTGACAGCATCTTGCCACTGAGGCTGTAGTTTCCATCAAAAAAATTTTTTCTTTCCATTGCCCCGGCCCCTAACACGCCAACGGCGGTCTGTCAAGAGAGATTCTGGATTTGGCAACCCGTAAAGCAAAGCGAAAGAGCTGCTCGCAAGCACCAAAATCATCAGGTAGCACAAATAGGCGGTCAGTTTGTGTTCGCGATTATTGCGACGTTACGGTAGGACTACGAAAGCGGAGAGCATGCCGCTCAGAGCGCTGCAATTACGCACAGCATAAACCTATATGGTATTATTTACAGTAGCACCGGACAGCGGACTTTACATACAATGAATGACCACTCTTTGTTGAGAACTTACAACTAGCTTGCATTGCTGATCAGTACTGTCGCCCCAAAGGACGTCTTCTAAGCCTCTCCCGCGAAATTGTTGGGAAGCCTCTTTTGCTCTGCATGAACTGGTGGCCCTGAACTGTGGGGTAGATCGAGCAGGTGATTAGTATACATTCAGGTGACATGGCCCAAAAAGATCGAAGCCTTGTTGAGTTGTGGTAGGAATTTTGAAGCCAACAAAAAGCCTCTCGTACTTGGCACATTACAGCCCTGTCTTGAGTGACTACAGGCCAGAGATGCTACTAGAAATCGTCATTCTCAAATGAGTAGGAGGGTGTCATGCTCCTTTGCCATTACGAAAAAAAATCAAGACAAGCGGCGCAGTGGTAAGGCTGCATCAACCGGACAACTGAAGGAGGCTGCCGAACGTTCCATCTGCTCAACGGTCCCGGCTCGTCCAAGAGACAAAGCTTACTGTGTGTCCCCCGCTATCCGCGAGGTTGGCACTACTTTTACAATTGACTGGCTACCGTAACTGCTGCGCCTTACAGCTGTCACACACCATTGGCAGACCAAAGCGCGAGCTGACGCCCGCCTTTGCCCCGTAGCATCCCCACGCCTAATTCCACAGTTCTCGACTCTCAACATGGAAAGCCAATTATGTTATCCAGAAGCCGGTACTTTTTGTCCATCTACATCGTTACCGTCATCTTGAAGAGCCGGGAGTTTCTGCGCAAAGGGTGTGGCTGTATCTGGCTTTTTTATTCCAATCCATGCCCCTATCGTCTTTCTCTTCAATCCCTCCCCCCTTTTGACTTGCCATCTGAAGTATTAGCCTAGTAGCAACCTGGACTCAAATGCGGGAAGGTGGTGTTGACACCTCCTAGCTCAATTTTGTCATTCATGGCTCGAGTCTCGCTCAATGTACGGATCGGCACTTACCTCCTAGGGTGAGGGAGCCGCAGACGATAAAGGATGTCTCAGTATTGCTATCTTTGGCAGCTGCAATTATAGTGAACAGCTTGAGAACACAACTTGGACTAGGCGTCGGGGGAAGAAAAAGAGAGCAAAAGAAGACAATGGTGCAAGTTGACTGATGTCTTGAGAAAAAGGAAAAGACTGTTATCTCAAGAACACAAAAACCTCTTCTCGTTCCTAACAACTACCTAACTTATGACTCACGATCGCAGTTAGACTAAACTACACAACCGAATAGTATCGCCGTCTGGTGTCTTCAAGCATAAAAGCCAAGATGCAGGTAACCAAGACTGAGATGTATGGTGTGGTATAGCGTAGATGTTAAACAACTAGGCGGCAGTAAGTCCCTTCTTTACTGCTGATATGGTGATGATAGTCATCCCGAGTCTATCATGGCCCTTGACCCAACAAAACGCCTCTGTGAGATGCCACAAAATGCTGCTTTCGAAGACAGACACTTGGAGAACAATCAGAGATACATCTCCCCTTGCTCCATCGATACACAGTTATTACACTCTCCAACTCCTAGAAACAACAAAGAAGCACAACACATTATCCCTTTTCCTCTCTTCCCTGCATATCTACTGCTGTCCCAGTTCCTCTCCGTCATCCTCAGTAGATGCCCTGTGTCCGGTATTGGAAGGTGTCATAACTAGTTTGTATGTTAGTCGGGACTCATCATTACCAACAACGAATGACAAAAGGGAAACTCACAGTCGCGTGTAATAGCTACCCAACGACTTGCCAATTAGGTCATTCTCTACGAATTGTTCGGCCTCATCGGCGCTCAGCTGCAGCTGGAACCGGCTGCGCAAAGCCGCCGTGACCTGCTGGACGCCGGCACCAAAACATGGCATCTTGGACTCGCGGCCCATCATTGCGACCAGGTCGATGATGTTGTCGGCTGAGCGACGGAGGGCTACACATGGCCCCTGTTAGCAGGTATCACTGGAAGATAGCACCATTAGAGGGTGACAACATACCTTGGAAAGCCTGTTTGCACAACTTCTTGTATTCTTCAAAGTCTGGCGACCCGACACCGCCGAGCACATCAACGTACTCGTAAGTCAACTTGAACGGGGCCGCTTCAAAACCGACCGACCCGGGCGAGTTAGACAACATGAAGCCGAAATCAATGTGAATGATATGGCCCTCATTGTCGATCAACACATTGCCGTTGTGACGGTCCTTAAGCTGCAGGATGTAGGATATGACGCTGTAAGCGGCAAGTGAGCGCTTGAAGGCATCGACGCCTGCCCGGTAGGCAGGACTGTCAGGGTTGCCGAAGACCTTGTTGAAGTGGTCCTTGAGAGTAGCGATTCGGCGACGAGGATTCTGCCCGGCCTCGATCGACGCCAGCGTCAGACTGCGCTTGATAGAGTGCAACGACACGCCGTTGGCGATTGTCTCGATCAGCCCAGACGACTCTCCCGTCACTAGAATGCGCATCAGCTTCACCCAAACGGGCACGCCCGCGTCTTGCCAGATCTTGTGACACATCCGAATTAACTGGCAGGCGAATGCCTCCTGCCGAAGGTCCGAGCCAGTCTTGACAATCACACTGACCAAGTCCCAGTTCTTCATCCACCCGTACGGAGAAGACTTGCGGATGCGCTCCTTCTTGGCCTCCCACGCTTCACCAAACACGGCCGCACTGGGGTCTTCGCGGTCGCCCTTTCGATGTAGCCCTCCTGTCTTGATATCATTCTCCATCCGGTCAATACCGGCATTGACGTTGATCTTCGGCGGTTGCACCTTAGCAGCAGCAGCGCTTCCCTCTCTTCCTTCCTCATCGTTGGCATCGGGGTTCATGGCGCCTTCTGCCTGCGCCCTGGCCATAATCATGTCGAAGGTCGGCCCGTGCCCGTCGTCCAGATCGAAGCTCTGCTCTTCTAGGCTCTGCATGCTCGCGATGATGCGGGCTCTGATGGCTGCCACCTCATGGCGGGGTCGCTTCCCGCTGGTAGCATCGAGCTGAGCAAGCATCTGCGATGCCGTTCTCATGTGGATCGCCAACGCTGAGAAGTCAGGCTGGTCGACCGAGTTGTTGCGAGGGTTGGTCAGCGTCATCCTCCGGCGAGGAAGATGCGACGACTCTGAACTGCCCGAATTGCGGGGGGTTGCCTTGGCCGATGAGTTGGCTTCCGCCGCCGAGTTACTTGCGCTGTGTAAACGTAACGCATGGCTCGAATGTGCTGATTTCCTCTCCAACTCTTCGTCATCTTCGGGCCTGAGCAATGGAGAACTGCCCAAGTCACCAGAGGCTGGTTCGAAGACACTATCGACGACCACTTCCGGTGGTGGCTTGTTAGCCGGGGGCATATGCGGTGCGTCTGACAAATCGAATAACCGCCTGCGCGATCCTTGCTCAGTCATCAGGGTAGCCAGCAGTCTCTGGTTATCTGGCGTATCAGGATCGAAATTGAAATCATCCCGCAAAATCTCGATCATAAGCAAGTATGGCACCTTCTCGGCACTATTCAGGACGGTTGCCTCAGCAGGGTTAAGCCTAACGATCCGGTGATGTCGGCTCTTAGCCGGCGAGCCATCCACGAGATCAGGAGGGCATATCACGGGGATGTCGACCTCTGCTGGAAGATCTCGAGCAACCAAAGCCAGCTCGGCGCGCAAGGCACTCAGACGAGCCGGCTTCGGTACCACGACAAGCCGGTTCGAGATATCCTCTAACGCCGATAGAAACGCGGTTTGACAACGGAAGTAGTGTTGTCGTAGCAGCCGGATCTTTTCCACACGAGACATGTCAGCCAGATTGACTACCGGCTTCACATTGTGAGAGTGTCTCCTGGCTAAGGTCTCATGATGCCTCAGGCCAGCCGATAGAGGTGTGCTTGGCCTGGTGATAGCCAGATGACGTGATTCCGGCAGGGGCAGGGATGCCGTGCTGAGACGTCCTTCGACAGATAGGTCCTCTAGCCGTGAGGACACGGCCACTTCTTCACTATCCCTTACTAAAGATCCAAGCGAAGGCGATGATCGTGAATGTTGGGTCACGTCTTCCGACGACTTCGATGCGATATGTCCTGGATGTAATCTCGCGTTGGAGCCTGCCTGCCCCTTGGAATCTGGGGAGCTTACGCTACGCCCCTCTTTTGTGCGCTTTGAGCGAGGGCTCCCTCCTGAGACGGTGTGTGCTCTCGATGGGAGGTTCCTGTTTGCTGCGAGTGCCGTTTCTGAAATGATTTCGGCGATTGGGCGTGGTCTCCGCGCTTGGGCAACTGCCAGCGGGCCAGCCCAGTGGGCTAATGCTGGGCAGCCGACGCTTGCAAGGACAAAGCTTCCTAGGACCGTAACCGGGAGAACGTTGTCTGTGATCTTCTCGTGTCTCGCTGCTTCAGATACACCAAAGCAAATGTGCTGCACCTTATTCAGTACCCTGCGACATGTTCTGAAGGCCTCGGTCTGGGGATTCGGCGCGAGATCATGCAAGTATGTTTGGAAGTACCAAAATGTCTGTATAGAGGGGGTATCAGCGGCCGAAGTTCATGAGCAGAAGTCAGGGAGGTATGGCGAACCAGCAGCGCTGCCGTGACGGACTCCTCGCAGAGGTCCAGCAGGAACTCCTCCAGGGCCATCGACTCATTGTTGATGCTGATGATGAGATGACATAGTTGCGGAAGGAAGAACTCGATATCCTCATAGGGGAACTCGCGCAGCTTGCGACACAGCACATAGTGAATTCCTACGTGGTCGGCATATCGTCTATACAGCAGTAAGGACGGAAAGGGTCAGTCCGGGGCGCAGAGCATGTCGTATTGGGCAAGGGGGAACGCACGAGAGGTAGGAGACAGAGAGAAATGGGTTCTGATTGAAGACATCGCTCTCGAGGAACCGCTTCAGCAGGTCCCAAGACATTGGATAGAGTGCTAGGGAGTTACGGGCGTTGGCACAACGAGGACAACGGGGGTGACGGGGTCAGGGGAGGTATAGACGGTGATCAGATAGTAGTGACGGTGGAAGGGAGGTAGCATGCTCTGCTCCCTATACTCATTGGTTTTCGAGGCCAGCTCCAGAGTTGTGGTTAACAATAGATCCCATCGATACAGGCATGAACGAGAGCTGAACCATGGCTGTCGTCCCGTATGCGTTTCGTCGTCAGTCGAGTGTCTGTGGCCGAATCGAGGTCGCCGTCGCTGTGTCGAGGCTCAAGACGCACGTGAAGGGACCAGTCAGACTCAGGGATTGCACCTCCGCGTTCGATCCGTCGTGCGTGGTGCAGCGGCGCGTTCTGGAGCGTTGAGTACCCAGTGTTTGAGTCGTCGATCGTCGACTCGAACGCGTCGCTCGTTTAAAGGACAACTTGGGTCTTGGAAGTGGACGTCAAGCCAGAGAGCTCCTCTCCATTTGGGGAACTCACAGGGGCTCGCTCCGCTCTGCGTTAGTCAACACGCCCCACCCCCCACCTGTTGTGACCCACCACGACGGCTCGGCATTGACCGACTTCTCCTTTGAGTGATCAGCGATCTCATGGGCTATATTCCCCTTTTTTTTTTTTTTTCCATCCGTTTCTCATGGCCCCCCTGAGCCCTCCTGGAGTTTGTCTCCATCTGTTGACCTACAAACATTGCTAACAACAATTGATGTTGGCTATGCCAAGACCCATGAGCCATTCCCAATTTTCTCCATGGAATAATATTACGACATTACGGATACGATACATAGAATCTTAACTCCACCCGAAACGCCCATCCAACACCGCCCTGATATCATTCTAGAAATACCATTCCCACCATGAACAACCAACGGTCCTAAATCCCATTATCTTGGTGTCTACCCCATGTCCTTTACCATACATTCCGGTGGCTGTTTTGGTATCTTGGTCTCTTTCGCCGTTTATTGGGCTTAACCCTCTGCAGAAACCACAGTTTTAGTCTAATCGTCCCTGTGTCGAATGATGTGACATCACATGCGATGTAACTATGGGATTCAACTCACCTTATACTTAACTCTCTCACTCCCGTCTGGCAGCTGCACAACCTCATGCTGAATCTGGTATCCAAAGGCCGGCAGGATCTTAGCCCAGACCAGCCAATACGCCGTGCCAATGACCAACAGGCTGGTGCCCATAGTTGGCACCACATAGAATGGAACATGGTCGAGGAAACTGTTCTTGATAAATGGTGCAGCCTGCACGAAGAGCAGACCAATAATCCAAAAAATGGTCAGAGGTGGCCAGGTGTGGAAGGTTGTTCGTTGCTCTGCCCACCTCTCCGAGGGGGCAAACGTCAGGTAGATGAGGCCAGCGGCAAGGAAAACTGCCTAGGTCAGCATATTCAGGAATACATTGTACAGGAGAATAGCAAGAGAAACTCACCCTTAATCCAGTTACCGCTGTAGATAAAGACATTCGTGACAAAAGTATACACATCCGATGTATGGGACCCGAGAATCAAAGTGGTGGTGAAGGCCCAGTGAAGGAAAATAGCACCGCTAGGAGCATTGCACGGCCAGTCGCTCGCCCAGAAGCGAGACCATGGCAGGACTCCTTCTTTCGCAAGCTCCTGCTTTACGCGTGGCATGGCAAATGACTGAGCAAACACGTTACCCAAAGCCGAGAAACCGATAAAAAGGGGGATTGCCCGCTTTACGAATGCACTCTTGCCCCAAACATTCTCGAAGAATTTGGCGGCAACGACGACCTTCGACTCGTAGATTTCCTGCTTGGTCATGGCGGAGAACTGTGATATCGTCAATATCACCGTCTAAGTGACGAAGTGACGTTTCACACTCACATATGCAACGTTAGCCAACACGTAAAGGAGGGTCACGGCAAAGATGGCGATGGGCGCAGCCCTTCTCAGTGTTCTCGGCGCATTTCTAACTTCCGTCAAGACCTGATTGAGTGTTAGCAGAATTATTTATGATGTCTTCTAGTTGGGATGAACTGACATAGTTCGCATTCTCCCAACCGCTGTAGGAGTATAGGACCTGAAGCATGGCTAGGGCATAGCCGCCAGTCACGCTAGGGATGTTCGCCATCCCCAACTCAGGCCAACCAGGACCATGGAAGCTTGAGAAGTTATTCGGACTTGGCACCGCCATTTTGCCTGAAAGGGCGGCGAAACCGGTACAAACAACCAAGCTAAGAAGAACAAGCTTAAAGGCGCCCAGGCCATTGCTCAACCAGATCCCGAGGCGAGGAAGAAAAGCATGGATGAAGCACACCACTGCCGAGATGTGTTAGCAAAGGCTCCCCTGAGAGAAGACATTGGTATTAAGCTCACCAGAAATTGCGGCAACAGCGATGCCCCTGTTGAGCCAACTCCCATTCTTCGCATCACCTGTGATAGCCAGCAAGAGATAGCTGCTAAAAACAATACTGTTTCCGGTAGAGATAGCAAAGAGGACGAATTGGACTGTAGGTGCATCAGTATTTGATCATTAGGAATATTGATAACTTAACCAACCTGCAAATATGCATGTCGCTAGATATCGTGGTCTTCGGTATACACGCTCAAGCTACACGAGTGGAAGGTGTTAAAAGTTGCGCTCGATGAATGGTTCTTTTAAATGGGGCAGACTTACATAAACCTTTTCCCCTCCTGAACGTGGAAGAGCAGTTCCATATTCAAGATATACAAATAATCTGTGAGATCTTGTGAGTTCCAAGTTAACGGAAAGAGAAAGGCAATGGTTCATTCATACCCACTCCAGCCAAGTTAGCCTCATGTTTCAAGAAAGCTTGCTGCGACAACACTCACCAAACAGTCATAAATCCACCAATGACCCAGAAGATCAGAGTGACGCCAACGCTGTCGACAGAGTGAACGATGCTTGAAGGGGTTGAGTATATCCCCGCCCCAACAACACGATTGATGATGAGGAATGCCGTCGACCAGGTTCCCAGTTTCCGCTCTGAACAATTAGACCCAAGTTAGACCAATCCTCACCCTGCACACTTTCTCACTCAGGGATGAAGTGACCAACCCTCTGGGTAGACGAAGTCGTGGAAGTCTTCGGTCGAGTCATCAACCCCTCCTGTCGTTCCGATGCCATGGCTGGTGTATGTGGTGTCGTTGTAAGTGACATCTTCCTCGCTTCCTGGGCGTGGAGTCTCGGGTTCTTTGGTCACGATAGGCACATCGTAGATTTGCGGCTCTCGAATGATTTGCAACTCCGTTTCGAGCCCCATCTTGAAACCCCCTCACCTACACTCTCCCATCCACGACAATCGTTCCGGCAGATGTATGTACTAAACGCGTAATGGCTTTTGCACCCCGGATGAGTGAGATCCTATCAAGGAAAGGTGTGGATATCCACAGTTCGGTCAACTGGTCAAGAGCGTACGCGTGTCGTCAAGGCGCTCAAACCCCAATTGGAGTAAATCAGTTGGGAAAGAGGTCCCGGTCAGAAGCCTTAGAGGTTCGAAAGTTCGGCTCATTCAAGTTTATTCTTTTTCTTCATGCATCAAACGCCCGTGCCGCCATCAAGGCAGCTAAGAGTGCACGCTGTTGCGTCGAAGCTGAAGCGCGATAAGTGGGAGGAGGATTCAAGCAGAATGCATGAGGAGCGAGTCTCTGACGAGGCGCCCGCAGATGGAGAGCCAAAAACGGTTTAGAGGCAACAGCTGAGGCGTGGTGTGCGCCAAGGAACAGTGAAGGTCCAGGGGCTGGGATCGCGGGATCGCAGAAGCAAAGCCGGCAATTGTCGAGACAAGACGAAAGGAAGCGCGATCATATAAGCTTCGAGAAGCACCACGGGACTGGGTCAATGGGGAGAGAAAAAAAAAAGAATCAAGAAAGCACGAAAGTGGGATCAACAAGCGCGATCTAACAGCAACACCGGGTAGAGCCTCATACCACCGCGCCCACGAAGCTTATCCAAGACGGGAATGCAACGTAAATGACAGGGGTGCTAGATCGGTGCCCAGCCCAGCTGTCCGTTGGTGACCGGAAAGGTTGTGGTTGCCTGCATGACAGCGACAGCAACAAGCTTGATGAGGGCAACCGCAAAGCTCAGCTGAGCAGTGCCCGGGAAACATGAACCAAGCACTGGGGCGCTGTTGGTCGCCAAGCGAATGGGTGTGAGTGACAGGCTTGCTAAGCCGGTGGAAGACGGGCGCATCACGCCCCAAACACTGACATCCCAGCCGTACGCCGCCGTGGTTGTGCGGCGCTTTGGGAGGGGCATGCTGCATGCAGGGCGAGAGATTGCGGAGAGGAGCAGCAGCATCTCAGCACAGCAGAAGCAGGAGCAGGAGCAGATGCGCAACCACCAAACACGAGAGTGAGCGAGTGGGTTTTTGGGGAGGGGGGGGGGCATTTGATTTGCGGAGAGTTCCGCCAACAGCCATCGAACCGTGAACGCTTTGAAGTTTAAAGAGTGGGAGCCCCAGAGGCTGAGAGTGACAGGGAAACCAGGTACAAAACAGAACATCACAATTGAACTGGAAGCTTGAGGCATGGAAAGGGCACGGGAAGGCCAAAATGAGATGTGCAAGACGTCGGGTCATCAACCTTTTCGTTGTTTCAATGGCATGGCTGAGATAAGGTTGGACATTCTAAGCATTTGACGAAGAGAAAACCGCTGCGGTAATAATTGTGGCCTGGAGCCGATGGTCCATCTGTGACGAGACCGTTCGTGAGTGACAGCAAAAGGGCCATATTTACCGTTTCCTGGGTCGTTCTCACACGGCGTCGATTTGCCCAAGGCTGCAGCGAAAGCGAAAGCTTCCGGTTGTGACATGAGCGATTTGCAGCTTCCGCTTCCCTTGTCGACTCCACCTCGCTTCCCGGAGTGGGCTAGGCATGTGCCCAGTGGAGCACAGCCCACGGGAGACCTACCCGGGCACAGCCCAGAAGCATGCCAAGCCTTTCCCCCATCCCATGACTTTGGCGTTGATCGATGACATTCCTGGTCCCGTCAGCTCGGAATCTGAATGATGGGTTAGCATCTGGCATCTGGTATCTGGCAGCTGGCAGCAAACGATGACGGACGATGCTGCGGAACGCTGCTTCGCTCACCGGCGACGGTGACAAACTCCATGACCAAAAAACCCTTTAGATACGACAGATAGCCGTCTTCCACACCGCCGTTATCATTTCTTGATAGAAGGGAAAAGCTTGACCGAGTTACACAGCAGATGATGGTTCCATCGAGCATTACGGCAGCAGTTCAGGCTGTTGTGACTGTGAGCCCGCAAAATATTTCCTCTGATAGTCTTAGCAGATTCTTGTTGTGTTTGGTTATTCTGTCTGTGCATTTTCCACACTCTAGTGACTGTGTGTGTCTGTAGTGCTACCGCCTACAGATCTAGCATATGACATACTTTGAAGATGAGCGGTTGCGAGGCGGCATGGAACATGAAATCCAGTGTATTGGCATCAACAACTCACTAGTCAGTCGTTACTGTTATTCATCAACAACTCGCTAGTCAGTCGTTACTGTTATTCATCAACAACTCACTAGTCAGTCGTTACTGTTATTATTTGTGCTCGCCCATCTCCAATCCTTATATAAGACGCCCAATTCCATATCTCTAGGTACTAGATGAAAAGCGGGAATATACACACAAATTCCCTTGAACACCTAGCGCTCACTCTAAAAAAAAAAATGAACCATCAAGAATTGAAGTGTAATTGTTTCCCATTCCGCTCAAAATACCCGCGAAAAATCCGTTGATATCTTTGTTGACTCTTTTTGTCCTTCTCAAAGGACTCTGAGTGCTTGCCGTCCTGTAAGGCCTCCTTCTTTGTCCGTTTGGTTCATGGTCATAGCAATGCGTTCACGGACTGCTCTGCGAACCCCGAGAACTTCTCTCCATTTGCGGACGAAGTTGTCGAGACCTAAAGTCATTGTTGGTACATCAGCGATTCCTGGAGGAGTCGAATGAAGGGATATAGATCATACTAGGCTGAGTTTCGAACTCAATTTCAAATGTTTTATATGACTCATATTCAGCGTCGTCGATCTCAACGAGACGACCATGTATATCGAAGGCTGCGTACTCCTGGGCGCCATTGGTTTCAAGATGAGCTAAATCGTCGTTGTTAGCACTCGCTGTCATCGGGAAGAGAGAGACCATGACACTTTATACCTTTGACAAACGGATAGCGGGACCCCTTCCTCGCGACTTTATCCCATAGACTGGTGCCCCTTGGCTGTATCTTAGCTACCGTTGTCCCCTCTGTCTTGATTTCCCAGTCATCTGTAACTGTTTCGTGAATCGTATTAGTCCAGTTCCATACAGATATTGAGAACCAGAGACATACTCAACATAGTAATATACTGTCCCATTCTTCCCAGGTATAGGACCAAGCGTGAGTTCGGCACAGAGACCCTGTCGCGGCGTGGTCCAGATAACACCGTGCCGGCCGTGACAATAGAGGCTTTGTCTGATTGGACGTATTTGCGTCCTTCCATTTCGTGCCAGATCTGCAGTCTGGCATTGGAGTAGTTGTAAAACTTACTTTGAGCGCTCACCCGGCACAGCGTGACCATCCGGACGATGGCGATGTCAAACACAACTTTCTCGCCGGTGAGCTTCCCCTGGAAGTTGAATAGGTCTGCTTCAAGTCAGCAATAAAACAAAGAAAAAAAAACCGAACTATTCCAAAACATTAAGATTGAACAAACCTTCTACGTTCATGAACCGGTAAATACCACTGGGGGTCCCATTCAATCCCTTATCGCCATCCTTGTCGCGGATGTAGACAACGTTGCTCATCCGCGGATCATACGCATATATTGGGACCAGCTGAGCGTCGTTTGCTTTAACTATTAAATGGTCAGTACTTTCACAAGCCCCATATTACCACCCGTCGAGCTACCGGCAGCACGTACTTCGATAAGTTTCCGATTCCCGGTCAACCCTGCAGTGAAATCTGAGATCGTTTGTCTGGTTGTTCCGAAACACCTTTAACCACCCTGAACGGAACTCGATGGGCGATGTAAGTGCTCGGGCGCTATTGACCTGCCTGCCAGAAGCATTAGCACCACATAATATCCCAAGAACACCCCGGGATATCTCTCCTTACCCCTCAAATACAAGATCCTCCCCGGGCAGCACATTATCCCTACCCAAGCTCCCCACATCACTAAACATCGATGGCGGTGGCGGTGGCTGCAGCTGGGACGGGTTTACCACGACGGGCGTCCTCGTATCGATATCTCCAGAAATGGCAGCATTGATGTTGACATAGCTCGGCTGATGCGAAAGCGTCCTCGGTGACAAGGCATGAGGCGGGGCCAAGGACGTCGGACAGGCAGCGGCTTGGGGTTGATGAGGAGAGTAGTAGTAGTCATTTGCGTGAGGCGAGCTGACCGGAACGACTTCCTTCTCGAGGGAAAAGGGAGAATGTATCGGCGATGTTGCGTCGGATACGGCTACTCGCTCTGGGGGCGATATGGGGATGGAGCCGGCGACAAGAGGCTCGAGACTGGCCGTTGTGAAAGCTTGTTGCTGGGATTGGACGCAGTGGGCGTTGCTTTGGACGGTGTAGCTGAAATAATTGGGGTTTTGCCATTCTTGGGGGATAGTTACCGGGTTGGTGGTGGAAGGATAATGATCGTGTTGGCCATTGTATGACAGTCGGGGGGATCCAGCCTGGCTATAGGCTTCATGTTGCTGTTGTTCATATGGAATACTCGAAGAGCGTGTTGTACGGGTCGGGCTCGTAGGCGAATGTGGGTGTGACTCTTGCCTAGCAGCGAGGGCTTCGGCAGCGCCCGCTCCCCCGTCGGACAGACCGTAGAAAGGCACCACGCCAAGGGGTTGTTGGATGCTGAGTTGGGCCATCATCGCGCTGACGTCTTGTTGAGGAGCGGTCGCGGCGGTGTGGGGCTCCGGACCCGGGGCAGGGTCAGCAGGCGGGCGCTGCTGCTGCCCTAAGGAAATGGAGTAGCCACCAGTAGTGGTAGCGGGGTATTGGGAGTTAACATGAGATGAAGAAACCGGAGATCGTCCCCATCCAGGCGCACTGACAGAAGCGGACGCGTAATAATAAGATGTTGAATATGAGGGCGAGCCGGATTCGTATTGCTGAGCTGTGGAAGAGGGAATCGCGGGAGGGGGGTGACCCTGGGAGTAGGAGACAGCTGGATGCGCCGACGTAGGGGAGATGGGCACGCGGTGATGATACTGGGCGGGACGGCTCGAGGAGGAGGACAAAGATGTCGATGGTGGGACAGGATCCGGGTCGGAGATACTCTCGATGCGATAACGGCGGCCGTTGTGAGAGACGATGATGGAGCGGTCGGACTGCTGGTGAACTGCGGTGTCTAGTGAAGCGAAATCGAAGCCGCTGGTGAAGAGATCGGAGAGAGGGGCTATAGCCTCGGAGTCTACGGGCGGTTTGCTAGGGCAAGAGGCCGCGGGACGACCCTGGGCTGGCATCATGGACGGCGCCGTGCAAGCCCCGTCAGCTCAGCCGGCCATGACGGTGTCTCGCTGGCACGGTAAGTGATAGAGTGGAGGCGATCGGCACGTCGCATGTGTGCCTCTCCGTGCCTCTCTGCTGGGGCATGTGTCGCGTGGGTGTTACACGCAGAGAAGAGCCCGGATGGTAGGTGCCTACGGCCTAGGACCCCCAAGATAGGTCACAGGCGGGTAGGATGAGAATCCGTAGATAAGCAGCCCGACTCTCCTCAGTCTCCTCTTGTATGTACGTCGACCTTGATGAGGACAGGTGCAAGGAAGGGGGAGGGGGTGTGGCTAGGAACGGCTGGGACCCCGCCGGTACTGCTCGGCGCTCAATGCTTTCTAGCAGTGAGCAGGTGAGTAGCAGATGAGAACAAGACGAGGATCAGAGTACCAGCGGGTCAGATACGGAGATTTCTGATCTGTGAGTACTTCCCCAAGCCCCAGGCCCAGAGAGAGGGTGACAAGGGTCTAGTCCCGGTGCGGCTAGCGCTACAGCAAACGGGGAAAGCTTGGAAGACTGAGAAAGGCGCGCTACATCGCTTTGGGGCTTGTGCAGCATGCGCTGGACTGCTTCCGTCAGTGGGAGTGGCACCCCCACACGACACATATCAACCGACTACCAAGACATCAATTTTTGGCAAAGGCTGTCTTCAAAGGTTCATCACACCCAGCGCCCCGTCTTGCAATATGGGCACAGATGCACACAGACGGATGCCAGGGGCAAGGGTCTTCGGCTAAACCGTCACGCAGCATTCTCGGGGCCATCCGGCTGGGTCACGGATCACAGGCTGTGTGGATCACAGATCACGATTGATGGGACTCGTGTCAACTTGACCGACATGGGAGCAGATGAAAAGCTTGATCTGTGAGACAGCCCTTTCAAACTGATCTCAAATTGCAAAAACACCCGATGGCCACAAATGCTGGCAAGGCTGAGGATCGGCCTGGTAGGTATTTGTCTCAGGCGTGGAAGCAGACATTCGTCAATAGCAGCTGTCGTCTTTGCGCTCGATCCGAGCGAGAATGTCAAGACGATTCATCCTCGCGTGCCTCATTACCGCTCCAGCGGACCTGCCATACGTTGTCGTAGTCTCATATATGGGGACACTCTTGCAGTTGCTGTACAAATTGCCCAGGAAGCTGCATTTCCCCCATGTTTTTGTGGCCTGTTGTCTTGTGTCCTCGTTGCAACGGTCCACCGTCAGGTCTGGGGAAACGCGTCGCTTACCACTCACCAAGCCCTGATCGACAGGCCCCGCGCGAGGTCTTTGTCAGGACCCGGCTCGGGGGCCTAAGGAAACTCGGGGTGGGTTGTTGCCTGAGGGTGACACAGGTTTACACAGACCCGAAAACCCGACACATTGCAACCTCCACTAAACAAACATTCGGTATCTGCTGGGCTAGAGAGACGCGGCCCATACGGTCGGTGTCCTAGAAAGGTGCCTGGAGTTGTGGCTGCAGCTTCGCTTTCCAGGACTCTCTATCTTATGAATGCACAACGGGCGGCGGGTCGGGATGACGGATGACAAATGGCTTTGAGTCTGCACATAACAGGTGGAAGCTTTCGGAGTGTCTCCGCCGGCCTCTATTCTATCTCGGGGAACTGCCTGATTGGTCGATTCGGAAGCTGATATGCAATGATGGGGATGATATCCCACGTCTTTGCATATATCGGGGGCGATACATACCGGCCAACAACGGCTGGTCGAACACACAAGGGGTGCTCCTCATCAGGCCCTCGACGTTGGCTGAACGTACTCCGTATGAGACCTTAACTTTAAAGGTCCTGGCAACAGCTTCCGACACCATCAACACGGCAGTCAGATTCATTTTGTAATTCCTTAAGCCACCGAGCTTGCTTCGAGAATTAGGTAGTATGGATTGCATCACGACAAAGCACCCAACATATAAACAGTGTACGCTCGATATGTCATGCTCCTAAGTTTGACCCATCCTCCCAGCCCCAAAACCCCAACGCCGGTTACCAGTCGTGGATTGCCGTCCAATGCCCTCCAGATATCATTCCCCGCTGTTTCCTTCGCATCAATTAGGTACCCAGATATTTTGTAATTCCCGTGCGATTTGGCCCATCACTCTTTGACCTTCTTCCTACGACCACCTCCCCTCTTCTTCTTGGCCATGCCGCTCTCATCCTCCGACTCGCTCTCAGCGGCCTTGTTGGCACGCCCGCCAGCACCGCCGCCGCCTCTGCCGCCCTTCTCTTTGTCGTCGTTCTCAACTTTGCTCACAATATCCCTCAGGAAATCCCACTGGTCATCCGACTCGACCACCTGCTTCAACATCTGCGCCGATACGCGCTTCGAGTTGCGTTGACGCGCCAGCTCGGCACTCTTAGTCACCAGAGCCACCATAAACAACTCCAAGGCCTTGCCCACCGCGATAGGCGTTTGCTGGGCCACCTTGCCAACTTCCTCGTCTGCCTGCATGATACGCTTGATACGCGCCGTTGGGAACTTGGTCTTCACCGGGCCAGGTTGGATGGCGCCGTTAGCGGTGCTCCCCGACGCGCTTGATGATGTCCCCGTAGTTGCTGTGGATGTAAGAGTGCCTGACGCGTCGGTCATGGCGTCGTTCTTTGCTTGGGCTGTAACGGCTGCTGCTGCTGCAGCGGCAGCGGCTCTTCTGGGCGGCATTGCACTAGACTGATCGAATTCGTCAGGTTGGCTGGCCTGCTGGGTTGGTCCGGCACTTGTAGCGGGGGTATAACTGTAAGGCTGGTGCGCCTGAGCGGCAGCGGTGCTGTAATGGGGCTGCTGTGGAGAGAACTGCTGAGGCGGCTGATAGGGTTGCTGGTGGTGCTGCTGGAAGCTGCCGCGGTAGGAAGTGGGAGACTGATAGTACGAGGGCTGCTGCTGATGCAGCTGTTGTTGGTAAGGCGGTTGGGCAGGTACACAGGGTGGGATGTACTCGCGTTGTGTGGTTAGAGAGTGTGAATAGGCTACACCGACATCAAAGACAGGTGTGGCCTGGCTGGGGTTACTGTTGTTTGTGGGTCGGTAGTTTTGCGATTGGAAGTGTGGCGGTGTCGTGAACGGCGTGTGGTACTCGTGCTGGCTGGTGCTTCTGTGGTGAGTGTGGTGAGCGTTGTGGTGATGGTAAAGCGCATGCGACTGCTGGTGGCCCCCGTCTGGAAAATAAGGCGAAGTGCTGTTTGCAGGAGTGTGCAACTGCGGACGCGAAAAGTTTGGCTCCTGGGGCCCTGGATGTGATGTGGATGGCTGCTGCTTCTGCTGGTGGTGCTGCGATCCAGAACCAAAAAATCCACGAGCAGCCAGCTGTTGACCAGACGGCGCTTGAGGTGCCCGCTCGGTTACCAATGCAGGAGTGGGGCCAACAGCCAGATCGTCATTGTTGTGGAAGGAAGAAAGGTCTGGGCTTCGCGGAGCATAACCACCGCCGCTATCGTGGGCAGCGTCGGACATGGCGCACCTTGTACCTCCCGGTTCGCGTCCTATGCTCCGTAATGCTGTAAAATTTGTATTTTTGTATACAATATATAAAGGCCACGCAGCGCACAATCACGCGGGTCCAACAACCGCACAAAAACAGCTTGTCCCGGCGATGATGCGACGGTTTCGGTCGGCAATATGTGATAGGTCAGGTTGCTTGCTTTGTTGCTGGTCACCGGTAACTGGTCGCTGTTATAATTTGATTGGGGCCCGGCCAGAGTCACCCTCGCACTCCCGAATCCCGTCCAAAATTTCCGTCGCAAGAAAAACCGACCCAGGGAAGGAGGGAAGGCGGGGTGTATAGGTTCTGCTCAAGACGCGTCGGCTAGGGTTGGCGCTCTTAAAACAGGTGAAAGTCACTTCCTGCCAAACTTTCAATGGCTGGGACAAAAGGCGAACGGCGACCCGAAATGCAGCAGTCGCATGAACGTAGAAGGCTGCTGCTGCTGCTGCTGCTGCCCACTTCCGGGACAGGGTTGATTGAGGGGACCGGCCGAGACTGCTCGCGGTGCTGTCGCTGTGTTTGGGAGGGGCTTCAAAGTGGGGCCTCCAAATTTCTCAGGCAGCAGAAGCGCGACAAATGAAACAGCTTCATCCAACATCCAGCATCCAAAGGCCAGCTCAGCAGTTTTCTGAAGAACATGAGAGCGACGAAAACGAATTGACAACAGATGTGTGGCAGACAGCTATGTACTTATTAGAAAATAGGCTGTTGCTCAGAGCTTCACTATCATATGTTTGGTGACAGTGAATACCCACCCAGGCAGCCAGCAGATCGCCTTCTTCTCGAGTTCTCCCATCTCCATTGTTGTTACTTATACGCGGGCGCGACCGACACCCTGCAGCAGGCAGCGCCTCCAACGCACATCGAGGACATCCTTGCAGCTGAGGCCCAGTTTGCGGCGCGGTATCCTGCGTGGCTATTCAGCCAAAGTACCTACATGTCACATACCACCAACCGGGCCCCGTGGCGTCATTTCCATTGTCTGTCCTTCGTCGATGCTCCCAGGGCTTGGGGCTGGAGGTATGACAAGAGTTGTTGTCTCTGAGTCGGATGCGACACAAACTCAAGAGATATTGACGTTTCTCCCCACCATTACTACGTGCACAGCTCCCACAGCAAAGAATGTGAGAGTGGGGTTGAAGTGTGAGACCCAGGTCGAGTGTCACAAGGAGCCAATATGACGACAAACAGGTGGGCTATACTTATGAGGTTCGAACATTGATTGGTTTCTTCCACAAAGGCAGAGATCAGTTGACTTTCTTTGTAGCTTACTTCACTCTGTTGTCAAGCAGTCCTTCTCGATCTCATTTGTTAACCTACAGACAGCACTGAATTCATAGACAGTTACTTCACTCTTAACCATAACATCCTCGATATCTTTCAAGTAGTCGCAAGGTATTCTTCCTTTGTTTCCATCTTCTCCCACCCAAACTTCCGTGTATGATGACCATTGATCGCATCGAAGACCCAAAGTCGGCGTTGAAGAAACCGAGGGTATCCTCTGGGGTCACCTTCGCCGAGGTCAATGACGTGAGAGTTACTTGATCTAATCTGAGCACGCCTTTTTTTTGTCACCGTTATTTTCATCTGCAAATTCATAGGATGTCGGCTGACTGATCCACATAGTTGACAGTTCACAGAGTTGTAAAAAAAAAAAATCTATCATCGAAGCTCTTCCATCGGGTAGCCTCACGTAGATGATAAGCTTGGAGAAACCAGATATTCATGTGATGTCATGAAGCACTCATCCTCGAAAGCAAGAGAGGATTCTCGACTAAGGACTGTTCCCTTTTTAACATTGCAGGGGGGTAAAGAAGACTGGCAACCGCTTGACAAAAGGGCCGTGTAGCAGATTGGGTACGCCCCAGAGAGGCAGCGTACAGAAGTTCACGATCCAGCTGGTTTCAACAATATATAATGTGAGACAACGGACGATTCCTTGCCATCCGACATCAGTCTCTTCAATTCAAACGCTTCCATACAAGCATCCTATGTGTTCTTCGCGACCTTCAAAATCCTCTGCTCCATCTCCTCGAACGCGCCGAGAACGCTTCCATACTGCTCAAACACACCCTCGCGATAACCCTCAGCGACCTTCTGAATGGCGCCCTCTTCCTTCCAACGCTTCCCGATGAGTTCGTCGAACGTTTCGCCCTGCACACGCTCGAACGCCCATACGGCCTTGTAGGCCCCTCCCAGGGCACAGGCATTGCCGCCAACATCCAGCTTGTACACACCCTCGGCACCGCCCAGTACGTCGGCAAGGATGCTCTGAATAGCTGGGTTCAGCGACCCGCCTCCGACGAGGTAAACGCGCCGGGGCTGCGCAGGGAGCTTGCCAGACGGATCGGGCTTGCTGACAAGGTTCTGGCTGCGCAGACGCATCGACAGAGCCTGCGATTCGACGATGACGCGGGCATCCGTCTCAACTGGCCACTCCTCGGTCTCCTCTTGAAGGTCGCTGCCGTCTGTCGGGTTGCAGGTGTACCTCCAAGTACCTGCACGGATGTTAGGAACGATCTCAGGGAGGTAGAAGTACAACCCGAGCTTGGCACGGTCTGAATTGGAGCGAACGTCGAGCGGTGGGACGGCCAGGGCGGCCTTATTGAAGTTCGCCCACGGGTCCGGGCTATCTGTCGGCTTGGGCAGCGCATCGCGCACCTTCTCACGAGCCAAGCTACCGTTCTTGTAGCAAAGCATGAACATATACTGGCCAGGAGTTGTTGGATGGTTGAAGAAGTGATAGCTTGGGTCCGGCTTGTACACCGGCGTGATCATGAGGAAGGTGGTGCTGGTGCCCAAGCTGACGATGGCGTCGAGCGGGCGCAAAGGTAGAGCGAGGATGGTTGCCGGGTTGTCGCCCGTGAATGGCGCGATTTCGCAGTTGGGACTGAACCCGTACTTTGCTGTGAAGTAACTGCTGATACGGCCTAGGCTGGCACCACCATCCTTTTCTACCTCTCCAAGTTTATGGCGCAACTCTGCGGCGCCTTCAGGACCACCCGCTGCAAGTTCGAGCAACGGGTTGGACCAATCATTACTGGGAATGTCCCACAGGTTCATTCCGCAGACGTCACTGATATCCATGGGGGCGATGGCACCGAGGAAGAGAGAAGCGAGGAAGGAAGAGACAAGGGAGATGCGTGAGGTGTTGGCATACATATCAGGGAGTTTGCGCTTAAGGCGCATGATTTGGGTTCCAGTGAATCGCTGTTTAGGAGGGTTAGGTCAGCCATCTTTACCTCTTACTTGCGTCCCGGTTTTGCGGGAAGGCTGTGTGATGTTCCTTACATGATGAGCAGCACTTCCGGTCACCTCGGCCAGCCTCTCAGGGGAGCCTAGCTTCACATCGAACTGGTCGCACTCCTGTTGTGTGCTGTGGTCCTGCCAATTGGGTGCATACGGATGCGAGAAAGCATCCGCCAACTGCTCAACAAGCGCCTTTTCTGGCTTAAGAGCAGCGAGAAGGCTCTGTGCCTGGTGGCTCCAGTACACGCTGCCATGTTGCTGGCAAGAGCCGCTGATGCCCCTGATGCGGTTCAAAGGCGTATTCTTCTCCTTTAGCCTCTGCAAAACGAGGTCTAGAGACTCGAGCCACAGAGCGACCGGGGCGAAGACCTCACCCTCAGCATGATTGTGAAGGACGCCCTTCTTGATGCCATACTTAGCGCCGAAGTCCTGGTCGAAGTCGACCTTGGCGTCGGCGACAACTTGGAGGTCAGACTGGACAACAACCGCTAATTAGTTGCGTAAGTCTCAGTTGCCGAATCCTTTTCTCTTTCATTCGGTTCCCGAGCTCCATCGACGCACCTTTGAGTTGCTGGGTCGAAAGATCAAACCCCAGGTAGAGGGGTCCGTTGCTCATTGTTGCTGGAGTTGAACTTAGTGGGGTTCTGGCTGTGAGGAACGCGGGACACAAGTGATGGCGGGGGAGGTAAGTGCTGTAGGCGGGGAAAAAAAAAGGTATCCAAAAATGTCAATTATGACAAGACGTTGCAGTATATTCCAGGAGAATGGAAAGGAATTAAGAAGGAAGACAGCGAAGAAAAAAGAGAGAGAAATTGAAATATGAACCCCCCTCTGACGTGGGGTACCCCAGGCTGTTCGTGGCATGCAGGTCATGGAGGTTCATGTGCCTTCATGGCGGGGCATCATGCCGGCAGTCCGCGATGGAGCAGCCTCGTCTGATGGCATTTAGGCTGATTTCGCAGCCCTGGCCTCGACCAATGTCCGCTTCCCATCTTGCGGATGGGAACCCAGTCCGCCCACCAGCCCGGGCCTCGCACGATGTTTGGGCGCTTCAAGATGCCTCCTTCTACTGATCGCGCTCTGCTTCGGTGTTCTCTGTCCCGTCAACCGGCCAATCCGCCCACCATCAACCCTAACCCAGACAAGTGGGGGTGATCTCTTGGCAGCGGATCTGAGCGTGTCCCAGAAATCCTTGCTAATCCCTTCCCTTCTTGAAGGTAATGACGACAGCCAACCTGTCAAGTGCGGACCCTCTGCCAGCTGTTAGGCCAACCTTTCCTTGAGCGCTTGGTCAGTCACCCATTCGACGTCATAAGTCAACAACGGGATACCGCCTGGTCGTCGTCCATACACGTTAGCCCCTGAGGACGTCTCCGCAGGCCTAAGATATTACAGCAGAAGCTACCTTGCGGACAATAACGCCTAACTTATAATCCTCTTGCGCGCCATGGATTTGCTGGCATCCCGCGCGTCAACCTGAGGAAAGCATGCGCGCCCCAGCAGACTGGACAAAGAAGCAAATCGCGCCGGCGCTATTTTTGCTTCTAGGGCTCCATGCGGTCTTGGTTCATGGCGGTCCGCGATCCGGGTCGAACGGGACGGCCGTGACCGTTACCGACGTATGCGAGTCCCGAACTATCAATTACATCACACATACCCTTCCACAGCAGTGTCTACGGACCTCTTGGGCGAGTCCTACTACGGCGGCTGCATCCGAAACGACTGCTTCGAGCACTACTACCACAACGGTGACGGCGACGACGACGGCGACGAGTTCAGAGAGTGTTGTGAATGGTAGCACGGGGAGGACAACACAAGATAATGGTACATCGAAAGAACAGGACGGCCAGGAGGAGCTGGCGGCTAGCTCCTTCATGTCCTTCGAAGAATGGAAGGAGATGATGTTGCGCAAGTCTGGCCACGACCCAGCACATGTCAAGGCGCATAAGCAGCGTGAATCGCACCACAGGGGAGGGCGAGACCCGTCGCTTGACAACGGCGGCGACAGTTTCGGCGAAGAGGGCGAGATCTCGTTGGATTTCGATGCCCTAGCCGAGAAGGTGTCCGAGATAACATCGCCAAAGTCTGGGTCGGTGGCCCCTGATTCTAAGAAAGGCGAGGTCCGCGAGGAACAAGTCCTCTACGATGACGGCAAAACCCAGTACTACCGCAGCAAGGATGCCGGAAAGACCTGCAAGGAGAGGTTCTCTTACTCGTCGTTCGATGCTGGCGCAACTGTTCTGAAGACGAGTCCTGGCGCTAAGAACGCCAAAGCCATCCTGGTCGAGAACAAGGATTCTTACATGCTGCTGGAGTGCCGACAAAAGAACAAGTTTGTTATTGTTGAACTTAGTGACGATATCCTTGTCGACACCATCGTCATCGCCAATTTTGAATTCTTCTCTAGCATGATACGCCACTTCAGGGTCAGCGCAAGCGACCGCTACCCCGTCAAGGACAACAAGTGGGTTGAGTTAGGCACCTTCGAGGCCCGTAACTCGCGAGACATTCAGGCATTTTTGGTTGAGCATCCTCATATCTTTGCCAAATATATCCGCATTGAATTCCTGACCCACTATGGCAACGAGTTTTACTGCCCGGTGTCGTTGCTCCGTGTCCACGGCACTCGCATGTTGGACACCTGGAAGGAACCTAGCCACGACAACGAGCCTGAACAGGTCGAAGGATCACCTCAAGAACCGGCCGCCCCAGTGTCGGATGTCCAACAGGACAATTTGTCAGTCAGCGATAATTCATCGTCGACAGTTCTTATCCAAGTCCAGGATAATTTCACGGAAGCGGTCACCGAAACGAGCCTTACGCCATGGTTACCGGTCTTTTATAGCGATCTGTCTCTCGAAGCCTGCCCGTTACGCTCGCCAACGGCTGTTCAGGCGACACCTGTTCAACCGAGTGCGAATGGCCATCTACATGAACCCGTTGCTGGCAACGAGAAAGCGACTATATGGTCCTCTTCAAGCGCAAATTCTGACGAGCCAGCTAACGGAGCTAGCGCTCCTATGATTCATTTATCGTCGGAATCGGCCATGGCCCAGGAGAAGCCCTCGAATCCCTCTCCTGTAGGCCCAAATGCACAACCTAATGGTGCTGGCACCAACAGCACCGCGAGAAGCTTCAACGGCAAATCCTCTGATGTCCATGCGGACGCATCAGAGGCATCTTCCTCCGCAACGACGACCACCAACCGCAACAAAACCACTTCCATATCCACCTCCCCCTCCGCTTCACCAACTGTCCAAGAATCCTTCTTCAAAACCGTCAACAAGCGCCTCCAGCTCCTCGAATCCAACACCTCGCTCTCCCTCCAGTATATCGAGCAACAGTCCCGCTTCCTCCAGGACGTCCTCCTGAAGATGGAGCGCAAGCACATAACGCGCATCGACGCCTTCCTCGATAGCCTGAACAAGACCGTTCTCACCGAACTGCGTAACGTGCGCACGCAGTACGACCAGATTTGGCAGAGCACCGTGCTCGCCCTCGAGACCCAGCGCGAGCAATCTCAGCGCGAGATCGTCGCACTCACGTCACGCCTCAACGTGCTTGCCGATGAAGTTGTCTTCCAGAAGCGCATGGCGATTCTGCAGAGCGTGCTCCTCCTCGCCTGCCTCGTCCTCGTCATTTTCAGTCGCGGCGGCTTGTCCGTCCTCGACGGCGGCCCTTCATCACTTGCTTCCCTCCCGGGAAGCTTTGGCACTGCAGCAGGGGGATCATCGGCCTTCTCACCGTACCGACGCTACGGCTATGGCCGTCCGTTGTCTCCTACACCCTCGGCGTCTTCCCCGTTCACTGTCGGCGCAGCTAGCGATAATAACGGAACCAGTAGCGGCAGTGGGGGGCTCGCAGCCTCTGCTATGCCACGATACCGATCTACGGTGTTGGCCACTAACAGGGATAAGTCCCTACCACTGACACCGACGGTATCTGAGTATGGCAGTCGGGAGGGGACACCTACAGTACATAAACTTACCACCAACAACGGAGACTCTGGTGAAGAGTCACCAACGAGGCCAAGCACAGAACAGGGAGATGATATTGAGGATATTGGGATGCCTTCAACGCCACCATCCGAAAGGAGAAAGGAAGGGGAAGGGGGAGGGGAAAGGGAAAGGGAAGGGACCAAAGGGGAGGAAGAGAAACCACCGCCGGATCGGGCTCGGTCAAGCGTTGCGCAACTGGCTGGACTTAACATGAAACCGTTGCCAGCGCTCCCAGAAGACCCGAGCTAGTTAATGTTTATGACAGCCACCCAAGCATGATGCCACGGTACGACTTAGCTTGTAATGGGAAGTTTTATAATCATGCGTCTGTTCTGCTTCATTCAGTAACAAGGAAGCCTCAAGAGTAATTATGCACGTATTGATTGTATATCGCCCGAGAGAGGAGAAAATTCATCTGGTTGAGAGGCCAACGAGCAAGAGACCAAGCTAAACTGCCAAAGCGAAGGCCTATGTATACAGGAATGAGTGCTTGCACCTGAAGACATCCCTTTGACTCCTCAAAAAACAGGCCTTGCGATATGGGACCACCTTTCCTAGATCATCCAGGTTTGATCCTCTTCGGCATGTCCAATTCCTTCAAGTTGGACCTGCCTATCCACCCATCGCCATTCCTGTTGCGTGCATCCATTTCTTCCACTAATTTCACGGCAAGCTGGCTCTCATTCTGGCTCAAATCCGAACGAGATGCTCCATGTTAGGCTGCAAACCGGCGTATTGCAATAAAGATGATGGTCATCTTCCTTGAACTTGTCAAAGATTGCGAAGCAAGTGAAGCCAATGCCAATGGAGTGCCGAAAACTCAATATCAAAATGCATTTGGTCCCACTTAGCGCCCTACATCTTGTCGATTACTGGGGACCGAAGAAGCCCCCAGCGCGTCTGTTGGCTTCATAGTCGAACTCTTCGAGAGCTGCAAGCCTGGTGCCGCGGTCAAACTGAGAACGGCGGCGACGTTGCTCATCGCGGAAGTGCTGGCCCGCATTCGGGGTGAAGAGACCTGAAGAGTTTATTAGCCAACTTCAAAGAGCCGACACGATGCCAAAAGGCATAGTACCTACCAACATGTTCGGCATTCTCGCAGCTACGCTTCATCTTGGACGGGTTGTCAGGCGGGGGGAAAGGCTCCTCCTGACCGGCCAGTTCAGGCTTGGGCCCGTTGATGGTATAATAGAGCTGGAATTGTTTTAGAAGGCAACCAAAGAAGCGGGTGTGATAGCAGCTTACCTTAGGCCGGTAGTGAGGTGCTTCCAACATAACGGAGCTGTTACGGAACTTCTGGACAAGACAATCCTTCCCCTGTATGGCTTTCTAGGTGTTAGAACGACACATGTTGTCGACGATACCCCAGGACGATACTTACTGGCATACGAGATCTCCGCTACCTTGTCGCTCTTAAAGCAGTTCCAGCGCTGGTTGCCCCGTGCGTTCACAAACTTGGAGCTTTTGTCAGCACTCAAAAGACAAGATCGTTGTAGATAAAATTACATACATCTATAATGTCCAGTGGCTGTCCAGATGTCAGCTTGAAGGCCAGTGAGACGGGTTAGAGCTTACTCACATCCACAAAGTTGATGAACGCATAACCAACGCTGCAGATTTTTCCTGTTAGTTTCTGCATCCCACGTTGCATTTCAAAATCCGTTACTTACTTGCAGTCATTGGCGAAATCAATGCGAAGATACATGAAATCGTACTTGCCCCAGCTGGATTCATCCACAATTTGCTTCAACATGGCCTGATCCACCTTGTTGGGGATGTTGCGCAACATGATCTGTAAGTGTCAGGTTGAACTGCGCAGCCTGATGAGAAAAGTGGGAGGAACATACTGTTGTCCGGACATCGATGCCCTCCCGAATGCGGTTCACATCAACCACGTTGTGGTTGTTATTGTGGTTGTAATACGGGGACCGGGGAATACGCATGGCATGTTGGCGGCGGTTCTCAAGGCGGCCGTAGGACTGGAGGCTCCTGGGGCTTGTGAAATTGCTGTGAACTGATGTGATCGGAGTTGATGGCGGAGTGGCGTACACCGGACTCATAAGCTGTGTGCCCGTTGCCATGGAGCTGAGAGGATTCATCACACCTAATCCTTGGCCGCGAGTTGGAGTCTGGTCGAGCATAAGACCCCTAGAAGCCGGAACCGGGTTGCGATAAAGGACAGGATACATGGGAATCGGCTGCTGAGCGCCATGAAAACCGATGGCAGAGTGAGTGAGAGGGTTGGCCGTAAACAGAGGGTTGGCCATGTGAGTGAGGTCCGGAGGGCCCATGCCGTGTAAGATGCTGGCAATGTTCTGAACCGGACCCCGAGCGACCGAGTAGCCATCCATAGGCTGTGCTACGGTCGATGAGGGATTGGCGCCTGCCTGGTGGTGTGCAAGAATCAAATGAACTCCCTACACGAATGGTTAGAGGAACTTCCATGGTTTACTTCGCTTGCTGTGATGACAACTTACCCCGAGCGTGGCTTTGTTGAACTTCTGAACCACGGTCATGGCGACATCGGCATCACAGAACTCGACCAGAGCACGAAAGGCGTATTCATTTACGTCGCTTTGGCGGTGAAGGGCGAACACCTCTCCCTGAGTTTCTAGGAACGTCTGAACAACGGTCTCAACGTGAGGTGTGCCCATATTGGCGGCCTGACCGAAGGCAGTAATCAGAATCTGGCCATCACCAACATTTTCAATGTCAGTGGAGGCTGAATCACAAGCCTATTTGCCTATCAGCAACAGATCCCACACGATATTGATGAGGCAAACTGAACCTTGTGGAAATCGGCGGCAGTGATGTACTCCAAACGGTACTCAGGAGCCTCAGTTCTGATGGCTTCGGTATGGTTGCATGCATCCTTGATATGGGTGAGACGAAGATAGACTCTGCCCTCCTTCTGAACGAAGTTACGTCTACCCTTACGTGGGAGACCAAACTTCTCCAATTTCTTTTTTTGGCTATTAGTTGGTTGAGACAGTCGACGTTGCACGGTAAATGTCGTCTTGGACTTACCTTGAGATGAACCTCAATCTCTGAGATTGAAATAGGACGGGAGAGCGAGTAGATAACAATATAACGAGAGATACCCAACTCATGACTGAACTTTGGAATAGAGGGGAGTGCCAACAGCTGGCGGTTCGCAACCGGGCCAACAGTTAGGTTAGTCGGGCCGCCCAAAGAGCCGCGGGCCACAATGGGAACAGAGTCAGGGCGAAAGGCTGAAGCAGTGGGCGACAGCTTCTGCTCCTGCTTGACGATGGCATTGTTGGAGACGAAGGGATCTTTCTCTGCGGCGGTTGCGGAGGGGTTGGCACCATTGGTCTCTTCACCCTGGCCATGGGCGTGGGAGGTGTGATTTGAACCAAGCACATTGATGGTAGTTAACGCCTTGTTTGATTTGGCTGAGCTGTCCTCCGGCGAAAAGGCAGTGAGTCGGGTATCCGGAGTGCCCTCGTGCTTATACGAGTCGGCACCACCGGCCGATGAGTGGGGAGAAGCCGGATTGAAAGACCCGTTGCCCTCTCGCGCTTGCGACATGTTGAGTCCGTGAAGTGGTAATCCTGTTTGCTGGAAGGAAGTCGATGATAAACCAACCAAGTTGGGATACTCGATGGGACCTTACGAGAGGACTGAAAGGAGTGTACTTCTCGCAGGCGGGTGCAAGCTGGATACCAGGAAAGTGAAAGATGAAGAGAGAGAGGGGATGGGAACGATCCAAAATCGTGGGTGATAGGAAGCCGCGTATGCTGTCGTGTGGGCACGACAAAAAAGAAGCTGCGATTGGCGCGATCCCAACCTGCGGAAAGCACGCGTGATGCCTTGTATAAAGACTGCTGCGTGACCGACTTTAGGGTTAAGGGAATGGTCTTCTGTCCTCGACGCAAGGTCTGGCCAAAAACCACGATGTGGGATTTGAGAGTATGGCTCCAGGACGAAGTGGGCGTGTAGATGGGAGGGAGGTGCCTCGTGGGGTGGCAGTGGAAATCGCTGTGGGCAACGGAAGAATGTCCAGTTGACCAAGCAGCCTTGTGTGTGTGGCGGTTGCTGCTTTTTGTAGGAGACAAGCAAGGCTGAAAAGAATGAAACAGGAAAGCCATGCCGCAGGCTAGGTACTAAAAAGCCGCTTTCTTCGAGCACTTCAGATGGAAAAAGTTCAAAGACCCTCCGCGGGCTCGTCGTGCTTTAGGGAAGGTGCGATTCCACAAACGTCGTGTTGTCGCGTTCTTTCCATGTCTCCCTTCTAAGGAAACCACTAACTACCCAAAGACCTCTTAGAAGATAGGACTTTCAGGCAGCCATGCGAGGCAAGGTTGTAATCTGGGTATAACAAGTTGCCTATCAACTTCATCTAAGGGAGTTAAGTACCTAAGAGTACTTTGCCCTGACGGCCGGCGTTGACCAGCTCATAGTTGAGACAGATCTTATTGATCAAATAAATGCTTTCAATTCATGTCATGAAAAAAAAGAAAAGTTAATTGAAAAATAGGCCGTACTTATCATCCTGCCATGAACAACGCAAGAATCACCTACCGTGGTATTGTTTACCAGCGATGGCACTCAGGGGCAAGGGTTTGACCGTTCGGTCTTTTAAAGATCAGCTTACTTCTTCCACATTTTGTAAGAGAAACACAAGGCAGAGAGATGAAGAAGATTCGATATTCGATGGAGATTTTCCCGGTCTCTTACTCCTCCTGTCGTCATGAGATTGGAGCTCGAGGGGCACTGTTTATATTTTCAGGGGCCAGGGAAAGGGGGGGGGGTGCCAGGCATCTGCCAGCCGACAGCAGTTGTAGGGTCCTCTTATACTGAAAGGTGGCAAAGTTTGGGACTGGTGTCAGCAGACCGGGAGATCTTGCTGCTCTGTGTGCTATAACCAATTCTGTTTTCATGAAAGTACAGTAATACAAGAACAAAGTTGTTCTCGGATTACGATCTGTAGGGTACACCATACCCATACTCATCCAACCCTGGTTGCTGTCGAACCTCATTACGTAGGAGACGCACGGATCACCTCTTGGTCTTGTTGCCAGGAGGCCACAACAGTCAACCAAACATCGCGAACTCATCTCACGACCAAGAACACTCAGTTCTTTTACCCTCCTAATCTTTTTGGGGCGCTTTCTACAAAATTTGTATCGCCGCGTCGGCGCGACAACAGAGGACCAAGTAATTTGTCCCAACTTCAGCAAAACAGTCGGCAAACCGGGGTCAAGATGCCGAGAAAGCCTCAGGCATGGGATGACTTCGACTCGGCCGTCAGTCAGGTGCGTTGTCGTTGTCGCCTTCTGTTGCTGTCCCTTGCTGCTGATCTCACTAACGTTGGCATTACAGATCATCCTTGCCCCCACAGATTCGGAATTTCTCGATCAGTTGATCCCGGTATTGAAAGATGCCACGACTAGCAGTCGGATCGGTTCCCTTGTCCAGAGCCTCTCTCAATATGCCGAGGACCGCGAGGCCGATATCGAGCGCATCGGGTTAACAAAGCATGAAGAGTTTCTGAGTTCAGTAAACCAGCTTCAGAAAGTGCGCGAGGGCACAGTGGCTTTGACGTCCGAAATCCTTAATTTAAACCAATCAATCCAGGCCAGCACCGAGAAGCTCGCCGAGCAGAAGAAGGCCCTAGTTAATACGCGCGCAGTGAAACAAAATATCGCTGAAGTATCCAGCGCCCTTGAGGAGTCGCTAAAGATATTACATGCCGTCAACAACGCCCACGGCCTCATAAAGAAGAAGAAATACTATGCCGCCCTGAAGTCACTGGAAGACCTCCAAAACGAGTACTTGTTGCCCATAATCCAGAACAAATATGCGACTCAATACAAGCTAGCCGACATGATCCAAAAGTCGATACCAGCTTCTCAGAAGGCTATATCTGAGGCAGTGATGTCAGATCTCAATACCTGGCTTTTCCGCATTCGAGAAGCGTCCCAAGTACTTGGCGAGGTTTCTTTTTATCTTACCCAAGAAAGGAGAGCTAGGCAGAAGGAGCGTGCAAATGCAGACCCGCGTTTGGCGCGTTTCAAGCTCAACTCTGCGGTTGAGTTAGTGTTTGATGAAGATAATGAGTTTGATCTCTTGCACAATGAGGAGGTCCAAGTCGACTTCACCCCTTTGCATGAAGCTTTACATATCCATGACTCACTTGGCCAAGTTGACAAGTTCCGTGCCGAGTATGCCGCCACCAGACGTCAGCAGAGGGACCTCATCATGCCTAGCTCAGAGAGCATCTTCACCAATGGCAACGATGACGGTCTCAAAGAACTGCTAGAGAACATCGCTGGGTTTGCCATCGTTGAAAAAGCCACGATGCAATGTGCCCCAGCTGTTCGTTCATCTTTTGATGTATGGTTCTATCCACATAGCCAAGTGTCGTGTTGTCCTCTAACACATGGACAGGTTGAGGAAATGTGGGACCAAATGTGTGAAACAGCTATTCGGATCATTTCGAAATCATTACATGAAGTTAATGACCCTCAGCTGCTCTTCGCCATCAAGGAAGACATTGCTCTGTTCATGCAGACGATGGAGGTGCGTTTGTCTGTAATATGACACGCAACTGTGCCTGACCTCGGTGATAGGGCTGGGGATACTCCCCTACCATGATCAACAATTTCCAGCTTGAGCTCTTCAGCAAGTACGCGGAAGTTCAGAAGCGCCGTTATACTTCTGAATTCTACGAGGTTGGTCAGATAGCTGGTAAACTTCGTTACCGTTGCTAATCGTCTTCAAAGATCGTCTCGACGGACGACTACATGCCCATGGATATCACGACCCAGGAAGACTACGAAAACGTTCTCAGCCTCACCCAATTTTCCAGTGAGAGACCTCCAGAAGAAGTCACGTATGTATTCGCCAGTGATGACTTAGTGGAAGAGTCAGCAACTAACTTACTCTAGGCTCCCCACCGTATTTCCCTTTTCTAAAATGTATCCTCTCTGCTGTTTAGCAATCAGGCAATTCGTCAACGAATTCTACGAGTTCAGCAAGGAAAATTTTGAGCATCCAGCCGCCGTTGATGAAACCCTTAAGAAGGTATTGTGCCCCGCCCTATAGTTCTTGGAAACATTAAACTCACCGTTTGTTTAGACATTGGACGAGCTCTTAACGGATATCGTTTGCCAAACCTTGGTTGATCGGCTAAACACCCAATATCTGGGCCAAATAGTCCAGATCCTGACGAACATTGAGCACTTCGAGATTGCTTGCCAGCACTTGGAGCAGCAACTAGTCGAGGTTCGGTTATCAACGTCGACAGGAGGTCCCATCAACCTTAAGGCTACAGAGCAGTTTAGGAGCCACAAGAAGACTGCCGAAAAGCGCATTTTTGAGCTCGTCAACTCTAAGATTGACGATCTCGTGGAGACTTCCGACTATGACTGGTATGGCTTGTGTCTCAAATTTTCCCTTGGGTTGAGTTAACACCGGGTTCACAGGACCGCAACAAGCAAGCCAACAGGAACGAGCAGCTACATGAAGACGTTAACCCAGTTCCTGGAAAACATCATGAGCTCGACTCTTCTAGGTCTTCCCAGAGAAATCAAAGAGCTCATCTATTTCGATGCACTCAATCATGCAGCCACCAAGATCTTGGTTAGTCTACCGCTATAAGATCTCACGGAATTTTGACTGACCTCTCGTACTTCCAGGCACTCCCCCTGTCCCCAGACGTCAAAAAGATCAATCCCAATGGCGTGGCAGCCATGGCTCTCGACGTACAACACTTGGCGGAGTTCGTCTCTAAACTGGACAATGCGTTCATGCTCCAGCAGAACCTGGAGGAGCTGCAGCAAACCATTGCCTTGATGCAGTCCGACAACCACGAAGAGTTCTACGATATCTCACTCCGCAACAAGAAGTACAACCGCGTGGATGCTATGAACGGGCCAATCCTCCTGGAGAAGTATGTATCCATCTCTTATCCAAGGGTAATGATGAAGCTGACATTTACGTCTTCTAGACTCGTGCCGCTGGTCGAGAACCCGGGCCGGTCAGCGCCGCTTGCTAATTTCAGCTCGCGCTTCGGCCTGAGGTAGATGAAGACATCTTTCGATACCCCATCGCATACAGGCGGATGAGCCTCCATGATGTTATGATATCAAATCACTGTATGTATGACAAATAGATGACTCTCACGGTATTAATGACGAGGGATAATTCACTCTACACGGTACAGATGGGTTAACAAATTGATACGTGAGAACAACCACACTATAACCAAACACCGCCGCCCACTTCCGTCATAAGGGTGACTTCGGAGAAAGGAGACGTTTCGCAAAAAGAAAAAAAAAACAAACTGTAGTGCGTTTTGTCATGAGAGAGTCGCAAACTCGCAAACGGGGAAAGTAAGCACTATCATCAAATCCATCCGTCCATCCGTTCCATCCCCCTTGCCTGCCTACCATCGCCGAATATCCGTTCATCAAATCCATAAGTGCGCCAGCCAGAACCCAGACCCTCGCGAAAATGATGGCGAAACCATATCCTCCACTGTTTTCACATCTGCCTTGCATAACCTGTGGTTTTGGAATTCAGGTCAACCGACTCTGTCTGCGGCAGCGTCCCCTCCTGCACGTTCTGGAGATCGAACCCGCCTAGGTCTTCGAACGGCTCATCCTTAATCACCGGCATCTGGCCCTGCCCCTCCTGCTTCAGGGGCGCTGCCTAAGCGCTCTGCTGGGTGGGGTTAGACTGACATTCCGATGGGGGGAGGAAAGGGACTGCTGGTCTGTACCTGCTGCGGAGGCATGGTTCCATAGGTATACATGTCGTCGACATTGTACATCTGCGCCTGGGGCTGGCCATACGCCGGCGCGCCCGTCTGGACCTGGCCTGTGTACATGGTCTGGGTCTGGCGGTAGTCGGCCTCGGTGCCCATGTGCTGACCACTAAGTGTGTAATCGGTCGTGGCCATCGGGTGGCCGCCAGTATGGTTAGGCGCACCAACACCGGGAATCTGGGTCTGGGCAGCTGATTGTTGGGCTGCAGCCGCCGCGGCAGCAGCCTGATGATTGCTGCTCCGCTTGTGGGTTTGGGCTTCCTCGCGCGGGACGATATCGATGAGGAAGTCAAACATGTCGGACTTCGCCAGCGCCGAAGCAATGTCCGAACGCTGCAAGGTGCGTCTCTTATTCTCCTCAGCATGGATCCAAGCCCTCATGGTCAGCTCGGTGATGAAGATATCGCAACCCTTGGCAAAGAGGATCGGAGCCTCAGCAGAGATCATCTTAACATCGGGATCGGCCTTCATAACCTTCTTTATCCGGGCCAGGGGGAGCTGGTGCATCTTGTAGTCGTGCTGGTCATTCTCGAGGTGATGGATGGTTTGCTGCCAGTAGGCTGTCAGGATATCCTTGTAGTGCCCGGTGAGACCCTGATGCACATTGGCCCATGTGCCAGTGTAGAGCTCTGAAGGGGCAAATCCTTGCGCTGAGATCTGGGACGGGTATTAGTGTCTTGGTCTGATGCACCGTTGTCAGAGTCAATGGAAAGTTGGGAGACTCACCGCTGCGCTTGCACCATAGTGGCCGCCATTGCTCAGATCGTAGGCCGGCATCTGCCGGGGCTGCTGTGGATGCTGAGACTGGTTATGCGGATCCATGATTTGATGCGACGATTAAGCTGGACACCACTGGAGAGAGACGGTCTTCAACGTGTCACGGCTGCGAAGCGGGGTTCTCGGTACTGAAGTGGTTGACGATGTTTCGCGGAAACTTGGATATCGCGCACACTCCCCTCGAATTTACACTATATCTCTGCTAAAAGTTTTAGCGTCTAGATGCAAGATCGCTGTATATGCGGCGATCGGCCCGCACATTTGTTTACTTTGCGACTCGGCGCTGTCGATGGTCGCAACCCAGCGTTCCTGGGTGCTTCCCTGATTGGGCAGCGTGATTGGGTGGGCGCGTCTCGGACGGGGGAGCAAGGGCAAAGACCGAGCGAATGGGTGAGTGGAGCTTCAAAGAGGGTGTCTGAACGACTCGCCTGCCTGGACTGCCCACAGAAACGCGAGCCACTCAGCTCTCGTTGCGAGCGGTATGAGATGATTGGTGAGATCGGGGCGGGCGGATTGGTTGAAGCTTGAATAAATGGACGTAGAGGATTGGCGCAACAGAGGGGCGGGCGGTACTGTCCAGAAAAATGAACACGATCAAACATACCTTTCTGCGAAAATCGAAGCAATCGAAGCAGTTACGCGCGGAACTCTGATGGAAAAGTGCAGAAGTTCCTTGAGTCTTCGGGAAGAACCCAAGCGCCAAAATGATTTGTTTAAGCGGTCAGTCTCGTTGGGCAGCGAGGGCGGACAACAGGTCACTGTGTGGTGTGGCGCATGCGTTGAATCCAAGCGAGGATTGGCTGTCTTTATGTCACTTCTGAGTTGTCGATCGCTCCAGCCTCACTTGTTCGCGGCTGTAGTGACACAAGGTGAGAGAACCAAATAACAACCTGAGGCAGCAAGCAACAATGTTTCTCCAGCCGCCGAGAGGCACGTGCCAGCTTGGTTTCGTCAGAGACCCGCTTTTGCCAGCGAACGCTGTGGGTCCGTTGGCCTACAGCCAAGGTTCGGCAGCTCTGAAACCCCACATGACAGACGGCTCCATCCGTTCGCTTCAATTTTTTTCCCTCCTAATTTAATCGATCGCCGAACTTTCAAGCTTTCCCACCCTCATCTTTCACGTTCCGCGCATACGATTGCGGTTTGGTTTGAGCACCATGGCGACCACACTTGGTTTGCCAGACGAAGAAATTGACCGGCTTCTCGCGGAAGCCGAGGCTCGTCTTGCCGGGAGTGGCGATGCAGATGCCGGAGCAATAGCACTCGCAAAGCCTGCTGCGTCGAAGCCGCTGACTGTCGCGGCGCCAGCGGCCCCGAAGGCTGGGGAGCAAACAGTTCCTCAGGTTAAGAAAGCCGAGGAGCTGTCTGTTCGTGTTCCCCAGCTCCCCCAGAAGAAAAAGGTACGTGCTGGCTCCCTCCTGCCTACAGCCGACTGTGTGTTTTGTGATGAAATTAAATCCCAACCTGTATGACGCTGGCAACATCCCGTTATGGGACCCGAGCTGGCACCATCATGATTTTTTTTTTCATGTTCATAGTTACTCTGACTGCACACCATGTTTCTGGAATATTTAATGCGACATATTTTGGGTCGGGCTGCCTGACTGACTTTAATGTAGGGACCTCCAGATACATTATCTGATTGGTACAACATTCCGCGCACGAATTTGACACCGGAGCTGAAGCGCGATCTGCAACTGTTAAGAATGCGTGACGTGGTTGCCATGGGCAAGCAGTTCTTCAAAAAGGATAACCGCAAGGATTTTGTCCCTGAGTATTGTCAGGTTGGCACCATTATCGCTGGTGCGACGGATGGTGTCAGCGGCCGCCTAACCCGCAAAGAACGGAAGCGCACCATTGTGGAGGAAGTTCTGTCTAGCGACAGCGTCTCCAAGTATAAGCGCAAGTACCACGAAATCCAGGAGCATAAGAAGAGTGGAAGGAAAGGTTATTACAAGAAACTTATGGCTGCTCGCAAGCGCAAATGAGCGGATTTGGATCATTTGCTCACTGATCTTCGGCGACACACCTCTGAAGCGATACAGAGGAAAAATCCTATGCCACTGAGAACCCAGCAACACCACGAAGATGTGGAAGGAAGGCCTGGGCATTGAGCCTATACTGCGCATGAGACTTGCAGCTAAAGGCTCTCACTCACAAGCAGTTCCAAGTAAAAGGATGGAGCGCACAGCAGGTTGAAATATGCCTGCGCAAAACTTCGGCGTCAGCACCATCGTTGCTGACCCTACCGGGTGCTATCAGGGCTCTCGTGATTGTTCTTGTATTAGATACTACGCTATTAATTAGAGATACCCAATACGGAACGTCAAGTTATTGTAAGCAATTATAGAATACGTGCCTCTTTGTGTTCTTGGGGTATGTCTGCAATCTGCAACAGACCCGGTCTCGGTGCTTCAGATTCTTGCTTCCAAACCTCTTATCGATAAGAACCATGGCCAACCCTCGCGCCAAAATCTCGGCTGAAGGCTTCGACGACAAGCCGTTCACGCAACATCCCAGGTTGTCAAGGGGCAAACAAGATGAATGCGCAGCGGTTAATAAGGCCATTGGGGCCCTTTTTCCAAGGGCAATTGGTATGCCGGACTTACCGATACTTCTTGCACTTTGCCAGAGTCTAATGTGTCAATGAATGTAGCCCCTCGCGGCATCCCGGTTGTCGGCGATGCCCATTGCTCGGGCTTCGACACAGCTCCGTGCCACGGCTGCCATGTGAGTATCGGCTGGATCAACTAAGCTTTTTGCTCTACAGATACTGACAGTCACTTACAGGCCCAGTTGTCCTGTCACAATAAGGGCGATGAGGTTAGCCAGCCCCGCCGACGTCCTTTGAACCATGAAGTCCTCCGAAAGCCAAGCAAATGCTTACCAGTTACCTACAGCAGCGTTGCCTCGCCCCCGCCATCCGCCGTCGCTACCAATGAGCCGCCTAAGACACCCGCCGGGCAGAAGAAAGGAGAAGAAGATGAGGGCATCGACCGTATGCCCCGCTCGATCGAGGCCTTCTGGCTGAAGCCCCTACGGCGCGAGGTTGAGTACGGAGTGCCCATGTGCGACCTGCAACTGCGCTCTTATTCGGCGCGTAATCTCGAGTTCTTCTGCGACTTCGCCCTTCGTGCCGCATACTACCTCGGTCTGCCAGCTTTCGGTCCCGTTCCTTTGCCGCGCAAGATCCAACGCTGGACAGTGCCCCGCTCCGTCTTCGTCCACAAGAAGTCTCAGGAAAACTTCGAGCGCATCACCCTCCGGCGCTTGATTCAGATTCGTGATGGCCATCCTGAGACAGTGCAGCTCTGGCTGGCGTTCCTGCAGAAGCATGCATACTACGGCGTTGGTATGAAGGCGAACGTCTGGGAGTTTAGCAAGCTGGGTATGTTGCTCTTCATTTCTCCGGGGTTTGTTTGATATACTGTATAGTGACTGACATTTTTCCACAGATGTTGCCAAGGAGATGGATGCTGCTGTGCAGGAGACGGAGAAGCTGCTGGAGGACAAGTGGGAGCACCTCGGCTATCTGCAACGGAAGCCCGAATTCTCTCCGAAGGGCAAGGAGGTTGTCGAGAAGCTGCCAAAGCCGGAGGAGATCGAGGAGTTCCTTGCGACAGAGAGGAGAAAGGTCTCCGGTGGGCGGTAGAGGGGATGAAGAAGGGGATGTCGCGATGTTTGCGTTGTTGTACAGTAGATATGAGACCTCTGTACGAATATGGATGGAATATAACATGGGCTTGCTTTTACTGGAAAATCATTCATTGATCAAAAACTGCCTTCTCATCATGTCTCTGTCTAAACTGGAGATAAGGCTGTTTCCCTGAATGGTCAATTGCACTGTCCTACGCACTGTGTTCTTGAGATTTTAACTCCACCTGTTTCAACTCGGGACGGTCCTGGAGACGGAAGTTCATCTCACGTTGCTCTTCACTTTCATCACTCAATTGGTTTTCTCACCCCAAAGACTCCAATTTTAAAGGGCAAGTTGTCGAGATGAAAAGCACCAAAATATACCGTCAACTCAGTGCCTGCCACAAGAAGTGGCAACATTTGGCAAGCAATGTCCCAAGTGTAGTCTCAGCATCAAGATCGGCGACATCAAAGACACTCAGCAAGCACACCATAACCAGTCAAATACGCAGCTTCACGTCAGCAGGTAGCAGAAGCGCTGGAATTGAGGTTCAGGGCAAAGAGAGCAGAGGAGCTGTGAAGACAAAAGATAAGTCAGAAAAACCTGAGAGAAAAGTCGTCTTCTCGGCCATCCAGCCGACAGGTATCCCACACCTTGGCAACTATCTAGGAGCCTTGAGTCAGTGGAAGCGCCTGCAGGACGAGGCGATCAAGGATCCGAACATCAAGTTGTACTTCTCTGTTGTCGATCTCCATGCCTTGACGGTGCCTGGTCCCAAGGAGGCCTTGGTCGCCTCTAAGAAGCAGACGCTGGCTGCTCTGCTTGCCATTGGCCTTGACCCAGAACACTGTGCTTTGTTCTACCAGTCTCGTATAAAACAAATCGCCAATCTGTATTGGATCTTGGGGTGCACTTCATCTATGGGTTACCTTTCTCGTATGACACAGTGGAAGGTAAGTTCCCAGTTCCTCGGAAGCTGATGGATTTGACTCAGAGGGGTCAACTAACCCGAATTTTCAACAATACAGAGCAAGTTGAAGCTCGACGCAGACACATCATTGGAGGACTCAAGGGCTAAGGCTGCTCTCAAGCACGGCCTCTTCTCCTATCCGATTCTCCAGGCCGCTGATATCTTGATCCACCGTGCTACCCACGTTCCTGTGGGCGACGACCAACGGCAGCATCTCGAGTTTGCCAGAGAGTGCGTCACCAACTTCAACAGCACCTGGAAGACCAACTGCCTGGTTGCCCCTGAAACCGTGATCGGTGAGCCCTGCCCCTGAGGCCCCCTGATGTATTCCCAATGCTCATATTCCTCCGCAGCTCCCACCAAGCGCATCATGTCCCTTACCAACCCCCGTGAGAAGATGTCCAAGTCCGACCCGAAAGCCAGGTCCCGCATCCACATCACCGATGCCCCAGAGGAAATAGAAAAGAAGATTAAGGGCGCGGTCACCGATGCTCTGGGTAACATCACCTACGACCCAGTCGAGCGGCCAGGAATCGCCAACCTGCTCGATATATTGTCTGCCTTTGATAAGCAGGGGCGCACACCCGCGCAGCTGGCCGAGGAGTTCGCCGATCAGCAGGCTCCCGATCTCAAGGCAGCTGTGACGAAGGCTTTGATTGATGGGCTGGCCGAGATCAGGGATAGATACCAGTTCTTCCAGGAAAATGAGAAGGCGCTCAAAGACGCCGAAGAGACGGGTACAATTCGGGCGATCCGAAGTGCGGGGAATACCATGTCGATGGTTGAGAAGGCTGTTGGTATTTATGACTTTTTCCATTAAGGGGTTGGATGAAGCTTCTAAAAAGGATAGATGGGAACCTGTATAATAGACTGGGCTCTGTATGATAGACAGCCATCTCTGTTCATTTGTATCAGCGATATGGTTTAGATAATGCCGCTCGAAGGGACCATGAAGGGATCACTTATAGGAAGCATATATCAGGAGACGGAGTATTGGGAGAAGTTGGTGCCACGAGAGTAGGATGACTGAATTGGGTGCATGTGTGAACAACGGAGGGAATCGAACAATGTTTGTAGCATGCATCTCTCATTCTCACTACACTGAGATACAGCAAGCGTCTCCTAAAGGCTATATGACCATCTCTAGCCCATATCTACTTTCAGGATTGTTATGTTTTCATACCCAATACCGTGTTGAGTACTCGGGTATGAAGTCATTTGCCATAATTGGTGTCGAGACCTTAGCAGGGTACAGTCAAGGGCCTCTTTCGTCCCAACCACCATTGCTGACCTGTGAAGGGGGTACATTAAACACTACCCCAGATATCTAACCCTCTTCCTAGGACGCATACGCAAAATTGGATCCACGGCAGGCGAGCCAGAACTCCCGGACTACTTGGTTGGTTGTGCGCGCGCCTCTCAGCCTGCTGCGTCGTTAGTTATTTGGCCACCAACACAGCACCGAGAGGATGCGAAACTTACGCAATGACCTTCCTCAAGAAAGCTCTACCGTCCTCAAGCGCGACCCTCTCACAGCCAGGCCAGCATGCCTGTCCCTCGAGTAAGGCTTGCTCAAGCCAGGCTTGTGCCTCGGGCCGCAGTACGACTAGCTTCTTGAGCGGCTCGCACAGTCGATCCAGTTCGGAGCGAGCAGCATGTCCACCGATGTTGCGCATCAAAGACCGGGCGACCAGAGGGCCCAGGTGTGTCATCGCAGAGGCGATAGCTTGCTCAAGTGCCGGGTTGGACGGCTTGAGACTGATGAAGTTTGCCTGAAAGTCATGTTAGATGAGCATATTAGATGAGAAGAATGCGATTAAAAAGTTGGGGACGTACCCAGAACTCGGCCGCAGCGTTTTTCGGCAGGGGTTCAGTGCCGTCGAGAACTTTGAGGGTGAAGAGGAAGAAGAATTCGATCAGTTGAGAGGGCTGAGCGTTGAAGAGAATCTCGGGATATTTCGAGATGACCTTTTCAACAAAGTTGATGCCGTTGACAGCGATCTCAGTATCAGAATCGGGATCTAAGATGGTGTTAGCAGAGAAAGCGCTTACGCCTGAGTTGGGGAAAGAGGGTTGATCACAATGATGACCTACCCGGCATGCCCTGAATGATAGAAATCACCCACGGCAGCAAACGCGTAAGCTGCGGCGGCACGAGAGCCTTCGGTCCGCGATAAAGCGACCCGACGTATGAGCAGACCGTGCTCAACAGCGTGCCGATCCTAGGGGTCTCATAACGCTGCTGAACAAAGTAGTCCGTAACAACGTCGGGGTGGAACACGAACGGTCCCGGCTCCGTCTCCGAGAAGCCAGCACGGAAGATATTGCAGATAATCTCAACAGCCTCGCCGCTGGCCCCAAAGGCTGACTGGACGCCGGCTAACACACGCATAATGTCTGCTTGCAAACGACTCAGTCTGCTGTTTGGGTCATGGGGTGCCGGCTCGCTATCTAGGTCAATCGGATGTTCTTTCACATCCTGCATGCCCTTGGCCATGCTTGCCAGGCATCTCAAGGACCTGAGGGCGATATGAAGAGCAATTTCTTCAGCAGACGGAACTGCTGGTGGGTGTGGCGTCTCCAGGCCTCTGAGGAAGTCAGGGTGGGAAAGGTTGAGGATGTTAGGCTGAGCTTGAAGCTGGATGGCAAGTTCGAAGTCTTTCTTGAGGAAATTGTAGAGCTCCTCAAACATATCCAGTCTGTGCCCCTCCTCTTTGATAGCTTGGACAATGGAGGCAATGGATTGAACAATCCTCTCTTCAGCAAGCGAGTCCAACACCTGACTGCCGCGAATAGTCTTATAATGGTTGATGAAAGCTCCAGCCTCTCCTGTAAGGATGGAGCGGCATGAGGAGCATAGAGTTGAGATCGACCTTGCACATGGTCCTCCAAGGACCGGATCACCCAAGGCACCAAATAAAAGATTGAGTGCATCGGGCAGGTATTGTGCGTTCCGCTCAAAGTACTCGCAGTACTTTTCGATCAGGGCCAAGCCTGTCTGGCGAAGACGCAAGGGGATAGGCCCATGAGCCTGGCCGAGAAGCTGGAAGAAAGGAGATGAAAATACGTTGCTCAACACGTGGTCATTCCGAGCATCTTCCGAAATACAGTCGGCCAGAGCGCCGAGGCAGAAGGCGGCGGCTTCAAGTTCGGCCCAGTTCTGGGTAGGGAGGACACGCAGGAAAAGGTCAGCAAAAAATGAAACAAGGCTCGAGCCTTCGAGGGTGAAGACCGACTGGAGCATATCGCTGACGTCTTTCCTGGCATCATTGAATGCGGTACGCTCTGTTGAATCCCACTCCGCGAACACCTCTGCAGGCGGCCACTGGATCTTTCTCCAGGAATTAAGTATGACAGCCTTCAAGTGACGTTCGGCGAGTGGCTTCCAAGACTCTGTATCCTCTTCGTCTGAGTAAATATTATCGACCATAGTCTCAATGAACGTTGACCAGAACTCGAGAGCTGGCACAAAGACAGTGTCATCAGCAACAAGGTAACCATCAGCCGCAAGGAGCCCAGTCAGCTTCTCGAGGAAGCCCTGGGAACGCGCGTCAGTGCCATGCATAAGGTCTTGCACTTTGGCATCACCGTATGCCAGCATCAGGAGACCGAACGAGATGCCATCTTCATGGTGATTGCCGTGGAGAAGGCGCTGATAATGCTCAGCTGCCCAAGGGCTTTCGAAAAGTGAAGCCAAAGTGTTGTAGTGCTCTTCTGTGAAAAAGCTTGAATAATTGCTCAAAACATCGCTGAACAATTCAGCAGCTGGCTGGAAAAGGTCTGGATCGGCCAAACAGTTCATAGCAGGCCCAACTAGTTGTCTTAGAGGAGTGACCAACTCCACGTTAGGGGATGCTCGCTGGGCATACAAGATCCAAGCCTTACTAAGTGTCAGACCACATGTTACAAGACACGCATAGCTACTTGGCTACAGAAGTTTCAGACATACCTGGAAGCAGGCCAGGGCTTCTCCCTGAGTTTTGATGGCTGGGTTATCTTCTGGAGGGTTAAAGGCCCTGGCAAGCAAACAAGTCACATCAGGTCCGGTCTTAATCAAGCGCTCGTGGACTTGGATGAACTTGGGGGCGCTCATATCGGTCTTGCCAACCTCCTCAACCAAGGACGTAATGAACCACACAGCTGCACTCAGCTTCTTGCGGTCTAACTTTGAAACAAGGATCTCAGTCGTGAGGGCATCATCCAGTCCCTCAACTGGAGTACCCCGTCCAAGGTCCAGGCAGTAGAGGAAATGGCGAACACAGTGTGGCCATAGATGGGAAAAATGGATGAAAAAAGTGACCAGAGCCGTGCACAACTTCTTGGTCACGAACGGAGCAGCGCCGTCAGCAAGGGACTGAATAGTCCAGCTGATGATGTTTTGAAGTAGGCTGCTTGTGTCCTCTTCACTCAAGCCAGCACTGCAACAATCATATTAGACTTGAGTTCTTTCACAACGGTTGATAAACAGGATAACCTTCCATACCTGTCCCGGTTGATTTTCACAATAAGAGTGAGTGCAGCATAGAAGCGAATATTATCTTCCCGATGGGAGATCAAGCTCTGTGCGAGCTGCCATCCTTCTGGTGACCGCTGCAGTCGCTGGAGTACTTCTTGGATCTTGGTGATAGTCTCAGGGGGATTTGGTTGATAGAGGGCACGGATGAGCTGCAGATCGGGCTCAGTATTATAGGTTCTTTATCGGTCGGCTCACAAAACCAAGACATTGAATCGGTTTCACTCACTGATTCAACCTCCGCAAGGCTGGTAGGTAGAGGGAGCTGCTCCATTGCGCTGTCGGCCATTTTGTCCCTTGTCACTGTCGGTTTCTGATGTCGGAAAAAGTCATCGGTCTTGGCTAGCCCAATAATGGAGTTGAGCGGATGAGGTAAGACGCCGAGTGACCGAGAAGATCTCAGAAGCTGAAGCAGCTTCCTAAAGGAGATTGTTTTCGTTGCAAGTGGAGAGAGGCTGAGAGGGGTCAAGAAATGAGAAATTGTGAGAGTCAAGATGATAAAAACTTGCTTTGAACCTTTCTTTATCGGGCGAGCGCTTTCCAGAATCACCCCTTTTGTCTCAACGACTTGTTGGCCTTTTTTTTTTAACTTCCGTACCTAATTCAGACGACCCGACGGGACAAGCACCGACCGATATGCAACCTTAACGCTAATGAGTGTGTGAGGCTCGCATTTACTGATCAAGCTCTGTGGAACCTGCTGGAGCTCCAAGGCTACAGTGCCAGAACGCTGGAAACCCCACCGATGTCTGACCTGGTCGCGAGTGGGAACAACGGCTCTGGAGACACAACGGTGGGGTGTCAAGAAGTACCTGACCGCCCCAGTGTACCTCTCCTGCTTGGTTATGAGGCCGTCTCTCCCATCTTATCTGCTGTGTGAAGTTATTGCAGCAATATCACCATGGAGGTGTCATTACAATAATATTATGACTACTTCTGGCCAACAGAAGAAAAAGCGTTGTGCCACCAGAAGCATTCTACAAGCCATGGCTGTTGTACTCGTGACATGCTGAGCCCAATTTGGCAGCTCGATGAGGGGCGATGCGTGAGGTCGAAGTTGGAGCTCCCCGAGCTGGAGTGCTTGAGTGGGGCACCTCCTTATATCTCAACCACCTGAACCAGCGCAGCTGCACCAGAGCTCATGCCCGTTGGACACCCGACCTCCACTGCCCGCCTCCTCCGGGCTGCGAATCGGTTCCGTCTACCGCGCGGGGCCGACTCTTCCTACGCCGGCCAGTCACACTGCCCCGCCCACGTTCCACTGCGCCCTGTATTTGATATCAAGGCCCCGCGACCCAGCTCTCCAGCCGTACCTCTTCCCCGGAACCTCTTCCCATTCCTCTCGCGCTTCTCTTCCCAGCATCTTTCCTCAGCAGCAGTTTCTCGACCCAATAGAGCATCCTATACCACCCAGACAACCGGCGCAACTTCATCTGAAGAGATGACCGTCCACACCACCGAGCGCCTGCGGGCCCTTCGGTCCGTCATGAAGGAAAAGGGAATCGACATCTACGGTATTTATCCTTTGTTTCCCCCGTCATCTCACCGTCTCCTGCGTCCGAGTGACTCCTAACACCCAGTACCCGTACAGTTGTCCCATCCGAGGACAGCCACGCGTCCGAGTATATCGATGCCTGCGATGCCCGTCGCGCGTTCATCTCTGGTTTCACCGGTTCCGCAGGCACAGCCGTGGTGACGCTCGAGAAGGCCGCGCTGGCCACAGACGGCCGCTACTTTAACCAGGCCGGCAAGCAACTGGATGAGAACTGGGAGCTCCTCAAGACCGGGATGCAGGACGTCCCGACCTGGCAGGAGTGGACGTCGCAGCAGGCGGCTGGCGGCAAGGTAGTTGGTGTTGATCCTACCCTGATCTCTAGCACTGTCGCCGAAAAGTTGGATGAGAGCATTAAGAGAGCCGGAGGCGCCGGTCTGAAGGCTGTGACCGAGAATCTCGTGGACATTGTTTGGGGTGACGCCAGGCCCAAGCGTTCCAATAACCCTATTTTCCTTCTGCCCCTGAAGTATTCTGGTAAGGATTCAGCATCAAAGATCGCCGATCTTCGGAAGGAACTGGAGAAGAAGAAGGCTGCTGGCATCGTCCTGTCTCTGTTGGACGAGATCGCCTGGCTTTTCAACCTCCGCGGGAGCGACATCGCGTATAACCCGGTCTTTTTCTCGTATGCGCTTGTAACAGCCGATTCGGCCATCCTCTACATCGACGAGTCGAAGCTGAACGACGAGTGCAAGAGCTACCTGGCGCAGAATAAAGTTTCCATCAAGCCATACAACGCCCTGTTTGACGACGCCAAAATGTTGGTGAAGGCGGCCGAGGCCCTTTGGACTGAGCAGTCGCCTAAGAAGTTTCTAATCTCGACCAAGGCCTCGTGGGCGCTCAAGCTGGCACTTGGCGGCGATAAGTTCGTTGAAGAAGTGAGGAGCCCGGTGGGCGACGCTAAGGCGGTGAAGAATGAAACCGAACTGGAAGGCATGCGGCAGTGCCATATCCGGGACGGTGCGGCTCTGATCCAGTTCTTCGCCTGGCTAGAGGACCAGCTTGTGAACAAGAAGGCTGTAATTGACGAAGTGGCTGCTGCCGACAAGCTGGAAGAGTTCCGGAAGAAGCAGAAGGACTTCGTCGCCCTGTCCTTCGACACCATCTCAGCCACTGGGCCGAAGTGAGTGACTCCCTTTCACATGCCTAGCGATTATGATGTATGCTTACCCGCCCATAGCGCTGCTGTTATTCATTACAAGCCTGAGCGGGGCAGTTGCGCCGTTATCGATCCGGATGCTATTTACCTCTGCGATTCAGGAGCCCAGTACCTGGATGGCACGACGGATACTACTCGGACGCTGCACTTCACCACACCAAAGCCTGAGGAAAGGAAGGCCTACACTCTGGTCCTGAAGGGCAACATTGCATTAGATACTGCTGTCTTCCCTAAGGGGACAACCGGTTACGCAATTGATGCTCTCGCCCGCCAGTTCCTCTGGGTAAGATTACAAATCCATACGTTTTCTACCAACCAAGTTGAACACTCAATCCTAACTCTTTAACAGAAGCAAGGCCTCGACTATCGGCACGGTACGGGCCACGGTGTAGGCTCCTTCCTCAACGTGCACGAGGGTCCGATCGGCATCGGCACCAGGAAGCAGTATGCCGACGTGCCCCTTGCGTCGGGCAATGTGTTGTCGATCGAACCGGGTTATTACGAGGATGGTTCCTACGGCATCCGCATCGAGAACCTGGCGATCGTGCGCGAGGTCAAGACGGAGCACTCCTTCGGGGACAAACCCTTCCTCGGCTTCGAGCATGTCACCATGGTGCCTTACTGCCGCAAGCTGATTGACGAGTCGATGCTCACGGCCGAGGAGAAGGCATGGCTGAACAAGTCGAACGAGCAGATCCGTGCTGCCATGGAGCCGTACTTCAAGGATGATGAGCTCACCCGCGCTTGGCTGGAGAGGGAGACGCAGCCTTTCTGAGGAAAGCATGTGACACACTTGTCTATGCTTTATGAGGCTTGAAATGTAACAGATCTCAGAAGGACATGAAGGCCGAGAGCACGAATGCCAGGGCGAAGGAAAGCTTAAATGCTGTGTGTTGGTTTAGCGCGGCTAAGATCCGAGAACCCCGGAAATGCTCTTTAAGCTTGAAGTAGGCGACCAGGTCGATACCATTTCGAGCTGCAACCTGTGATGAAGGAAGGGAGAGAGAAACCGGTTAGCTTCTCTATAGAGATGATTGGATTTGGGCGAGTCATGAAGCTCAAAAGGAGATTCTGAAGAGACGAGCTCTGATAGAAAATGGGTTTTGATTCACAGCCACACATGGCGGAAATAAAACCCTTGAAGGGTTAAGCAAAGAAATATGGAACAGAGAAATGTAGTGCTGATAAACTTGGGCGTGACCACGCGACTTACATGGAAGATGAGCATAGTAATTCCTGCCAGCAGGACAAGTGTCTTGGAGAAGACGCTCACCATTAACCCCGTGAAAAAGCCTGATTTCCAACGTTAGCGTCATCTCCGTTTCAAAGGCCCAACTTTTGAGCTCAACAATACCCGCTAAACTCCCCCTCGAAAGCTGTTTAACAGTCTCGGCACTCAAAAAACGCCCATCCTCCTTATTCTTGGGTGGATTCGTCGCCAGCGTCCGAGTCTGCTGCTGCACGGCGGCGTCTAACCGCATTGGCCTTTGATGAGTCAAGGCCACCAGACCGGAGGTGATGCCAATGCTGATGGGCAAGACGGTTTGGCGTAGACGGAGCAGGCCCGGGCAGGGCCTCGTCCCGGGCTTGATCCGGGAGCGGGGAAGGGCAGTGCGGACGAGGAGGGCGGGTGTGGACATGTTGATGATTTATGTGCCTCAGCCTTATTTTAGAGGACCGAGATCCGAAGGCGTGTGTACAGGTACGGAAGGTTTTATGTAGTTCAGGAGAGAATGTTTGGTAGTGGGGTGAGAGGGGGGTTCGGCGGTTAGGCATGGGACGTTGTAGCTCAAGACCCTACCGCGAAGCTCGCCGTGTACGGAAAGGTGGAGCCGCTGGAGCGGCGCAGACGGTGACATCATGAGGGTCCTAGGGGGCTGCGAGACGACACATAAAGGAACTTGTTCAGGAATACACTCGACGTTTTCAAGAATGAATGGAGAGGAGTATATAGATATGTTTTGCTTTAAGCAGGAGTTTCAACGATGACATCAGAGCACTCGAAGACAGCGGCTCTCAGGTAATGTCACCTGAAGCTCAGGTCTATCAAGCGAAGACAAAAAGTCTTCGAGCTTCACCTTGAACTAGGGAGAGCAACGAGATCAAGATAAACGTAACCGATAGCGTCCTCAAACTAAATACCATCAGTTGACACCCTATGTTCAGCATACGGATTCGTGAAGAGACAGGATGTGAGAACGAGCTTGAAGAGGTGGTGTGGCCGGGATGCCAAGACTAGAGTTCGCCAAGAGCTTTTGGAGCTCGCTTACGTACGACACGCGCCGGGTGATTCCCCACATCAATCAACGCCAAGATTTCAAGCTCCCGCTGCTGGTAATCGCGCGTCGGACGCGTCTCTGCCCCATCACACTGGCCCCTCGCAAAATATAACCACCGCGATCCGACCACTTCACGCAGCCGCCGTCTCGTTCTGCCAACGATCTTGGAACGTATTTTATACCAAAGGGACATCTACCGTTATTTAGAGTCGCAATGCCTCGTCCGAGACGGTCGCGTGTCGCACCGGCCCGTCCCACAGTAGCCGCTGAGACTGTGCAACAAGATCTCGCTCCAAGTGACGGGAAACACGATGCTGCCAGTCGCGAGCCGGAATCGGTTGCTGTCGAGTCCCAGAGCAGTAACTTGACAGAACCGCACAGAGCACGTGCTTCGATGCTCAAGTTGGACTCAGATCAGACAAGGGCATTAGAGGAATCGAAACAGCGAGAGGATGAGGCCATGGCGCGGTTAGACGACTTGAGTTCGACATCCCGCCCTGAGCAGCCCGAGAGCGCCGATAACGAGAGGGAATCGCCAGCTCGGGGACGTCCTCGTTTGACGGATGTGTCAGGTTTGGATCTTGAGGATCTTTCTCTGGGCAATCTGGACGACAGTCTCGACGATTCAGAGGACGCGATCGATGACACACGCACTGGCTACCGTTCGACAGATACCTCGACTTTCAGCATTTCTATGTTCAAGCGCGGCCGGCCTCGTCAGTCAAGCGTTGCGGGTAGAGACGATGCTCCCATTCGGCCAAGTAGTCGTGGACAGAACACACCCAGCATCAGCACTACGTTGAACTTCAGCAACTTCAGGAGGAGGGCGCGGGAGCCGAGTATTTTGTCAAGCGTACGGAAGCCGATGAGGCATCGGTCACAGTCTGTTACCTCGCAAGCTTCACGGGCAGCAAGTGTCTTGGAAGATGGTGATGATTCGGGACCCGATGGCGAGTCAACACCCGTTGACAAGACCAGGCGGCAGACCCGCGCCTCACAGGCTACTGAAGCCGCTAACGATGACCTGCATGTGTGTCCGTCTCGGAAGCGCAAGTCTCTGGAGAGTCACGAAAATTACCGTGAGAAGCGACCAGCGCTGGACGTCTCCGAGCCGGACGAAGTGCCCAAGCCAGAGGAGGTCCTCCCTTCGATCGAAGTCGATCACGAACCCGTTCCTGCTTCGAGCCCAACTCGCGGTAGAACTCGCGAACGGGAACGGCTTTCAACCCCAGCCCAACCTCCAGCTGCTGAAGATGACCCTGACATGGCACCACCAATGAGCAGCAGCGCCTCAGCAAGTAACAGCCCAGTTGCCTGGCCATCCCTCGACGCCCTAGCACACCGCAACTACACACGCAAGCCGCCGCCTAGGCCAGAAACCCCCGAGTTGATCGATTCATCCTCTGAGCTCTCCTCGCCCCCTTCGTTGACCCATTCCCCTAACTACCCTACCGCCGCAGCCAAGGCTGCTGCGGCGAGAAAGAAGGCTTCTGTCCAGCCGCCAGCTGCAAAGAAACTCACCACAGCGGACCTTACTTCGCTGCTCCCGCAACGCCGGAAGAAGTCAGCCAAGAGGCAAGAGAGCATCGACAACGATGATCCATTCGACGTGGACGGCTCGTCTGATGAGGAGCGCTATGTGGCTGACCCCGAGGACGTCTCGTATGTCCAGGCACGCACATCAAGGAGGAAGAAGCAGCCTTTGTCCAAGTCAGCATCGAATCGTAAGGGCAAGGAGAAAGAAGTCAACGGCAAGGCGGATGGTGGCAAGAAGAAGGCTGTGCGCACATACGGGTCAGCGAAGCAGCAGGATAAGGAGAACGAGGAAGTTGTGGCGGAAGAGATTGTCGTTGGAGGGGCTGGCAACGAGGATGATGAGGTGGAGTCTCTGCCGGAAGAGGAGACGACACAGATGTTGACGGAGAGGATCGGCGAGGAGCTTGCTAAGGCTAAGAAGAAGTTCAAGGAGGTCGATAAGTGGGAGCTGTCGTTCGAAGAAGTCGGGCCTGAATGCTCGTCGCCGGATCCATATGCTCGTTAAGTAGTTCGTTGAGTAGAGGGCTTGGTGGGAATTGACTGATCAACGAGGGCTGGAATACTTGGGAGCGTTGGGTTTGGGAACAGGACTTATAGGTTGCCGTGGGAATGGGTAGTTGGGTTGTGCTTTTGCTTCATTGGGGATTTGCACTAGGCTGGAGCGTCCGCTTGACGATACCTATACGGATCGGTTGGCATGGTATATCTTCTACGTATGTCTTTTCGCTTACTGTTCACGCCCCGGGGAAAACATTATGCTCCATGATTCAGTTCGTGGTCTACTGCTGGTATTCGTGACTTGAAACCCAACGCCCAACGCCTCGCCCTCGCATCCATAAGCGATTTCGAAAGAACACAGGACATAGAGAAAAGATGGCACGACTACGCCGGCGCAGCCGCAAGGTTTGCGTAGTCGAGTTTCCTCTCCACAAGAGGAAGTAGGGGGGCTACCTGATTAGAGTCTCTCAGGGCCACAGTAACATCATCTGGCAAGAGGCCAGTCATGAACAGATTCTGGAACAAATCAGTCAAGACATCCCACCGACACCAGGCAAGGAACACGACTTACCCTCTTGACATTTTCATATTTATCCTCCCGGGCAGTATATTCCCGAATAACCTCCTCCTTTTCAAAGTCCACATACACCCTGGTATCTCTCACCCGGATGAGCACATTATCCAATCTCATAAACAGCCGACACAGCAGCAACATCCGCTGATCCATAACCCTCAACTTCACACTCAACACGCTAATTCCGTTATCATCTAGCTCGCTCTCATACAGCACCACCTCATCAGCAAACAAAATCGGATCCCTCCTCTTCAGCAGCTCAATCGGAATTGCCTTCTCCCCCCGTCTCGCCGCCTCCTCCTCAACCTCGACCAACCCTTCCCCTTCCCGTCCCTTCGTCTCATCTCCCTTATAGCAACAAGTATAACTCCAATCATAAGGCCTCACCACCTCCCTAATATCCGCCGCTGAGCTCTGCTCCCGACTTCGGCTCCACTCCTTCGCGTACGCGACCTGCAGCAGGCCCTGCGCACCCGTCTTGTCCACCGTGTCGAGCGCTGATTCCGCGCGGAAGGTGATTCCCCAGCCGGTGCGCAGGTGTGTGATGCGCACGAGGTTGTCTCCGAAGATCATCTCAGGGATGGGGATACCCAGGCGCGCGGACATGGCGTCGATGGGGCCGGCTTTGAGGATGGGGAGTTTGAGCGTGGTGATGGTGAAGCCGCGCTGGGTGTGGGTGCGCTCGGCGGAGGAGGGGGTTGGGTAGGGGTCGGAATGGGCGCGTTGTTGGCTCATTTTTTCGGGCGGGAGGGTATGTGGCCGCGTTGGATGGGTGTTGAGGGGTATTTGAAGGGATGGGAAGTCAATATTGATTATTTATGGAAGGTTATAGCGGCGGCGCCCTGGGCTAAAGCTGACTGCGACACAGGAAAGAGTTGGAACTTGAGGGGGTTGCAATCGGACGGGCTGTTGGCTTGGCTGGCGGGGTTGCTCGTCGTTTGGCAGGTAGTGAGGTATTGAGCCCGCGTCTCGTCCACGATTGCTCCAATGACCTTATCAGTAAGGTATTTTTTGAGTGACTTTGAACAGTTCGCCCCAGAGCAGGTGGCTGCAAGACACTCGGGGTGGTTGGCACTGTTGGAGGACGCGAACTGTAGTCAAGAGGGGCTGGAATTGCAACTTTAGCGGGGCTTTGGCTGCGGGCCGCTCATGGTGGGGTGGACGTTCGTGAGGCTCAGCTCCGCTCGTCATGTCTAGGATAGACAGGTACATGGCATTGATACTTAGTGAAACATGAAAAGAAGGAATGGATGGCAAAAATATGTCCAAATATCTGTTGAAGAGCATGAATAACGTTTCCAAAAGCTTTACAACTAACTTTAGTTATATCGGTTGACATTTACACCATTAACACTCTCTTATTTTTTTTCAGTTAAAGTACTGAGATATCAGCCCGAAATGGTTCCTGAAAAACAAATAGGGAAAAAAAAGTCCAGTCATGTCTTAAGCTCCGGGAATAGAGGGCCTCAGCTCATGAAGTCCTCTGCCCTCTGTTAGCTGAGTGTTTCTTTGCATTCATACTCTTGGCACCTACATCAGATAATAACAAACTCTTGGTACTCTCCCTCCCGACACTTATCAAACTCGTCTCCCAAGCCCACCACATAGCATGCCCCCAGCAACTCAACAATATTGGATGGAACGGAATCCGAGTCACGCTGACGGAAGACAATCATCTTGCTGCAATGTTCAATCTCGTAAATACCATCCCCCGGCTGTGTGTTGTCAGGCCCCCAACCGGCATATCCTTCTTCAGTTGCGAATAACCGCTTCGCGTTGCCGAAGGCTGCCACTTCAAGGATGATGGTAGAGGACAATGATCTTGCGTTTTCCATAACATCCTGGAGTTTGCTCCATCCCATTACTTTTTCTATGTCAACGTCCGGAAAAAATGCCTGTCTGTATGCTTCCGGGAAGTTTGTCGAGTCAAGTCCCATGGCTTCCAGTGCTATTCTTTGTGCCTCTATCGCTCTTATCTCGCATTCTTCTTTTGTAAACCTCCCATGTTGATCATCAAAAGCATACTTCTCGCCTATGTAATGAAGAAGAAAGCACACGAAGCAACCGGCCATCCTATGAATCGCCGTCTCTTTCTCTTCCGTCTCGAGACCAAATATGACAGGCTCGTATGTCATGCGAAACAGAGCCTGAAGCGGTGGTAAGCCGCTCGGATGTGACTTGCCCCGTTCTTGCAAATCCAACAAATATTCGATGCAGAAGTTTGCGAAGTGTTGACCAGCAATGTGCGACCCGCAGCTGTCAGGAATCTGGTACTTCCAACGGATGGTAGCTCGGCGCAGTGCTCGCACCTTCAATCCCCCGGATGGAGTGACAGTAAGGGAAAAGGGCATATTCTCTGCTGTTAATGAATCATCGGTTACGCTGAAAGAAGATGGAATATTGTAAATACTCTTCTGCGGCATTGCCCCATGAACGTTACGCAGGCCCTTGTGATTGTAGAGATCTGGCACCCATGAAGGCAAGTTGAGTGGAGTGATACTCTCAGGTCTTCTCGCGTAAAAACCTGTCCCAGCCCAACCTAACAGTTCAAAGTTGCCCAGTTCGCGCATGGTACGAAGTGTCCAATCCATGTAGGCATCGCGGACTGGTTGACTATAGTCAGGTTTGATTCCATGATTTGGGGGAAGCATGCTCAGCATGCCATAGACAACGTCGTGAGGATCCGAGCAATATCTGGCGTCCGAAAGACTTAGCACATACGTAAAGCTCTGTGCCCGTAATTTTATCCTTATCGTCAGGAGGTCGAGAAGAGGATAGAGGTTACAAAGAAATCTGAACCTCATCTCAGTCGTCGTACTCCATATATCGAAGCCATCCTCAGACAGGTCATTACCCCTTCCTGTTGGCTCCACTAGGGGCTTGGACAGCTCCATCAAGCACATAACCAGCTCCAGAATGTCGCCTTCGCTTGCCGCCTGCTTCCCGGACATGAAGACATGTGAATTGCGGTTTGCAAGGACGACTTCTTGGGCGATCCACACCCGTTTCCAATACTCAAACTGGAAAAGGTTGGTCAGATGGTCCAGAAACCACCGAGAAGTCCAAAACATCTTTGTCCTGCGTAGAAACAGCTTCCGTAACTCTCCTCTAAAGGCATTCGGTCGGATAGGTGTAGCTGTGGTTGCAATATTTATGGTTCGTTGAGATGTTGACTCGGACGATTTATCTCTTTTTCTGACCCTGTCGCTTTCATCTTCCTTCTTATTTTCGGGTTCTTGTTGCCCCTCTTCAAGCGTAGCCCCTTGCTGCTGCTCTACATCTTGTTGTTTATCGTCTTCCTTTCCAGACGTCTCCCATTCATATTTCCACATTACAGCTCTCCTGAAGTAATACCAACAATTGGCAAGCTCGAGTCCCATCTCGAATGCCCTGACTATACGCGGATCAGATCCTAACCAGGATATCACAGAGGTTGCGTTCCGATATATATCGCCCATCAGCAGCACTTGGTCGTTTCGCTCAGGAATATCATCTTGGTTAATGCAGATGGCATCGACCCAAAGGACGAGCCGCGGCTTAGTCTCGCCTTCATGGGTGTTGTACACAATTGGTGGGTATCCAAGGGTCGTGCTAGAGGTTTCTGAACCTCCAGCACTTCGATCGTTAATGTTGAAAGGCTTCTTTTCTCCTAATTTGACCCCTTCATCTTGCTCCCGCAATGACTTCCTGAAAACTCGCCAGAGGTGTATCAGGCAGTCATGTAAGTTGGGACGCACTTCGAAGTGCCGTCCGTTGAGCAGTATGTAATGCCTGTCACCATTTCCTTTGCTGGTGCTCTCAATGTTTGGGGCCACGTTAGGCGATGCTGTCTCTTCCGGTAAGGCGAACAACTTCTCTTCTTTGAGAGGGTCTCCCCAAGTATAGGATATCGCCGTGTAGTGCGGCTTATCGAGCAAGGAGACTGTTCTGAGCTCTGCGGAGATAGGACCAGCATAGTCGTCATCTTTTTCGTCTTCATTGTGATCATTGTTAAACGAAGCAAATGCAGTCCCCAAGTTCCGCGATTTTACTTTGACCGGAAGCACCTCAAGGACGCGAATCTGGCGGCGAGAAGAATCCAGGGGGCTATAAAGCCCAACCGTGCTTGGCGCCCCAGTTGCTGATGCCGTCTCCATTATCTAAAACAAGGGATGATTGAAGTTGAGTGAATGCTACTTGAACAATAAGCAGCGCAGTCACCCGTGGACAAGAATAGCTACACCCTTGTGGCTTGCGCATGGCAAGTGGGTTGGCCCAATTCCCCGCGGCTTGGCTGTCATCGTTTCAATGTTGCATTTAGGCAAAGGTCCGCAAGATGTGACATCTTATTCTTTAGCTTTTAAGAGCAACTACAAGTACCCGAAAATTCGAAGCTTCTCTTATGCGGTCAAAAAAATGAATAACTTATGAACCCCAGCTGGATGTCTAGTAAATATGTCCCCTAAACCCATCGCCCCGCATCCTCCAGCAGAGTAACGTAGTTCGGTGAGTTCGGCACACATTAAAATGTCAACAGTCTTCCACACTGCTCGACGCTATATATAACATCCCCCTGTTGTAGATTACTGTGTTCCCAGCCAATGTAACCCTCTCCTATCATAAAGAGGCTGTAGTAGTCACTGAGTTCTCTGGGAACGAGAATCAATTCGAGTGTAGTTCGTTTAATCTGTATGGAGTTTCAAGAATATTCTTATCCCGTTTGCTGAAGTTTTCCCTCTTCACATCTGGGAAGAACGCTCGCCGTCACGTTTTCCAAAGTCATCACAAGCAACTCCGGCAATTATCTTCCACGATTTAACCAGCCGCTCTTGAGCTGTATGGTTTTAACATCCACTTCAGCTTCCTCATTCTCATCTTCCACTTTGTCCTTACCAACTGAACCTTGCTTTTCCCCTAGGGTTTTCGACTTCAATTCTCCTTCACTGTAGCGCCATTTCTGTAAAGCATCTGCCATAGATATCGTTGTAAGTTTGGACCAGAGTGCAAATAACATTTGGGGTTCAAATTTATCCATACTGTTGTGCAGTAGCACATACAGAAGGACCCTAGGGAAGGTCGACCTGCGCGATGCTTCTGGCATCGATGTCGTATAATCAGAAGATACATCCGACGGAAAGACACAGATAATTCCAACTCTTCAAATATACGGTTTCAGAGTCAGGGAGTCTTTGTGCAAGCAAAATGGTGGCTAGATGCTGTGCAAAGACCTTGAGTACTCCGACGAGGCGACTTGGATGAAGAAATCCTGGCTTTTCTCTGAGTTTGGCAGAGCCCTGCAACAGTTAATGATGTTGTGGCCACCAGAGATACCTATTTGTGTGAAATTGTGCAAATTGGGGAGGTATGAGGGCAAACTGAAGGGAGTCTGGTTCTCACGGCGGGGCATACCTGTGCTTATGAATGCCAGCAGCTCCAAACTCTGGTTTGCTTGGCGCAAAGTGCGGACAGTCCAGTCCATATACACGTGTGCCAGGAATCGAGAGATTATAGTTGGGTTCGATTCCATGACCTTCCGGGAGCAAGCTCAGCAAGGCATAGACAGAATCTCAACGATCCTATGACTGTAGTCTTGTGGCGAGCATTTGAAGTGAGTATAAGGCCTGGTTTTAGTGGAGGGCTTGCTTGATTCCCTTCTTATATATAATATAGACTGCAGGTTGTAGAAGTTCTGAATGAAGGTCTCTAGAAAGATTTGGGACTCTCAAGCGAGTCACCAGAGTAAATGAGTCTTTGATATCGCTTGACCACTTTATGGCATTATTCTCACGTAAGAAGGATTATCAAGCAGCAACATCGTAGTGAGTTCAGTACAAGTAGGCCCAACATAACTTTCATCATTCTCACTGTCATCGAAATCGAAGTTAGAGGGGAAGAGAGTATTGCCGCCATTGGAAATAAGAGAGCAGCCATCTCGTGAGGTTTTGCCTTCAGCTTTATTGGGTATAAGCTAAGCAGACAAATCCTCACGATGGGAGGGGTCGAGAGGTTGATATGGGTCGTTAACGTTCAATTATGAGGCTTAGGAGATGGTAACTTTAGTTGCCAAAGACGTGACTCGGGCTCGCAGGAGCCACAGGGCAGGTGTGAGACTTCGAATTAGTGAGGGATGCTGGGAAGATCGAAGTATTAGACGGCGTCGACAACATTGGCTACTTGAAGTAAAGCTCTAGAAGTTGGGATCAACCCGGTTACATTCGCAATAGGCGCTGAGTTAGGTTTGCCCTCGGGAAAACACACCACAGTCACTCTTTTTGACATAAAAGTCCGTGGCTGCGCAACCAAGAACCTATTATGAAACATGATTCAAAAATCCAAAGAGTCAAAATCGCCACCCTCGTAGGATATCACTTGGGTTCTTGTCACTAGGTCGAGCCCAAGTCAGTCTTGAGGTACTCACGCAGGTTTAATTGGCGGAGAAGCTGCATACACTGTAGTCTACTTCATTGTGCCGGATGGTTGGTTGCCTGTGACCCATGTTTTCTGCAGTTGGCAGAATACCCATCTAAGTGATAGAGGAGTGAAAAACGTAAGTCATGCCACATGTGATGGGGTTCCAGTGTGGACAGGTCTTAATGGAGCCCTTTGTTGGGCAGCCAATATGGCAGACACCAGGGGAACGTCTGCAGAATCAGCGATGTTTACGGGGAAAAGAATTTAGACTGGGAGAAGTGAGCTAGGGTCAAGTCTCTTGTTTGAATTGCTTTCGTTCTGTTGCTCCAAATACCCCACACATATACACTCGCTCACCAGTCGCTACTTATTGTTATAAAGGTTTGTGGACAACGCCTAACGGTTAGCCGTTTTATTCCTAGTCACTACCGGTGTTTGACACCTGGAACTCGTGATTTTAGGCCTTAAAAGCTACCAATAAGCCTATTTCAGCGACTGACAACGGGAAGCCAACAACCTTTTGTTCCCCTAGCCACTCGACAACCATCATCAGGTTCTGCTGGAGAGCACATACAATAAAGGCTTCTTCATACTCTCCGCCCATGTCGTTGTCATACCCGTCACCCAAGCCCGTTGCGTAGCATGCTCCCAGCAATGTTACTGAGTTTGGGTATGACTCTAAGCCACATGGCCGAAAGACCAGCATCTTACTACAGCCTTGAACTTGGTAGATATAGTCGCCAGGTCCACATTGTTCATGCCACACGCTATATAACCCTCCTCGGTTACAAAGAACCGCTGTTGGTGAAAACGCATGCTCAAGTGGCTGATCACCATGCGATATGGCGGTGCAATATCCTTCTCTTGTTGAAATATATCATCGACATCGCTCCACCCCATCAACTCTTCCACGTTCACGTCTGGAAACACCGCTTGTTTGTAGATATCCCGAAACTTCAACGTTGACGTTTGAACCGCCTGACAGAATTTGTTCCACTAAATTACCATATCCATACTCTTGTCAGGGAAGACTCTCCTGGAAACAACAGGGAGGGAGCTCCTGCATCCTGATACCAGGAGCAACAAGAGTACCGTGAATTGTTGGGCTATCCCAAGGTGTTGTCGGCTGTCATCTTCTTCATGCTCGCTCACTTTCTTCCCAGGCGCTGTTTTCAGTTCCCGTGAAGCTTCCTCCGACTCTTTATCAATCATGTCCTCCTAAGACATAGATGCAGGTAGCTTCTGGAACTCCTCCTCAGATAGGTATAGATACTTCGCCCTCAGGTTCTTATTATGTGTATACCGGTGTCCAAGAACTTGAAGAAGTGCGGCGAATTCTGCTGCTATTAAGTGGGTGGTCTTTTCGTTCTCGTCTGTCCCAGTCAAGAGTGGTGAGAACAGTGTGCGCATCAATGCCTGGAACCGGGGCAAGCCAGTAGGATGAATTTGTTGACGTAGCCACATTATTTGGATATAACGGCAACAGAAGTTATAAACTCCTTCTAAAATCACTTCATAGCCGTCCCGCCCTCGAAGGAACTTGATTGTGGCCCGGCGACGTGCCCGAACCTTAAGTGCCCCCGTCAAAGTGAGATCAACGGATAAGCTCGTATTCTTTTTGGTCGATTCTGAGATCGACATGGCGGATGAAGAATAACAATGGTCGATATACCAAAAAGGGTTGTCCGCCAATGTTTTGGTTGCTATAACTTTCAGCAGTCCCGGGTCTTGGGAGCAAGTTGGCTGAATCGGTGTGAAAGACATGTCTGCTGATGTTTTCTTGGTCCAGGAGAGGCTTGAATCATAAGTACTGATGGTTTTTCCTGCTTCTGTTGCCGCATCTTGCTCAGCTCCTTCTTCCCTGGAACTTGATTCAGCTTCACATCGTCATCCATGGGCCGTCTCTTTTTGATCTGTCGCTCTTCGGTTCCATCTTCTTGAACGTGGTCCCAATTCCGTTTAGAATCCTGTTGTCGACGATTTTGCTTGTCCTGCTTCTGACTCTTTTGTCTGTCTTCTTCCCGCTCAGTGACATCCTCAAGGGTCATTCAAACGTGTGCAAACAAAGATGCGAGCCATAATCCCCTCACCAAATCTGGGTGAGAACCAAGCCATGACAGTACGGTCGTTGCGCCAGGTATATATCGCCCATCAGCAACACCTGGTGATTTTCTCAGAGATGTTCTGATTTATACACAGGGCATCTATCCAAAGAGTCAGACACGGTAACGCTATCTTATCAAGATCATCTTTGGTAGGCTGAGGGTATCAGGCCGAAGAAATCGATGTTAATAGTGACAGCGAATAACTATCGTCTAGCAGCCCTCTGGACAACGACGACCAACACGACACGGACAGCCACCAGTTTATGATCCTCAACGGACGACACATTCAGATCCGCCCTAATCTGCATGACTGCTTGATGAATCTTTGGAAGTTGTTAAGGGAGGTATTGCGGGAGAACAGACCGGGGGCAACACAAACGGTGACGGAAGCTGCAGGCTTTCGTTCTAAGTTGCTTTGGCAGCTTGAAGATCTTGGTCTACATTTCGCCCATGGCTTGAGGCACGAGGCTCATGCATATATCCGGCACATTCTTTCTGGATCTTTCTCGTTGTCGCTTTTGTCTTCCTTATCGCCATCCTCACTCTCTTCAACCTACTCTTCTTCATCTTCAAGGACAGGGTCTCCCAAGGTGTAAGAGAGTGAAGTATAAAGGGGATTGTCCAGTAATGAGACTGTGATGAGCTGAGCACAAACAGGCCCAGCATATCCGTCGTCGTTTTCACTACAATCGTAGACATAGCCAGCGGGGAAGAGGAATGTTGCAATAACTCGTGCGAGCCACGGCGTTTGGATTCTGAGAGTCCTTGACCTTCAGTTTTTACTGGAAGAAGATGAGAAGACTGATCTCGCGACGAGAAGAGTCCAGAGGTTGATAGATGCCGTCAATGTCTGACGGCTGAGTGGGGGATGAGGTCACCATAGGTCTTTGGAAGCTCCAGCTCGGATTTGATGTTTAAAATCGGCGCATTGGACACGCTGCTGTTTTACGAGGTTAACATAGATCGGCACAGGCAAACCCACGGGGTTTTGATCCGTAAATCTGAGGGAATCAGCATGTTCTTGTACTTCGCACGCGACATGAAAGGTTACAAATAGAGAGCCTCAAGCAGGGCATGCGACGCTCGAAGGTCTTACGCAGGTGATCCGTCGCAGACTGTTAAGCTGGGGTTCAGTTAGCGCCCATGTGTTCTATAAGCGCCACGCCTTTGCCAGCCTTGTCTGGGCTCGTACATGTGGTGGTCCTTTCGCAGGCTCATGTACTGGAGCTTTGATTTACAGCCTTCAACATTAGACCTGAGGACGGAAAACCCATGTATACCTGTTTTTCCTTGCCTTCCTTACTGTATAACCACCATCCGTCTCCCTTGATGTCGTCGACACGAGGACAACTGCATGCTTTGTGTTTATTGGCGACGTGGCGAACATTATGGGGGACAACTTGACTTCCAAATGACAGTGCCACGGACATTGATTCGCCGCCCAGGAAACCTGCACCAGCGGCACAGCGCAACCACAATGGTTCATGGATCGCAAGAAGGTTGCGGATTGGAAACCGTCAGGTCTGCCTACCACACTGTCAATCCAACATACAGGAACATGGGTTGGTGAGCACAAGATCCACGGTCTTAAGCAGCTAAACAAAATGAGAGAAGCAGATGGGGGTCATATATTTAAACAACTTGGATTCCAATCCTCAACCTACTTGTGAGCCCAGAGGTTTTGGTCGAGATCATGCCAAGTCCATCTGCACGTGAGATGCTGTGGGTAAATTTGTCTCAGCACAGGACCCTTAGGACTCTTTGGTGGGCCCCACGCTAATGGTTGCCGGGTAACCGCCACCCAAACAAGATGCGTAAATAATCCCAATGGAGGCCTCCACATAGCACATCCCTGAACTTAGTCAACTTCTCAACACAACTGCAGCCAGCTCTCGCCATCGCTATCTTCACTTCAGTCTATACCATACTGCTCTCTCCTTCTAATAGTGTACAACACAAATCACACAATGACCACAAGAGGACTCGAGTCGCGCTTCGAGCGGCTGGCCGTCACCGACGAGAATGACCCTGGAGAGAATATGCGCCTGTACCAGAAGACGAAGGTATGTTGATATGCACCATCCGTCGCTTAAATGGCCTTACCACGGCTGACTTTATCTCAGACGGTTGAGCCATCAACCACGCGCTATTCTACTCAGCCCATGAAACCCAAAAACCTCTTCAAGATCGCCCTGCAGTCACAAAACGCCAACAGCGCCAACACCCTCAAGACCACAGTAACCTTGCCGTCTCAGGCAGCGCAACGAAGCCACCCCATGACACCAACCAACCCGCCATCACCGAGGAAGGAAAGGGATGCCAGGAAGGAAAGGGAGAAGCCCTCTGGCTCCGCCTCCGCATCCTCCACATCAGCTACAATTTCCTCCGCAAAATCCAGGCCCTCACCGCCAACCTCTACCAAGTCAACCTCCAGCACATCAACATATAGCTCTAAGCACGACTATTATGATGCGGAGCAGCAGGTAAATGAACAGCCCGATGAAGAAACAGAGGAATCACAAAAGGAGGAGCAACAACAAGAGGAGGAAACCGCCGTCGTTCCCGCGCCACAAATAGAAAAGCCTGTGGTCAAGAACTTCCACCTTGGCATGTTCGAGATTGGGCGGCCGCTGGGCAAGGGCAAATTCGGGCGAGTGTATCTGGCACGCGAGCGCACAAGTGGCTTCATATGCGCGCTCAAGGTGCTCTACAAGTCAGAGCTCCAGCAAGGGTCTGGCGTGGAGAAGCAGGTGCGCCGCGAAATCGAGATTCAGTCGAACCTGCGGCACCCCAACATCCTGAAGCTGTACGGCCACTTCCATGACAGCAAACGCATCTTTCTCATCCTTGAGTACGCAGGCAAGGGCGAGCTGTACAAACATCTGCGGCGCGAGGGCCGCTTCCCTGAATGGAAGGCGGCCCAGTATATTGCGCAGATGGCGTCGGCGCTCAAGTACCTGCACCGTAAGCATGTCATCCATCGCGACATCAAGCCCGAGAACATCCTTGTCGGTATCCACGGCGAGATCAAGATCTCTGACTTTGGCTGGAGCGTGCACGCGCCCAACAACCGCCGCAAGACCCTGTGCGGCACTCTCGACTACCTGCCGCCCGAGATGATCCGCTCGGGCAGCAAGGAGAACTGGTACAATGAGAAGGTTGATCTATGGAGCTTGGGGGTCTTGACCTACGAGTTCCTCGTTGGCGAGGCGCCGTTCGAGGACACTCCCATCATGACGCAGCGGCGTATCGCCAAGGCTGATATGACCATCCCTCAGTGGGTGAGCAAAGAGGCCCAGGATCTCATTAAGAGGGTATGTTGTACTTGACCTTTTTTTCTTCTATCCTGCAAAATGGTTATGCTAACTGAAACATTTGCAGCTCCTGGTCCTTGACCCCGAGAAGCGGCTCTCGCTCGACGAGGTCCAGAACCACCCTTGGATCATCAAGCACTGTGTCAAGGGCGAGCGTGCAGCCAATAGGGAGAAGCCGCTCAAATGAACACCGGAGTCTTTGATGTTAGGGATGCCTCTTGACGATGACATGAGTTTTACTTTTTCTAGTGCGTTGACGGCATTCCAGGGCCGACGGAGGGGCGTCACAGGAGTTTTTTTTTTTGGAGTTCGGTTTTCTTTTTCATAAGCGGAGCCAGCTGTGTGGGTTCACGTGTTTTGGTTCATGTCTCGAACGAACTGGTTGTGGCCGTTCTTCGTGTGTATCATTCTGGACATCGGTCGCTGCGGGGAGAGGTTCGGTATATATTAATACACACATTGAAACTACACACATCTCGCCCATAGATGACAGAGGAGGTGGGATATATCAACGGTAAATGTCATCAAATGGTCTCTTGTCCGCAAAGCATGAATCCCACACCTCGTTGACCACTTTGGCTGCGTGCGCCTCGTCCTTGCACGCTGGTCGCGCCATCACTGACTGAATCGCCCGTGACCGCACACAGTTCTGGAACTGTTCTGTCAGCGTCAACCAGTTTCCTCGTGTCACGGCTTCGCGAGTCCATCTGCACTCTCCGCTGAGCATCGACGCCCGGATCTTGTGAAATATGATGTCAGCAGTTCATATCCCATCTTTGATCTCCCGAAAAGCACACACACCTCAGTACATGCAGCATGCCGCAGCGTCGTCTTCCCCTCCCAATCAACCTTCCACCTCAAATGGTCCCACGCATGCACCATCTCATGCGCAAGCGTATCCTCCAGATGTGACCGATCCCGCATCTCGTTAGCGCAAATCAGGATCCCATGCTCGGGACTGAACCCGCCGCCCTGCCTTACAACCTTCCCGTCCTCCGTGATTCGCGCCGGACACCGCCGACACACCACGTTTGTCTCGTCCAGCGTCCCATTCAGCGCGGCAATCTTCTCCCGCATGAACCGGATGATGGGCGAGTACTTGAACAGGTAGTCGCGGTCGGCCTCGCAGCGAGCGCAATCCCGAGCTTCGTTGGCCTTGTACCGGTCTTCACGATAGTGCTCAATGCCTTCGGGCGTGATCTGGCCCATCAGGATCTTGAAGTAGTTGATATACCATTTGAGCGAGGGGTCGTAGCCTGTGCGGGCGGGGTCGTTTTCGAGGAAGCGGATCTGGGGTTGTTGTTGTGACGGGGAGGCAGTTGAGGAGTCTGAGGAGGGCGTTGATGAGGAGGAAGGTTGTGACGGCGCCATGGCTGGGTTCAGTTGAGTGGGAGAGGGGAGAGGAGGGGTTGTTGTCGTCGCTGATGATGATGATAGAGCTGTCGGGTGTCTTGGCCCAGGCTCAAAGCCTGGCTTGAAAGCAAGTCAAAGAAAATTATCTCGGCGTCAATGCTTCGTAGAGATAGGTAGTACTCTCAGACAATGTACTGCATTCGACTATTTCGCTGTGATCATTCGCCGTGGTCTTGATTCTTGATGTTGTCTTGCACACACATCAACGGGCCCAGTTGCAAGTTTGATAGCAGCAAGTCGAGAATGCGATATTCCTTGCTAGCGCAACCGCTAACACGGGCCGGCGCGCCAAGACGGTCGCTTCAGACCCACATTCTGCCGCCTGGCCGTTTTTGCCGGCCGTGTCAGGGCGGTGAGAACCGCAGTGAGCAACATCAAAAGGGCGCTCTAGGAGAAAGGTTGGACCCCAGATTTCTGGCCCCTCCCGATCTCGGCCAATCCTGTGACGCTCAAAGGCTGGCCGAGGGTCCCGCAGGGCGCAGCTAAGTGGAAATGACTCCACTGATCGGATGCGCGACCCTGCACTTGCATCGTCCAAGACTCAAAAATCACATCGCCCCTGAAGCTCCCGAAAGGTGGTATTAATCGTTAAAATGGACTCAAGTAGCACGCTGTGTAAGATTACAAATCCCTCAGCCCATGCCATCAGCCCTGTTTTCTCCTAGGTTTCTCGTTATTTTGCTTTTTTTTTTGCTGATTTTTGAGCCGTTTGTCAACAGCCATGAGGGGTCCTCGTCCGCTTGGCGTTGTCATCAAGCTGGGTGAGCATGTCACATCTCACACACACAGGGGTGTATCGGAGCCCTCAGGAGCACTAACTAACACGTGCCGACCCCTCCAGGAACTAGCTCGATCGTGGACGAAAAGACCCATGAGCCTCTTCTCTCCATCCTGACGTCGATAGTCGAGACGGCAGTGAAGTTGAGGAAAGATGGACACAGGGTTGTCATCGTCTCGTCCGGCGCCATTGGCGTTGGCCTGCGTCGCATGGATGTCGACAAGAGGCCGAAGCAGGTCTCAAAACTGCAGGTACGGCTTCGTGGTGAAGTTATCATGACCATTTTGCTCACCATCACAGGCTCTTGCTGCTATTGGCCAGTGTCGCCTCATGAGTCTATGGGATAGCCTGTTCAACCACCTTCGACAGCCAATTGCTCAGATTCTCCTCACCAGAAATGATATCTCCGATGTAAGTGAACTGTTATCGCTGAGGGACGGTTTGTCGAGTCACTCACATGTTGTCCCTTAGAGGTCGAGGTACCTTAATGCCCAGAGGACCTTTAATGAGTTACTCGATATGGGTGTGATCCCCATCGTCAACGAGAACGACACGCTGGCAGTGTCTGAGATCAAGTTTGGCGACAACGACACGCTCTCGGCCATCACAGCTGCCATGGTCCACGCCGACCTCCTTTTCCTCATGACTGATGTCGACTGTCTGTACGACAAGAATCCCAGGACGAACCCTGATGCTCAGCCTATCGAGGTAGTTGAAGACATTGGGTCCTTGGTGGCAGATGGTACTGTCACCCCTCACATCACTCATCATTCTTTAAACTCCTGCTAACCAATCACTCAGTCTCGTCCGCCGGCTCATCCCTCGGAACAGGCGGCATGTCAACCAAGATCGTCGCTGCCCGTCTCGCAACCTCAGCTGGCGTCATGACCATCATCACACGCTCCTCCAACCCAGGCAACATCATCAAGATCGTCAAGCACGTCCAAGCAAGCCGCTCCCCACCCTCTCTCGCCGCCGCAGCCACCACTGCCAAAGCAACCCGCGCCATAAAAAAGCAACAACAATTCCCCTCCGCCGAAACCCCCGACCTCCCCCAGCAAAACCCTGAGACAAACCCCGCTACCGCCGCAGCCTCCGCCGCTCCCTCCGCCCTCGCTACCCCCGAAAAAATCCCCCTCCACACACGCTTCCTGCCCTCCCAGCAACGTATCCGCGAACGTCACTTCTGGATTCTGCACGGCCTGCGCCCGCACGGCACGCTGTATATCGATCAGGGTGCGTACCGCGCACTTGTGGGAAAAGCAGGGCTGTTACCCGTCGGCGTGGTTGACGTAGAGGGGACGTTTGCAGGTCACGAGGCGGTCCGGCTTGTGGTAGTTGAGAGGGTGAAGAAGACGTATGGAGGGGAGTCCCCGACCTCTGAGGGGGAGGGACAGCAGAAGGAGAAGGAGAGATTGTGGGTGAAGGGGACAGAACGGGAGGTGGGACGGGCACTAACGGAGTATTCGAGCGCGGAGATCCTGAGGATCAAGGGGCACCAGAGCTCGGAGATCGAGAAGTTACTGGGGTATGCGGATAGCGAGTATGTTGCGCAGAGGGGAAGCGTCAGTCTGTTTGAGACGAGGCCGGCTACGCCGGTTAGGGAGAGCGCTGATCGGAAGGGGGATGAGAGCGATGCTGCGGCTGCGGTATGATTGATTAAAGTGGGACTATGGTATACAACTTCCAAGTTGGCCTTTCCGTTGGTGGAAGAACGATAGACAGATATATGGGTGAATGAGGGCATTTTTGGTTATAGGGAAAACGAAAAGATATATGCTGGTATCTTGTTGCATGTCAGACTGAAGAGCCATTGGTTTTGTTGCCTTTAAAGCAATGTCCGCCCCGAAGTATGTACACCAACGATCCAAGATCCTCTGAAAACGCCATGACGCCGGTCCTTTTTGGTTTGTCCATCACTCTGAACAACATGTTCAGCCGCCGAACTACCCCATTACATGTTCCTATCCTCTCGTAACTATGCGCCTGTGAACAAAGTGTCTTCATCGCGCAGGTACTCGCCGCAGTCAGCCTGCCTAAAGCAGACAATACCCGTGGGATCGAGACGGCGCGCCTCAGCCGTACTCCTGGCAGTCTGTAATCTAGCGGTTAGATATGCCGCAGCAACTTCAGGGATGAAAGAACATACCACGCCGAAACCAAGAGGAATATCCGCCATATTGTAGACAACGCAGCCCGAATGCTCGGGGCAATCCTCCGTCCATCGGCCAACGTGCGCCTTTACAACTGTTTCCCTCATCGTCAATATCCACACATCCCTTGGAGTCTTCCTCTGAACGTAACACATACTGTTCGAGCCATAAAGGAACGGCTGCGCACCGTTATCCTTGACCCAAATCTTATACCGAGCGTTTTGGGCAAGGATAGGCAGGGCCGTAATATGCAGCCGGAACTTCCCCGACTTTGTCATCTTGCCTAAGCAGGTGCCGAGGCTGAGGAGCTTGTCGCGGGCGACGCAGGTAGCAATGTTGGCAATGGACAGCTTGACGTAGTAGACCTGTTGTCGAGGAAGCGAATGTTAGATCGGATCGGAACCGTCAGCAAAAGCGAGCGAAAGCAAGGGGACATACGCGATCCTTTTGCATGCGAAAAACGTAACGGTCGCCATCTTCGAGAGGAGCGATCAGGCTTTTGAGGTCGGTCATGTAGTTGGCCAACTGGAGATGGCGTTAGTGAGACGGAAGGGTCCTTTGGAGAACTTCACGACTGTCAATGGGCCAAGTACCTTGTCCAACACAATCTTCATCTCCTGATCTGTAAGAGGGCGCATCTTGACGGTTATATTATGGAGTTTAGGTGAATCAATAGATGACCGTTTCTATGGCTTCAACACAGGATCCCCTTCACGATGTTTGATGCGGTCGCTCTCGATCCTTATCGGAGCAAAGAAAAAGTTGATGTGGAGCTCTTATCGATAACTCCCCACCGGATGAAAGCCTTGGCGTGTAGATGGTGTGGGTCCTCTTGGAGCCAAGATCTGAGTTTACAGTATCTCAGAATGACAAGGCCCAATGGCCAAATGGTAAGGCGTCAGATTTCGGCTCTGAAGATTGTGCGTTCGAGCCGCACTTGGGTCGATTGTCGGTTTTGCTTTTTGCTGCTTCCTGTCCGTGAGTTAGCGAACTTTTTTCTTGGTCCAAGTTACGATTGAGACTTCGAGTTGTTATCCATGGGGTCAAATTTGTCGCTCCTCTTGGGACTTGAAACAGTAAGCCCTTCGGTGTCAGTTCGCCGCCATTTCGCATGACGCATGAACCTCTTCCCCGTCCTAAAGTTTCCAAACAACCACAATAGCTAGGCTTGAATAATCTACGCCAGGCAATAATCATATAATATATCTCCCTTAAGGGTTGAGCATCGGTTTTTTTCGTGGGTTGTAACCGTGCTTCTCCAGGACAACCTGTGGGAGGACATGAGGGTTTACCCCGTTTTGTTCCCCTCCATCATCGAGTTCTCGCTCCCTCTTAACCCCTCCTCCACCTTTAGAAACCTTCCAGGTACAGCCAGGCGCGCCGTTACAATCCCTAGCAAAGTTCCAACCCTCCATGGAGATCTACATAAGCCATCTTGCGCAAGCAACGGTCACCGTTGCAGTAGTCAAGTCAGCTTCCACATAGGCGCACCAACCTCTAAACCAAATCACCATCGTTCATCCAATCCCATGCGTCTTACTAACCCTTGCATTCCCGATTCAGTCGCCCGCACGGGAAGCATCTCGGAGGCCATGTGCCGTGGCCATCGTTTTCGGAAAGGTCTCGGCATACCGGGAGTCTGAACCCAGCATCCTGGGGCAGGATTGCTAATTTAATCTCACGGCGTGTGAGCTTGGCGATGAGTACGCCCCTGGCAATCAACGGTGCCTCGATCCGGGACGGCGAGCTTGCCGCCGTTTGTCTGCTCCCCTACACTTGAGCTTCGCGAGTGAAGAGAGAAACATGGCTCGCTAACCTCGCAGCAGCATCGCAATGTAACCTTGCTCGATCATGGGATTTTCAAGTTCTTAGATCAGGATTGCGCAAGGTCGCGGATGTTGCTTCCTTGAGGAGGTTGTCGCGAGCAGAGCTGTACATCGGGCATGACATAAAGCAGTCCGGGAACATAACCATAGCCATTGGTCGCTTTAACATGCAGATGGCCTGTGTATACTCCCCTACCAGAGACCTATGTAGCTTTGGTATTCGAAATGAGCAAAAAGGAAAACTCATGTCTGCTCTCCGAGTACCCCGTCAAGGTTGCATCCCCCCCTCCCCCCCCGCCATCACAGTCAGGGCTGCCATGCTTTTCACCTACCGGAGATATTGTGGCGGCTTCCTTCATTTGGCAACCCCCAGTCTATCCTGGGGAAATCTGTTCAAGCGCGAGCGCTTGAACTTGTTTGCGGGTTGCATGGGGCAGAGAAGATAGTCATCTTGGGGTTTAAGTAGAGAGAAAGACCCTACCCTGCTCGCGAGGGTAATCTCCCTTCATCTATCTGATAGCCAGACTCCGGCGAGATCCAACTGCCGCCGTGGTTCAACATCAAGATGAGAACCTCTTCGCGGTTGCTTGGCGGCCTGGCCGCGGCTGCATCGTGTAAGTGAAAATGATGAACAGTTGTGAGTAAGTCGAACCGTGATTAACATGGCCGTCCAGTCTTGCCATTGTCTCTGGCACAGAACAACCTGCCGAATACCTTCACGGACCCGGAGACAGGCATCATCTTTAACACTTGGGGTTTGCCCAATGGCGCCCCTCAAACTCAGGGTGGCTATACCTTTGGTATGGCCCTACCGGAAGATGCCTTCTCAACCGATGCCACTGAGTTCATTGGCTATCTGGTAAGAGCCAAGCCCAGAGTTCACTATTCCTGTGTCTGCAATCACTAACTCCTTCCCAGCAATGCGCAGCCAAAGATGCTCAAGGCTGGTGTGGTGTCTCCCTCGGCGGCTCCATGACCAACTCCCTCCTCATCGCCGCCTGGCCACACGAAGACACGGTCTACACCTCTCTGCGCTTCGCCACGGGCTACGCCATGCCAGATATCTACGCCGGCGACGCCAAGATCACCCAAATCTCATCGAGCATCAACTCGACACACTTCACCCTCATCTTCCGCTGCGAGAACTGCCTGAAATGGAACCACAACGGCCTATCTGGCGGCCAGTCAACCACTAACAATTTCATGATCCTTGGCTGGGTCCAGGCTTTCCCCTCCCCAGGTAATCCGACCTGCCCGGATCAAATAACCCTCGAGCAACATGACAATGGTATGGGTATCTGGGGTGCTGTGCTGGATGGAAATGTTGCCAACCCGTCTTATACCGCTTGGGCGGCTCAAGCGACCAAGACTGTCACTGGTGATTGTGTCACTCCAACTGAGACGGGAGTTCCCAGCGTCCCGGTCCCGACTGACGCTGTCTTCGACTATATTGTCGTCGGCGGCGGTGCTGGTGGCCTGCCCATTGCCGATCGGTTGAGCGAGGCCGGCAAGAGCGTACTGCTCATCGAGAAGGGCCCTGCTTCGACGGGCGAACATGGCGGTACCATGAAGCCTGCGTGGCTAGAGGGTACTGACCTCACACGGTTTGATGTGCCTGGCCTGTGCAATCAGATCTGGAAGGATTCGAAAGGCATTGCTTGCGAGGATACCGACCAGATGGCCGGATGTGTGCTTGGCGGTGGTACAGCTGTTAATGCTGGTCTGTGGTTCAAGGTGAGTTTCTCCTAAGTTCTTGCTCTTTGAATAGCCACTAACACCTACCAGCCCTACTCCCTCGACTGGGACTACCTCTTCCCTACCGGCTGGAAGAGTAATGATATGAAAGCCGCCATCCAACGCGTCTTCTCGCGCATCCCTGGTACCGACACACCTTCTATGGATGGCAAGCGCTACTATCAGCAAGCCTTCGAAGTCCTATCCAACGCCCTGCGCAGCGCCGGCTGGACTCAAGTCACAGCCAACAACGCTCCAGATCAGAAGAACCGTACTTTCTCAAACACTCCGTACATGTACTCAAATGGCGAGCGTGGCGGTCCACTGGCGACTTACCTCCGTAGCGCGAAGCAAAGGAGTAACTTTAAGCTGTGGTTGGGCACCTCTGTGAGGAGGGTCATCCGTGAGGGTGGCCATATCACCGGTGTTGAGGTCGAGCCGTTCCTGCCGGGAGGTTATCAGGGTATTGTGAATGTCACGAAAGTGACAGGTCGGGTTATCCTGTCGGCTGGCACCTTCGGCAGTGCTAAGATTTTGCTGAGGAGCGGTATTGGTCCTCAGGATCAACTGGAGATTGTCAAGAGCTCGGAGATCGATGGCCCGACTATGATTGACAGCTCGTCGTGGATCAACCTGCCGGTTGGGTACAATTTGGATGACCATCTCAACGTAAGTGTTATTTAAATGGAAAGAGTGTTCACCACTAACAGCTTTTTGGCAGACTGACACTGTAATCACCCATCCTGATGTTGTCTTCTACGACTTCTACGAGGCTTGGTCGAGCCCGATTCTCGAGGACAAGCAGAAATATCTCGGTATGGTGCTCACCTTGTCAAGTCACACCTCAAGAGACTAACAGACCATCAGAAAGTCGTTCCGGTATCCTGGCCCAAGCCGCCCCTAACATTGGCCCAATGTAAGTCACACACTGCCCCCCGTGATCTCAACTCTGACTAACAGCTCCCCAGGTTCTGGGAAGAAATCAAAGGCGCCGACGGCATCGTCCGCCAACTCCAATGGACCGCTCGCGTAGAAGGCAGCTTCGACACCCCCAACGGCCGTACGTTTCTCACTCCCTCTTCTCCTTAGCCCCACAAGTCACTAATCCCCTTCCCCCAGACGCAATCACAATGAGCCAGTACCTTGGCCGCGGCGCGACCTCTCGCGGCCGCATGACCATCACACCGTCCCTGACTACCGTAGTCTCCGACGTGCCGTACCTCAAGGACCCTAACGACCGCGAGGCCGTCATCCAGGGCATCATCAACCTACAAAACGCGCTCAAGAATGTGGCCAACCTCACCTGGACATACCCCAACGCGAGCATTTCTGCGCGCGAGTACGTCGAGAATGTACGTCTTCTCCCCCCCCCCCCTTCCCTCTTGCTAGGCAAGAACTAACGCCCCATAGATGGTCGTCTCCCCCTCCAACCGACGCTCCAACCACTGGGTAGGCACGAACAAACTCGGCCCGGACGACGGCCGCCACCCTGCAGGCGGCACTGCCGTCGTCGACCTGAACACCCGCGTCTGGGGCACAGACAATCTGTTTGTCGTCGACGCATCCATCTTCCCCGGTGTCCCGACCACTAACCCGAGCAGCTACATCGTGACTGTGTCGGAGCATGCTGCGCAGAAAATCCTCGCGCTTCCTGCGCCACAGCCGGTGCAGAAATGGGGCCAGTGCGGTGGACGGTTGTGGACGGGGAGTAACGTTTGCGTGGAGGGGACGACGTGCACAGTGCTGAATGAGTGGTATTCTCAGTGTCTGTAGGGTGGGAGAGAAGAGAATATGGGTCTGTTGAGATCCAGGTGATTCGAGGGGATTCGTATAACTATTTTCTTCGGTGTTTATATATATATATATATATATATATATATATATATATATA